AAGAGGTTAAAAGAGAAAGAAAAAAGGGAAGAAAGTTAAAGAGAGTCTAGCTAGCTTTATATTTAATAAAAGCCTAGATTTAGTATAGCAGCTGTACTAGCTATAGCTAGCTGTAAGGCTAAGAGGTAATTTATATATAAGATAAATATAAAGTAAATCTAAATATATAAGCTATTATAGCTAAATACTAGATATTTATGCTAGCAGCTATATAATAGTATAGAGCTAAGTTAGCTTACTTCTAAGAGAGTAATAAATAATATACTATACTAAGACAGCCTATATCTCTAGAGAGTAGAGACAATTAAGCACTAATAAATAGAATAGGAAATTAAGCAGGCGCAGAACAGCCTTAGCATAAAGCTAGAGTTAGGCTATTGCTAGCTGTAATACTAAGAGGTAATTTATATATAAGATAAATATAAGGTAAATCTAAATATACAAGCTGTTGCAGCTAAACACTAGATATTTATGCTAGTAGCTATATAATAGTATAGAGCTAGGTTAGCCTACCCCTAAGAAAGCAATAAATAATATACTACGCTAAGATAGAGTGCTCTCTAGGAAGAAGAAAGACAGAACAATTAGACGCTAGAAATATAATAAGTAAATATATAGGTAGAAGCAGGATAGCCTTAGCGTAGAGCTAGAGGTAGGCTAGATTTTTAAGGGCTATTAGCCTCTCTAGAATACAGCTAGCAAAGCTGGCAATATTAATATACATGCAGAAAGCAGATAGATTCTAGCTAGCATAGAGCTAGAGCCGCCCTAGAAAGCAAAAACAGAAGCAGGTAGAGTTTTTCTTTCTATTAGAGAGTTTTCTAGGTCTAATATAAAAAGAAGATATACTAGTTATATAGCTTTATAGCTATCTAGAGTATTTAATATATATATATAATTATAATTATTAAGTTTATAATTAAAATATTCTAGCTCTTCTAGCTATTTTATATACTATTTATTTATATTAATACTATAATTTAATTTTATAAAGAATAGCTATATTTTAAGGTATTAAACTATAAATAAATACTACTCAAGTATACTTAGTATAGTTATAATAAAGTAATTATAGTAAAACTAAATAATATAGTATAAGTATATATTAATATATATATATATTTAAATACTATATTTCTTAAGTTTCTTATATTTATTTAAGTACTATAAAAAATTTAGCTTAAGTACTTAAAAGTTAATATAATACTATATATTACTTTCTCTTTAGTATTAAACTTTCTCTAGAAAAATAGTTTAATAAAAGTTATAAAGCTAATTTTATAAAATTAATACTTATACTTTTTATTATATATAGTAGTAAAGATATTTATAACTAAATTTATAAATTACTAATATTTACTTTAAGTTCTTTTTAAGAAATTAAATTACTTTAGAAAGAATTTAAATTTACTTTTAAGTTATAAAGCTAATTTTATAAAATTAGTACTTATACTTTTTATTATATATAGTAGTAAAGATATTTATAACTAAATCTATAAATTACTAATATTTACTTTAAGTTCTTTTTAAGAAATTAAATTACTTTAGAAAGAATTTAAATTTACTTTTGCTTTATTTAAATATACTTTTTTATATAATTCTACTAGCAAACCTTATAAATAGTATATAATAAATATTAAAGGTTATTATATTATTATAAATTCTAAAGAATTAATTAATTAAAATATTTATAGAAAAAGAAGTAGAATTAAATTTACTTAATAAGTTAATTTATAATTTATATATTTTACTGCTATATTAATCTCTAGTAAGAAAGCTATATCTCTAGTATATATAAGCTTACTAGTTACTAATTATATTGCTAAAGAATTTTATTAATAAAGTAGTAAATTAATTTAATTAGTATCTCTTATATAAATAGTTTTAAAATCTCTTTATATAAAAGCTCTAAGCTTTTTATATATACTTTAGAAATACCTAAAAGCTTCTAAGCTAAAAGCTAGTATTATAATATTTAAAAGCTAATAGTATTTTTATTTTATTTCTTAAAAAGCTTATTAACTTAAGATAAAATATCTCTATAAAATATACTATATTAAAGAAATTATTAAATAGTCTCTTTAAGACTTTTAAGCTATCTATATAGTCTTAGTATATTAAAGTAGAAAATAATTTAAAATTAATTTAGAATTAATTTTAAAATAATCTAGAAATAATTTAGAAATAATTTAGAAATAATATAAAACTAGTTTTAATATAAATCTAGAATAATTATAGTATAAAGTTTAATTTATATATTAAGGTAGAAGGAATTTTTTCTATATAACTCTATACTTTTAAAAAATCTAAAAATTAGAAAATTAGAAAATTATAGTGGCAGCATTTGCAGATGCAAGCTAATGTGCGACCGTACCCGTACGGCATATCTACTCGCAACACAACGAGCCGTCAGAAGCCTTGGTTGTCGACGTCTGCGGTGGGTGCGAGTGCGCTTCGGAAGAGGAAGGCGGTGGCGGTGGCGGTGGCCCGGATACTGCCGGCCTCGCCTCGGTGGAGCCGTCGGTTTCCAAACCCCGTCGTCCGATCAAACGAAACGTCGAAAGAAATCTGGCTGCCTGCGCAAACATCGCCATCCATCAATCCGGCCCACGACCGCGGGGCCACCTCGACCGTCTGAGCTGCAAACGGCCCCTGCACCCTTGGTCCCCCGTCCCGTCGCGGGCTGGCTGGGCGACATCCATGGCCGCCGACCGACGTGGCGCCCCGGACGAGCGCCCCGGCGTGCCCTCGAGAAACCCCTTGCCGCTGTCGGCCTCGCAGGAGTCTCAAGTACGCGACATCTACTACGCCCGGGTTCGCAGGCAGTGCGCCGAGGAGATCAAAGGTACGCGCGTGGTCGTCTCGAGCCGCGGCTCGCTCGCTCGCTCGGAGGCGGGGGGAAACCTACCGACCCGAGGCCCTTTTCTTCTTCTTCACAGCGAGGAGCTAACAGTGCACGCTTGACGGCGGGGCTGAAGCGTTTGCCGCGTGCGCCCTCGGCCGCACGTTGACCGTGTCGTTTGCGTGCCGTGCCCAGCACCGCGCCATGAACAGCTGCATGAAGCTGCGTGCCACGCCCGAGGAACACGACGCCGCGCGCGAGGAGTGGTTCGCCATGCGGGTGGAGCGCCACCGGCAGCGCGAGCGCAAGGCCAAGATGGCGCTCGCGCAGGAGGAGTTTCTTCGCGAGTGGTGGGGGCTCCCGGAGGAGGTGCGCGCCTCGAAGCAGCGCGAGCTGGAGAGGCTGGGACAGGCCGAGAGGGTGGGCGGGATGCCGGCCAGGGACAGGCCGCGCGGTCCCGAGGCCAGCAGATGACGATTCTTGTCGGTGCCGTTTCTGTCTGCCTCCCGCGAGTCCCTGAGGACTGAGGCGGTCGGGGTGGTTGTGAGCGACACGGAGACGACGGGCGCCGAGGAGCTGAGAGCGGACTGCGGCATGTTGACGGACTTGCATGGGTTCTGGCGTTCATTTTTTTGCAGTTTGAGTGCTGGCCGGGGCGTCGCTTTGCTGCGTCTCAGGGCTGACTTCTTTGGTTGGTACCGGAGTTGAGCTATGTATGGCAGACCGGGACGTCGTTTTGTATGACGGGCTTTGCAGGGTGGCATCGCCGAAGGGGCTCTTCACAACGGGCACGGTGGACGAGACGGGCGCAGAAATGACTGCTGAAGCAACTCGATACGTGTTTCTGTAACTCGCCGGGGCTTCGTGTCGGATACGCTTGCATCCATGCCATGTCAGGGCGTTCATCAGGTTACTCTCGTTCCGGTCTATTGACGCAAGTTCCGCTCCCGCGCCACGCTTCCAAGGGGCTGTACACTAGTTGTCGGGTCCTTTTGCGCCTTGGGGCAACTGAACTGATCCCCAATTCCGGCAGGGGACGCAACGTGTCGGCGGTCCATGTACGTCCCAGCGGGCTGCTGTCGCTTGACTGACGCCCGCGACTGCAACGTGCCTGGTTTGCTCATCCACTGAAGCTGACGCCGCCGGACGACCAGCCCCAGTGCGCTCTGAGAGGAAAACAAGTCCCCCGGGAACGAGTCGGGAATCGTGATTGCGACGCACAAAAGCCTCTTGTCAGGAAGTGGCGTGGCCAGAGATGGCTTCTGTGCCGATTTTTGCGACAACGGCCTGATATACGGCACATGTTACTCCGGACGGACAGCCGAGCGGAATAGGTGCAAAAATAAAAACACCACATGTAGAGTCTGTTTCTGCTTCTGTTGAGCGGCGCATCCGCATCGTGCATGGGCAGAGTTGGCCGAGTTGCCGTCGGAAAATTGCTCCCCGGATGAATCAGCCACGAGCTGTATGTAGCCAGTGTAGGTGTAGGGTGGGGACCCCACGTCGCGCGCCGCGGGGTCGCGGGTCGGCGCGGCCCGGCAGCCGGGCTTTGAGATTCACGCCCGTGACTTTTTGTCCACGGCTCCGGGACCCAAAGAGGGCACCGGCTCGACAGGTTCGTCTTCATTGCGGCAAAAGAATGCGGTAAGAGCGCGATCCTGCAACAGACAAAAACCAGGCAGAGTTGCCCACCGGCACGAGGGCCAGGATGCAGTGGAGACGGGACGATGGAAGCACAAGCATGACATGGCATGCCGGGGCGCATCAGACAGATAAAGTCGGAGCTCTTCCACGCAGCGGGATGCCTGTCCGTCTGCTATGGACACTCGTTGCCGGATTCGGACTTGTCGCGTGGAATCCAGCTCGTTGAGCTTGACTGGATGCCAAGCCGAAAGCTGCAGCGTCTTTGTTTTCATGAAGACGGCCTTTCCGGTCTCTGGGTCCCTGGCTGCATGGCCGTTGTTTTGATTTCCGATTGGACATGGGGGAAGGAGATTAGCCAGCAAGACGGGCTCAAAGGGACGGTCATCCTTGGCGTGAGAAAACGTGTGGATGTGTATGTTACAACATGTGTTTCGGTTCATGTCATGTAGCTGCAAGGGTAAAACAAGTAATGGCAATAACTTGGAGCATTATTTTGTTGTATTTATTGTATTTTACAAAATCTATTTCTGTTTATCTTATGCAGCTGCAAGGCCTCCGTGGCGCAGTGGTTAAGCGCTATGGAGCCCTGTCTCGCCAGCAGGGAGCCGGTTCGAACCCGGCCGGAGGCACCTAAATTTTCGGCCTGGTCACCCGGAAATTAGTTAACCCGTGAACCTTATCACGTGATTGAGGCTTAGAATTAAGCTAAGCCTACCTAAAAAATTAGCTAGCAGGGCCCAGAGCTCTAGGGCCGGGGAAAATTGAGCCAGCACGTAATATAGCTGCTATATATTACACACTATAGAGAGATGGTTGAGGATAAATAGGGGGAAATATGCAGTCTAGCATTAGTCACGTGTGCAGGAAAACGCCTTATATTACGATATAATATAAAGGCCTAGACGCAATATTAGCAGCAGGCAGGGTTTTTCTTCCCATAGAGGGTTTTCCAGGCCTAATATAAGAGCAGATGTACTAGTCATATAGCTATAAGCTATCTAGGGTAATAAATATATGCAGCTGCAAGGCAAACTATAGCATTGCTTGTATTCAATAGTACGCTTCTTTTTATCAATTTACATCATGTGCGAGCAGCTGCAAGGGCAAACCAAGTGGTAGACAATTACGCCATGAAACTTTTCACAAGCTGCGTGCAGGCAAAGATGACCCGCGCCAATAAACACACGTTTGCCGAGTCGCCCGCGCAGCTCGGCGCTTAAGCGCATCGTTTGAACGCTTCAGCCCGCCTCGATGCATGTGATGTCCCACGCCATTGGCCCATCATCTCGACCCTTCATCTCTGGCCCCGAAAATAGCCTCCCGTCACCGCATGGCAGCCCGTGACACGACGTGCCAATGGCGCCAGACTGGCAGGATGCAGCTCTCCTGGGGCCCCCGTTGCCGTACAAAGCCTGGGCAGGCATGGCATGCCGTGCGACAGGATTATGCGCCCATCGCCGCCTGTTGCTTTTTATTTCGTCCCGTGTTTTTTCTTGTTTTGCAATTTCCCGCGTCGCCTCTTCTCTCTCTTCTTGGTTCTTCATCGGCCGTCGTGAGGACTAGTCTCTCTCGGCTCGAGCCCGTGTTGACGATATCGCGCGGGACCGTGGTGCAGCAGGAAGCTGACGCTGGCTCATTGAACCCTTCGTTCGGTTTGTGTTTGTGATCCGGGTGCCTGCCGGCGTTGTTATCCAGACGTCTGCACTGGGGCTTGGATGCCCGATGCAATGTATGGCCATCATGCCTTCGCCACAGCAGTCTCGACCAAGTCAATCAGGCAGCTTCTCCCTGTTCCCTGACTCCAGCACCTCGGAACCGCCGCAGACAGCTCGAAATCTACATACCCCCCGCGGGTGGCGGTCCGAGTCTCGGGAGAGGAGGCCGCAGGCGCCCCGGGACCAGAGGGCGGCCACGCCAGATATTCCGCAGTCGCAGACGCCGGAACAGCCCCCATGTTCATCCATGGGTTCGGAGCCCTGGCGACGAGAAACGCCCTCGAACTGGCCGTTAAGCAACGGGACACCGGGGCACCACGGCGTCGACAGCACTTCGGTCCAGCAGCCCCGAAGTATTCGCGACGTCCCCGGTCGGACGGAGACCTCCTTTTCGGAAGCCAATACCCTCGTTCGCAGCAACAGCGGGCTCTCTAGAAGCTCCGTTGCAAATCACCCTCTCGGTGACAACTCCTCGTCTCCTTCTCGCTCGCAGCCGCTGAGGTCCATCTTTCCAACTTACAACTCGGCTTTGTCGCTCGGCCAGCAAGTTTACGCACCGACGCCAATGGGGTCCGCGCACATCACCCGCGCCGTCATCACCAGGCCATCCGTCCACGAGGAGCCGGAATTCTCAGAGAGAAGAGGTGCTCCGGGCCGCAGTCCGCCGTCGAGCCCCAGGCGACCTGCCGCGAGGGGACGCTGGCCACTGAGAATACAAACGCAGCCGCCCGCGGTGATCCCCACGCCCTGCACGACAGAGGACCTCAAAGGCCTCTGGAAAGTGGCCAACGGGTGGAAGGCGTCTGCTTCCGAGTCGAAAGTCTTCTGCTTGAAGCTGTCCAAGCAGAAAGACGCACCCGTGTACACACTGTCATCGGCGTCTCTGCAGCCATTTTGGAATCTGAGACTGGATCCCACGTCTGCCGCGGCGTACGCCAGCCTCACAAGACACGACCCGGCGAAGCACTACAAGGCACCGAAGCCAGAGGCCGCGTCGTCCCGCAGGGCTTCGGAAAACAGCGTCAGCAGACACTGGTACGAGGCCCTCGGTACGACACTGGAAGAGGAATCTCGCAGACACCCGCCCAACGATGGCCTCGTCGCGCTCCTCATGCCAGCTGCGGCCGCGAGGATAGCCACTGACAGGGCGGACGATGCGGCGTCCGTCATGGCCGCTGACAACGAGCGCGCCCGGCTGGTCTGGGATGGAGACTCGGCAACGCACTTCCTCGTGCACAATGCGCTGGCCAAGCCGTTCTGCATAACCGTGGACCGAAACCCGGCGTACTCGCGCGTCGAGTACACCCTCGAGCATGACGAGTCGCCCAAGCACTTGGCCAGGCTGACGAGAGACGGCACAGGTGGCGGCTGGATCGAGCTTGACACCAGCGTCGCGGCCCAAATCGAGTCCTTTTACATCCTTGATGTCGTCGTCACCGCCCTGCTGCTGGTCGCTGCGAGAGAGGACAGGATCTCGCCGACGCCTATGGACGCCTTTGAGCCCCCGCCGCCACCGGCTGTCCTTGTCGCAAAGCGCCTTTCGGGAAGATGGAGTAAATTGAGCATGTGGGGACAGAAAAAGGGTAAAATGGAGGCGTTTGAAATCGACATCGAAAGCCAAAATGACAGCCTGGGTAAAGGGCAACGCGGGAGTCGGTCCTCGGAGAAGAGGCTGCCGTTCTTGATACGCGCCCTGATAAAAGTGGCAAAGGGCGTGTTCAGATTTGCTATTTGGGTCTTGACTGCTATGTTGAATGTCGCTGCGGGGGTCTTCAAGTGCTTGTATTCTTGTGTGGGATCGAAATATTAACGCAACCATGTGAAAAGAGTATATAATGAGACATGTCGGGATTGTTGCAAGCAACTTGAACCCCCAGTCGGAGGTCTTTCTCGTTTCTTTCTTTCGTGCTGCTGTGAGTGTCTCCCCGTGGCCGGCGGATTGTTGATGGTCTAGGTGAAAAGAGCTATTCGGATGGAGAAATCAAGCATATTCCGTGATAGTAACAAACCCCAAACGCCGAAGAAGATGCAAACAATACAATAAGCCGACACGTAGTCTCTCTTCTAACGCTTTCTTGTGCGAACCATGATTTTCTTTCCTCTTCTCGTGTGTCCTCCAGACGTCGCTGTCTTGGCCATCTTGGCGCGCTGCACGTCAAGGTGTGCCTCGGCGTCGTTGAAAGCCTTCAGCTTCCGCTTGGCATTTTCAAGCTGTCTCTTGAGTCTTCGCAGTGACTTGGCCCGTTCGAACTCTTCGTCATCCTCCTTGTCGACTGGAGCAACGCCGTCTCCCCCTCCTTCTTCTTGGTCGTCATCGTCATCCTGCTCTGCCTCCAACTTATCCAGCATTGTCGCCTCGCGTTCCTCCTCATCGTCCAAGAAGATAATTTTCCTCGCTGCCTTGGGTTTCGCGGGCAAGCGTTTCTCGTCATCGTCGTCGTCAAAGTCTACGTCATCTTCCTCAACATCGTCGCTGTCAAGATGCTCCAATCCCCTTGTCAAGACGATCTGCTCTTCTAGTCTCGCAATCTCTTTGACAACCACCTGTCGCATTGTCCGGATATACCCCAGGTCCTGGGTCTTGAGCAGTCGCACGGTGTCGACGTCCATGGCCCTGTTGCCACGGTCGCCTTCGAGCTTGCCTGTCCAGCTCTTGCCGTCCTTGATTCGCGATCCAGCGCCCTTGCGGGACATCATCCCAAAATAAAACTCATCTTCGTTTCGGTCAGCGGCCTTTTGTCGCAGCGATTGGAGCTGGGCCTTCTTCTTGTTGAAGTCCTTGGCTCGGAGAGAGTAGTCCTGCTTGCGGTTAGGAACAACCAACTATTGACTTCATGGGCCGTTTGAGCCTTGTCTGCTTGCCTTGTGCTTTTCGAGCAAGCCCAGCCGGCGACGTTCCAGAGGCTGGGCACGCTCACGGTGCGGGCGCCGCGCCACAGCGTTACGCATGGATGACATTTTGACTCCGGGAAATCTCTATTGTGACGGCAAGGTTGCTGCGAGATATGAAACAATCGAAGCTTGGTCGAATGGTAAGGGGTGTGTTGGCTTGCATTTGGGAGCCAGCTTTTTCAACCCAATGGTGAAATTCCGAGTGCGGCAAGAAACCCAAATTATTGGCGGTGAGAGGTTCCGTCCGGTGGGGGTGGTTCTTCGTTCGCGCTTCAACACCATAGGCCTGCATTCACGCACGGCACGACCACCCTACATAGACATGCGTGACATCTGGCACGTCATTTGCCAGCCCCCAACTGGCGGCTAATGGTTGGCCAACAGAGTCGCATTCCCTAAACAAGTCTCCCGCATCACGAATGCTCATGACCAATCGTGTTGTGTACGAATGGCTCCGTGGAATCTTTTTAAGCGCGGCCGCTGACCACGACCTAAACCGTGGCCATGCATCTCACCAATCACCCGTTTCCGCCATCGTTGTCAATGGCGAGCCAGCGAGTTCGAAAAAGACGGTTTGCAGATGATATCTCGCCGGCTGATCCTCCTATAAAGAAGCGTAATACAAACCGCACTCGAGTTGACGCTCCCAATTTCCCCCCTACTTTCTACGACGGATTGTCCAAGCTTCCCCTAACGCTTGATATCTTACGGGAACTGGATCGACGGAATAAAATACAAGGCCGAAACACGAAAAATACAGTCACTACTCTTTCAATACCAGACAATCTTTTCCGATTTTCCAGACAAGGGGGGCCAGACCTATGCCATCTTCGAGGAGTGAGATTGATTGTATATATCGACCTCAAGAGCATTCACTGACAAGATGTAGTATTCTGGTGCAGAACCAAGTCTTGCCACTATGAGCCAAATTCCATCCAGTTCATCCCGAAGTCGAGTGATGCAGTCCACGACAGTGGCGAGTAATTTCGCTATATGGGGGAGATGGTCTGCGTACGATCAAGGCTTCTGGCAGCATCTTATCGACCACAAAATCTATCCTGAGGGGTGTGGGCCTCCAAATGGTCTGCCCACTTTCGAACCTAGCGATCTTGACAGCATCAGAGAAGCCTTATCTGCTGACAGAGCTTCTTTGTCTCCATGCCAATTCACGCAGTCTCAATTTCAGGACTTCGAACGCAAGAACAACCGAGCGACTTTCAAAAACGACATTATGACCACTATCATCCCCATTCTTTGCGGTGATTCTAGCATACACAGTCAACAAAACGTACTATTTACAGAATTAGAGCCTATAACGACTGCCGGTGCCGTAACGCCTAAGCCTGATTTTTTTGATGGCGCATCCCTCGTCGACATTAACCACAACATTAGGAACGATCAAACATTCCAGTCCAAGGTCATTCCTTCAAAGCATGCTAATGTCCCAGTGGCTGTGAATTTCTTCTTTATCGGAGAAACTGGAGGGGATAGTTCCGTGGCACTGAGGCAAGCATGTTATAATGGAGCATACGGTGCTCGAGCCATGCATGCTTTGCAAAATTATGGAAAAGTTGAGCCGGCATATGACGGCAGTGCCTACACGTTTACCTCAATATATGAAGCTCCCTCTAGCACGCTTCAGCTATACGCCCACCATATTGTCGCTCCCGCTAACGCTGGGGGACCGCCAGAGTACTACATGACTAAAATACGTGGCTTCTATTTGAAGGATAGTTATGCTTCTTTCGTCGAAGGCGTTAAGGTTTTCCGGAATGCGAGACAACTGGCTAAAGAGCACCGTGATCGGTTCATCCAGGCTGCAAATATGAACACTCTTGAAGCTCAAAACCAAACAAACGCCGAAGAACATGAATCAATGTCACAACAGGATGCCGATGACGCACTTCAGGGAGGGGTAGCGAGGACAGGCACAATTAATTCCGAGCCTGGTTCTAATGCCTCCCCGCTACAGTTGCCTGCAGACGATGATTCACAAGATCTGTCGACGGTACTTGGGTAAGAAGACCTATCTTGAGTTTTGCGTCGAGTGTCACTTCTAACTTCAGCAATGAACGCCTGTGCAGGTCCAAGCGTGCCAGGCAAATCAGCTCACCGGATAACTCCTGGGGGCGTCGGTCCTCCAAGAGCCGTACGCGGGATCGTATCAATCAGCGACCATATGGAGACTCCCCTGAAGTATCTCTTCCGTCGTTGCAACCTCCTGAGCTGCCAGCAAGTCAAAAAGGGCCGGGAAGAAATTCACAGGCTACCAAGGAAGGAAGAGGTGTCGGCGACCTCGCTTGAAATCTGGCCGAGCACGAAAGCTGAATCATTCGATGAAAGCGAGGGACCGTGGACAATGTCAATTTACCGCTTTGTTTTTCTTTCATGTCTTCAAATCACATCATGCAAGCACACACGAGCTCGATGGAGATGGGCCAGACGAGTCTAGCGCGCTGGTCATGGTCGTAATTGTATCATAGGGAGCCTCTTGTTGTGACGACTAATGGCAGGTGCGTCGTAGCCTAGCCCAACAAAACTGTCATCTCGATTATTTCGAGGAGCGATGGCGAGTACAACGTTGAAAAGTCGTGCTCAAGAGGTTACTGTGAGGTAGTTTACACATCCCATCTAGGAATTGTTTCTCTGAGCCAGTCTATGAGTAGTACTAGCTAATACAGTATATAATACATGTTTATACAAGGGCCGATCCGTGTCGACTAGCAGCTATGAGGAATTTATAAATCATTTGGACTTGGACGCGAGTTGCAGCCCATACGGAGCAAGCTGCCCGTTATTCAGCTTGCTTGGGGACCTCACAAACGGATCCTCACCTTTCATGGTCTTGGGAAACGCAATCACATCCCGAATAGTGGATGTGTCCGTGAGAAGCGCAACGAGTCTATCGAACCCGAGGGCAAAGCCAGCGTGAGGTGGACACCCGACTCTGAGGGCGTCAAACAAGTGTGAAAAGTCTCTGATTCGGTCGTCCGTCATTTTCAGCACACCTCGCATGATGAATTCCTGAACATCTGCAACGTGAACACGCTCGCTTCCACCGCCAATTTCGACGCCGTTCAAAACGAGGTCGTAGGCGGCGCTCCGAGCTTGCAAGGGCTCAGTAAAGAGAACCTCGAGGTCCCTTTCTGAAAGCGGCGCCGTGAACGGGTGATGGGCCGCGGAGATTCCAGCTGCGCCACCCTGGCCGGGTTCCCCTTCTTCAACGGGCTTGAACATGGGAAATTCTGTGATCCATACAAATTGTAACGAGTCGGGGTCTCCGAGTTTGGGTTTTTCCATGTAGCCCTCCTCCACGAGAGCTTTCCAGAGAGCGGTTCGCATGTCGCCGATTTTGGTGGATCCGAGACAGTATTGACCTTTGGGTTTTTCGCGAGCTTGGAAAACTACCAAATCGCCATCATTAATTTCCTGGCCCTGGGAAACTTTGTCGAGCAGAGTTTCGTATTCGAACCCCACGGAGGAGAATCCGGACAAGGGCTGTCGAGAGTCGTGAATGAGTATTTGGGGTTTGCCGTCGGGATTGTTGGCTAATGCGGGTGGGAGACTGTCCATAAATTCAATGACAAATTTTCGAGCGTCTGAGGGCGAACAGTCTTGCAGTCTGAAGACGAAAGCCTCAATCAGAGGATCCGAAAGGTGTGTAATCATGCTGACAAAGTTGCGATAAGGTTCGGCATCTTCTATAGTATGTATCTGTACAGTATGAGTGCGGGAAAGTCGATGGACACTTGTCTTTCATGCTTACTCTGTTGGGGATTCGCAAGTCTGGCTTGTCAGAGCCATATGCGGCGATACTTTCGGCAAATGTGAGGGTTGTGAATTTGTGAGCAGGTTGCTCTTTGGCTGGCCCGTCGACTGGCCCGGGCTCATCGACAATGGTGGATAAAAGTGGTATTCTCTCTCCACGTATACACTTGTAGCTTCGAGCTGGTTGAAGCCGTGAAAGTGCAGCCAGCAAAACATCATTTACATCAGACTGAACCTGGGCGGCGCCAGCAAATGCCCATTCCATATCGAGCTGACCTTTCATGAGTATAACCTTCAGTGTATTGTATAGATAGCAGCACGCACCTGAGAGAACTCTGGTTGTCTATCTGTTCGGGAGTCTTCATCTCGATAGCACCTCGCCCACTGCATGTACCGACTAATACCGCTCGCCACAAGGACCTGTTTATATTGCTGAGGGCTCTGACTGAGCGCATATGCCGTTCCTCTTTGTCTGGTCGGGACCAAGAACTCACGGGCCCCCTCGGACGTGGATTTGAAAAGGGTGGGCGTCTCAACATCTGTGAATCCCTTTTCCAGCAAGCTCTGACTTAACTGACCCTTAAGCCACGATCTGAATTTTAATCTGGCCCGAAGCTCAGGATGGAACCGAATTTGCAGGTGTCGTTTTGAATGAGGAAATTGGACATCGGACGTGACAATCAGATCCGTTGGAACAGTGCTCAAAGATTGAATATCGATAAGATACAGGGTTCGTTTGGGCGAGGAACTATTCTGGTCTTGGGCAACTGATTGTGGTGGCGGCTCTGCTTTCGCGCGGACAACGACTGGGGCAAATGCAGGAATTTGTCGAAACTTTTCGTGCAATTTTGATCTACCGGCGGCATGGGAGCACAGCTGGATCACCTCATCTGAAACTGTGGTGAGGTCGGCGAACGAGAGGTGCTTTCCGACATTGCGACGCTTTCCAAGAAAACCGGCTATGACGTCGGGATCGTTCTGTGCCAATAAATCGGAGCCTCTAGCTAACGGATAATTTAGTAGCTATTACATATGCATGACCGCAATCTAGGCCTACACTGGTTCCAGGCCTTTAGCAATTGTTCCTTGTTGAGGTGTTGTGCCTTGCGGCCAGCCGCATCGGACTCATGCGCATAAAACCTCAAGGCGCCATTGCGAGAAATGAGTGCTGGTTTTGAGCGATTGCGAGCGCTGGAGAGTAATAAACTCCAGCAGCGACCCGGATGGGACATTGTTGTCAAGACTGGAGGCTGCGGCCCGGCCACAATCAAGGAACGGCTTGACTATGAAGATCAGAAGAGGACGGTGACATTGGTGAGCTCGAAGCTGCAGCCAAACGGCCCGCAGAGTTCAAGCAGTTCTGCCAGGAAAGTCCGCCGAGACCCCACCGACCCACAGCCGCTTTAAATTTCGGCTCCTTCCAATCGTGGATTTTTTTTTTCCCTTCTCCTCATGAACCCTTCCATTCAAATAAGTGTATGTTCACCAATCTTCCAAACCAGACCCGACAAAACACAGTTACTGACCGCATTTTTGCAGATGATGAGACTTTCGTGCGTAATATGATGCAGATGCCTTTCTTCCGACCCTTTGAACTCTCCCTTTTGGGCTTAAGTGGTTCGCTGGCGAGGCTTGAATTGGTATTTTGAAATAGGCGTCTGACACACCGACCTTGTTGCATTTCGGACGCGATGAAAAACAACTCTGATTTATTATGAATGGAAACTTTTTTGGTCTTTTATTTGGGAAAGCCTGGTGCCAGGAAATGAATTTGGCGGTTGATTTTGGACTGATGACTCGTTGTCTGCTTGATATGTGATCATGCGTAGTCCGTATGCTCGCGATGCGGCAGATGTCTTCTGGTTGAGGCGTTCTGGGAGCTAAGTGGCAGCCCGACCGACGTGTTTATTGAAGCGAGGTCGGACGCCCACAGGCCTGGGTGCGGAACCTGCAGTAGTTCAGCAGTATTTCGGATCGAAATTCATTTTATTTATTAGCATGTCCTAGCAATAAACGATGGCCTTGGCCACCAATTTGCGTTGTCTTAGGCGAGGGAGGCTGTTAGCCTTGGGCGCATCATCCTAGTATCGTCAGCTGTTGCTGTGGCATTAGTCCTGCAGCATCTGATTCTCTATGATCAACCGAGCCATGTCCATCGTGCATCTTTATCCGCCCGGCTCCAGAACGGCTTGCTGCCAATCTGTCTAGTCTGGGGGCACGACTCTCGATTGTTGTGGATGTTTGGATGTTGCGTGGACAAAATGGCCCCACTCGTCTTCATCGGCCCCCAGCGCTCCACCCAAGGTCCATTGCAGCCAGACGTGCCCGAAGCTCACCTCGTCTCCTCCATCCATCCAGCCATATCCAGCCGGGCCCTTCTTCCTTTGCCATCCCCCTGTGTCATCAGCATTTTTCCCCCTTAGCCCGTGGCGAGGATCCTCACCTATAGTCATCCAAGCGTGACACGCATTTGCACCATGTCGGGCTCCTTTGAAAAGTCCGTCAAGGGCGCAACCAAGATCAAAGTACGTACAAGCGAATTGCGTCCCGATTTCATCCGCCCTCCCTCCCAAGTCGCCTCAACAACAGCAGAGCCGCTAGACTATTAGACCATCTGCCCATGACATACTGACCGATGTACCTCGTAGAACGCGCCTCCCAAGACGAAATACATCGAACACATTCTTGTGGCCACGCACTCGGGCGACGCCGGCGTAGGCGAAGTCTTTCGTTCATTACAACATCGGTTGCGCGACTCAACATGGACGGTCGTTCTCAAGAGCTTGCTCACCACGCACATTATGATCCGAGAGGGCTCACCAGACGTGACTCTGTCATTCCTCGCCAGGCATCGTAACGTTTTGGGCGTCGGACATTTTGCCGATGGTTGGTCATTCGTGAAGAGAACGGAATTCGAACCGGGCTGACAATTTGGCGCTTCAGCTCAGACTCAGGGCCGGAACATTCGGCACTACGCAAACTATTTGAGCGAGCGAGCGCGGGCATTTCGCGACACCAAGATTGACTGGGTCCGCAGCAATGAATCGCGATTGGAGAAGTTAAGTGTCGACAAGGGTCTGCTTCGAGAGGCTGAAGTCGTGCAGAACCAATTGTCCGCTCTGGTCAAGTGTGATGTGAGTCAACACGTCTTATTCGGCCCCAGCACCAATAGCTCGCTCATAGCCGTGCATAGGTCCTCGAAACGGAGCCCGAGAACGAAATCACCATTGCCATCTTCCGATTGTTGGTCTTGGACCTGTTGTCGCTGTTCCAAGTGCTTAACCAGGGCCTCATCAACGTCTTAGGTTTGTCCGGCCGACAAAATGCAATTGCCTCACAAGTCTCACACTCACATGTTCAATGTAGACCAGTTCTGCGTCATGTCCAAGACGGATGCCCAGAGAGCTTTGGAAATCTATCGCACATTCACGCGACAGACGGAGCATGTTTCGCAGTATCTGAACTTTGCTCACATGCATGAACATCAAACGAGAGTCGAAGTCCCCAAGCTCAAGTACGCTCCAATCACCATGATTCGTAAGCTAGAGCGCTGGCTCAAGGACCCTGATTTCGAGATTAATCGACGTCAGTTTCAGGCCGAACAGGATGCAAAGAAGAAGGTAACATCTTCCAAACCGGCCAAGATCGACTTTCCCAAGCCGTCATCGCCGAATCTGAATGACCCTTTCCTTCGTGGTCCGGATACCAAGGCCGACAGTAAGCCACAGGCGAACAAGGGCCCGGAGCCTGATCTTATCGACTTCTTCGACTCAATCGAGCAAAAGCAGACCACTTTACCGGTCAACTCGCAGCCAGCCTCTATGGTGCCTGGATTGGCGTCTCTACAGCCCCAGTCAACGGGCATGCCATTCCCTCAGAACGGCTTCGTGCCGCAGCAAACTGGTTTTGTACCCAACAACCTGTTCCAGCAGCAACAGGACGTGGGTGGATTCATGCCGCCGCAGCAGCCTCAACAGCCTCAACAGCCTCAACCTCTACATCCTAGCTTCACCGGCGCTGGTTTTGGGGGCTTCAGCACGCAGCCAAGCTTCCAACCTGGTGTACTTGGCCCCATCCCCCAGAATTCAGAGGCCACATTCATCAACCCAAACCAAGGCTTCCAGTATCAAGTTCAGCAGCAGCAGCAACAACAACAACAACATGAACATCAACAACCATCCTTGCAAACCGCTCAGCCAAACCCTCTTCAGCCAACGCCGACTGGCACCACCAACCCATTCCGACAATCAATGATGCCACCTGCCAGCGTGTCAGGCAACTCGTCGCCATTTTCCTCCCCCGGTCAAACGTCCCAACAACTCCAACGCCATTCTACGAACCCCTTTGCTCGCTCTCCTACCCAGAGCACATCCCCTTTCCAGTCTGTGGCTGCTATCCAGACTCAACCCACCGGGACCAACCCCTTTGCCAAAACGCAACAAGTCCCGTCTCTTGACCAGTCTCTAAATCCAGCTCCTCTCGGCCCCCAACCAACAGGTACGACGAACCTATTCCGCCAGGGCGCGTTCGTCAACCACGCCACCGGCATGGGGTGGCAGCATAACCAGACCACTATCGGTGGCGGGCTGGATCAACTCCCTACTGTACCCGTCTTCCCGCGGCCGGCGCAGCAGACACCCTGGCAGCAATAATCGCATTCTTTGGCCCCATCTTTGATTACGGCCCAATCTCAAGCCTTTTCCATGGTAGTATTGTCGAACTGTTACGTCTTCCTGGTGGGCTATTTTAAGGTATTCTGATATTCGCATCAGCGAGGCGTTGTTTGGATAGGAGCGGAAGGAAGTGTGAGATTTTCATAGCGACTCGCTGCAGTCTTATCGAGTAAACGGCCAAGTTGTATCAATCAGGCAGTCATAAGAAATCATGTTCATACCACCGCGTCGTCAGGACGAGTACATAATCGCATGGCAAGGGAGCCAGAGTGTGTGCCTAAAAGCGGGACTCTCGACGGAGAAGTATCATCGTTATACTGCATTGTACGGGCACATGCCTCGTGATAGCCAAGTCTATCGTTTCCCACAGTCTGTAGTCGTGAATGGCAGAAAGCCATTTCGTCCAAGATGCCATTTTGTTGCCAGCCAACCCAACCCAAACGCCATTTTCATGCCCGCCTGCGAGAAAGTACGAACGAAATGAAATTTTTAAAAAAAAGAAGAGTAGAAAAGCACTTTCCGTAGTCCTCTACAACGCATCGCCGCCGTCCAGTCTCCCGCCTGGAGCGGCAGCCTCGCTGGAGCCGGCAGCAGCAATCCGGTCCGCATCGTCGTCGGCGATGAACACGCCCAGCCCCGAAAAGGCCTCGTACAAGGCTCGCGAGATGTACTCGTCGGCGCTGTACCCGCCGACGAGATAGTCGCTCTTGGAGCGCGTCACGTCTACCCACTCGCTGTGGTACTCTTGCAGCCTGTCGTGCCCCAGGTCGACTCTGCTGGGCGCGAGGCGCAGGCCCCCAAACGGGTCGTAGGGCCCGTTGTCGTCCGCCGCGCCGCGCGTCTTGTCCCGCAGTCCGCGGATCGACAGCCCGCCCGAGGCGTCGGACAGCGCGTCCCTCGCCGCGTCCCTCCTCTGCTGGCCTCGCTTCTTGAGCATGATCTTGTCCATTGTCTCGGCGGCGCGGCCGGCGTCGGCGCTCTGCAGCGAGTCGAGCATCTCCTCGCGGAACCGCGCGGCGCTGGCCTTCTCCTCGGCCTCGTCCTGCAGGTCCCGCAGGCGCCTTTGCCTGGCGGCGTCCTCTTCGGCCGCGAGCCGCCTCTTGCGCGCGTCGTCGGACGCGCGCGCGAGTTTCTTGTTGCGCTCGATCTCGGCCTTGTGCTGCGCCTCCCAGGCGGCCAGCTCGCCCTCTGCCTCGCTCTTGGCCTCGGGCGTGCCGCTGACGAGCTTGAACGTCAGGTCCTCCACGTACTCTAGGTACTTGTTGTACGAGTCGAGCGTGTCGAAGTCGTCTTCGACCTTGTTGAACACCTGGGCCACGCGGCGGCGTATGTCCACCTCCCGCTCGACGGTGAGGTCGGCGAAGAAGGCCGACTTGAACCCACGCAGGCGCAGGGTCTTGCGGCACGTGGCGTAGGGACACTGGTTGGGCCCGTCCTTGAAGATTCTGTCGACGCAGGTTTTGCACATGCGGTGGTAGCACTCCGGGTTTATGAGGAACTCCATGTCCCGGTTGAAGTAGCGCGTTGTTTTGCACACGGGGCAAGTCTCGTCCTGGTCGACGACGGGCGCACCGAGACCCGTGGAGGGGGCGTGGCGCGCGCCGGTGCCGTTCCGCGACATGTCGGCGTGGTCGGGAGGCTTGAGAGGCTGAGATGGAAGCCTCCGAGCACGAGGTGCGCCGTGACGCCGGTGGTTCAATGGCCGTTCTGGTGCGTTGTCGTTGGGGGAGATGACGGCGCCTCGAAGTTGGCAGGTGCCAGCTTGCTGGAGCTGTGGCCGCCCGGTTTGTCAGCCAATTACGGCGCTTGCCACCAGCCGCTGGGAGCTGGCAGAGGTGGTTGCTCGACAGCTGCTGCCCCGCCAAATCTTCAAAGAGCGCGACACCACATCCCACATCGACCAGACAGACTTCGTCACCGCGGAATTTGTACCTTCAACCACACACTGTTTCGAGAGAGCACACAGGATGGCTGACATCAAAGGTGATTTCTTTTCACTACACCACGCCCACTCAGGACCCGACATGTGCTCTGACGTAGCCCAGTTGAGCTGACCCAACGCGCTAGATCCGTCTCCAGCCGAAGAGGCGGCTGCTCGCGCCAAAGAGGCTGAAGAGCAAGCTGCTCTGCCCTACAAATGGCAGCAGACTATTGCCGAGCTCAACGTCACCTTCACCGTTCCCGGAAACATAAAGTCAAAAGATCTCGTCATCGACATTAAGAAGCAGAGTTTGACTGCGGGTATCAAGGGCCAAGACCCAGTCATCCAGGTACATTCAATGCTCCCCCCAGACAGCCGTTTTCAGGTCCCCGAGCACCATTAGAGCTTTGAATACTCATCTGCCATAGGGCCATCTCCCCCATGCAGTTCACGTCGACGACTCGACATGGACCGTGTCCACCAACACCGACGGTACCAAGACGGTCGAAATCCACCTCGACAAGGTCAACAAGATGGAGTGGTGGGCTCATGTGGTCACCTCCGCCCCTACCATCGACGTTACAAAGATTCAACCCGATTCTTCGAAGCTCTCCGACCTCGATGGCGAGACGAGGGGCATGGTCGAGAAGATGATGTATGACCAGCGTCAGAAGGAGAAGGGTCTGCCTTCGTCGGATGAGCAGAAGAAGATGGACATCCTGAAGAAGTTCCAGGAGCAGCATCCTGAGATGGACTTTAGCAAGGCCAAGATTCAATAAGCCGTTGCGCGAAAGGCCTGTGGCGGCCTGTTTGGTGTCGTGTCGTGTCATCAAAAGTGGATTCTTTATCAAAACCAAATACCGATTTTCATCCTGATTCAAGTGCCGCGGCTGCTCGTTCTAGAAACGCGTTGAAATCCCGTATTTGTTGGAGAAGGCCACCGGTTGAGCTCGTTGAACTGATCTGGTCCGATATTTGAGCCAGTACCAGATCGAGATTGCCCAGATCGGCTTCCTTCTCCTCCTCGCGAGATAGTTCTGGGGCTGCCCGACCCTGTTCAACCGCCAAGTCGATGTCGTGCATGAGGGAGGACGCATTTAGGCGAGACTGGGAAGAAAAGGCATGTTAGGCCACCATCAACTCCCAACCGCAATGCAACAACTTACTGTTGATTCCTTGCTGTCGGCTTCATGTTTGATACGGACGGCATCCATCCGCAGCGCCACTTGCTCCCTCTCCCCCTTTAAGCGAATGATTTCATCTCGCAGGGCCAGCTTCTCCTTCTGAACATGACGGAGCCGTCTGCGTAAAGAATGCCAGTGGTTTAAATGGATAGCCTGGCATGTCGTCAGTAAAGCGCCCATCAAATTCAACACGGCGGGACTCACATGCTGGAGCAGCCGAGAGCCAAGCTCTTCTCGGTACGCTGCAATAGCACGCATCCTAACCCTCAATTCCTTCTTCTTGCCCAAATCATCAGAGGCCTGCACCGACTTCCGGAGGGTTTCCAAAGTCGATGAAATCACTTCTTCGCAGACCTGTGCGAAGACATCTACTACCGTCTCTCCACCGCGGTTGGCAAACGGAATCTCTTGCTGTAGCTCATCTTCGTCATCGGCGCCCTGGGCAAAGTTATTGACAAACCGTTGGACGGTGATTTCAATCGCGGCGTCGTCGTCTCCATCACTCCCCGTACTGTGGCGTCTCGTCCTTTGCTGTGGCTTGGGCCGTCTCGCAGGTTGCCTCTGGGCTGCCGGGCTTCTGCGGTGCCTCTTTTGAAGGGGTTCTTCGGGCTCATTGTCTTCTGATTCCTCAGAACCCAGTTCCGGAGACCGCGTCACGTGAGGTCTTGGACGCTTTACGCCGATGGATTGAGCGGCCCTTCGATCGTCTATCTCTACGGCTCCTTCATCGGAATGATCTGATTCCTCGGGCTCCTCGGGCTCCTCGGGCTCCCCCCTCGCCGCTTCTGGCCGCTGTTGCGGTGGACGGATGCGAACTTGGTTGCTTGGCGTCTCCTCCCGCTCTTCTTCTGATTCTTCAGGGACTGCTGGAATCGATGGCCTAGCGACAATACTCGGACGCTTATTTGCCAATGGAGATGACGGTTGTGCCGTTGCGTCGTCTTCGTCGGTTATGTCCGGTGTCCGACCTGTGGGCGCTGCGGTGATGTATACCGCTTCGTTGATGCGCTGCCTGTGACCGCTCCCAGGCTTCCCAGCTGGACTTTCCGTGACTTCTTCTGTAAAATTACTGACCGCTGCAGCTTTTCTCGGAAGCACAGCGCTTGAAGGAGGGCGCACCGGCTCTGGTTCATCCGATACGGGCCTATCGCGTTCAGACGGCGCTGACCTCGGTGCGCTTGAGCTTCGGGCGCCAGGCACATCCGCGCTTCCGGGGGGCTGGTACGGAGACGCTGTGTCCTCTCGAGTACCGGGCGCATTACTAGTTTGCCTGCTTGGAGGGCTTGTACGAGCAACCGGCTGCGCGGGCACCGAGCCGGGCGAGCTTGAGCTTTGTATTGCCGGCCCGGTGGCAATGCCGGGGATATCGAGGCTGAGCGTATCGTTGTCGTCGACGTTTGTCCGCCTGCAAAGGTGTCAGTCAGAAGACGGGGCGGCCAGGGGGTTTTCAGCACCAAGCACGTACCCGGCACCACGGAGTCGCTCGTTGAGCTTCCCCTCGCGACGTTCCCTTCCTGTTTTTGCTCGGTCATCATCACATGGTCGGGGGGCTGGGAAATGCGCCGTAAGAGGCTTACCTGTTGCCATTCCGGGGGACGAGTGAGCGCGTTATAACATGCGAAGAATGGTATGCCGTGCTCGCGAATGTTTGTCGACACCCATCGTGAGCGTACGCAGGGGATGTGGTTGTGGTGATGATCGGGGTTGATGGTCACGGACGCGAATGTGGTTGAGCCGGACGCGTCTCGGTCGTCGTTCCTGACAGTGACGTCGTGGGGCATAGCGGCTCTGGCAGAGCTTTTGGGTCGCACCGTTGACCCCACTGTGCTGGAAGAGACATGGACCAATTGGCTGCGGCCAATGGTTTCACTTTAACCTGACGACACTGCTCTTCTGGGCCGTGGTAGACCATGTTGCTTGCCATTGCGGACTTATCCTGGCGTAAGTCATTGCATTTCAGCCTCGGGAGACTTGTGTCTCCAATGTCCATACAGCGGTCGGCGAAGATAACTTGATATTTGTATCACGCATCAATGCCTGCCACCACATCTCTCGGCTAGTATTTCTTGTGCTAATATGGGATTGTGGCCCGCACACACTCGACCCTCCTGGCACATCTACACCTTTGACTGCGCGAAATTCTGTATCATTTTTGATGTCAAGCATCCCTTTGCCGCTCGGAGGGTCGGACCGTGTCGCCTCCCGCAATGTTCAGATACGGCCCGGTATCAATCTTGATTCAGCAGGCATCAATCAGAATGGCGGAATTAACCCGCGTCGGTGCCACGTGTTGGCACTTACTGTATGACGATGAGATACGGCTTTCTGGCCGCGACAGTCACACAGACGAGCATTCGCACGCCGCACATGGTTGTCGTCTTTTCGTCCAAGCTTATTTTTGTCCTTTTCGTTTTGGTTTCATGAAGCAAATATGCCGGCCTGGAGGCGATTTTGGCAAAGAACATCATCACCACGGTCTGGTGCTGTGCCCGTGGTCAAGTTCGGTCTTGTGCCGGCCTTTGTGGCACGAACCAGACACCTGTTTTACCAGGTACGTACTGGGTGTGGCGAGATGAGGGTGAAGACGTCGAGTACGTACGGATCAGCACTCCGTATCTCAGACGGGTAGTCCTTATTTGAAGGCTGCCCTTTGTCTGTCCTCGCGGGTCATCCCCCGGCGGAGCGGGTGTCAATCGATACTGGAAAGCAGCCGCTCCTCGTCATGGCGTCGCAGCATCATGCGCAGGACTACTGGAGTTTCCGGGTAGGTACCCGGGTAGTCAAGTTTAGCTGGACGTCGTGATTTGCGTTGAAACGTGCACTCTGGTGGCCCCGCGCACGCCAAAAGATTGAAGACATTTTCCACAGCCTGGCCTGACCGTCTCTGTTTTGGCTGGCTCGGGGCCAAACCGCTGGCAGTACGGAGTGCACAGTGCATGGTACTCCGTACTCCGTACTCGGTACCCTATTTACTCCGTACTTAAGTACTCCGTACCCTGTTATTTATTTACTCCGTGCGGAGCATTGACTCCAGGGTCGGGCAGCCCCACCGGGTCGGTGCAACCAACCACGGCCCAATCAACTGACACAACTCGAGCTCATGTGCTTGCAGCTTTTTGCGACACAAGTTACAACAAGGCATCTCCAACCCGTCATCGCTTGGGCCCGTCTTCTTGCTTCAACGCGAATCTCATGCCCCAGCTGTCATCTTATTCTAGTTACCTCGCTGCTGTTTTGGCTTCCCCTCTGTCAACCCTGGAACAAGTCTGACGAGCACCTCGCTCGGAGCCGCAGCCATGGTAAATTGGAACGTGAGCCACCTAGCCGCCTCGTCCCTTGCTCTCTCCTCTCTCGGCGACAGCAGGCACTGACCAGGTCGTTGACGATCACTAGGTCTTTCGAATTTTGGGGGATCTATCCCACCTCGCATCCAAAGCTATTCTCATATTTGCCATACACTCGAACCGCAGCGCCGAAGGCGTCTCCCCAATCACGCAAGTCCTGTATGCCCTCGTATTTTGCACCAGATACCTCGACATCTTTCGAACAACTATATTATGGAACTTGCTGTTCAAGATCGTCTACATCTCCTCGTCATTCTACACCATCGGCATAATGCAGTGGGTGTACCCGCGCTCGAGGGAGCGCGAGCTCTCGTGGAAGCTAGGCGGAGGCGTCCTCGTCGCCGCCGCAGTTCTGTCGCCCTTCATGATGATGATCTTCTACGACAAGTGGGGTTTCATTACGGTCGGTGCAAGATCCCCCGCACGAGCCTACATACGGAGCTCGCTAACGTGACGGCAACAGTGGATGTGGGTGTTTTCCGAGATTCTCGAGTCGGGCTGCATCCTGCCTCAGCTTCTGCTCCTGCGGCAGACCACGGTGCCGACCGTCATCAACTCCTTCTACCTCGTTGCCCTCGGATCCTACAGGGCCCTGTACATCTTGAACTGGTTCGTCCGTGAGTTCGACGCGACCGGCCGAAAGCCCGAGGCGGTAGCCGTCATCTTCGGCGTCATCCAGACGGCGCTCTACTTCGACTTTGCCTGGGTTTACTACACCCGGCAGCGTGTCAAGCTCCGAGGCGGCGGCATCGTCGACGCGGACGACATGCGCCGCGGCTGGCTGCTCCGCCGCATTTTTGGGAGACACGTGGAATCCGCCGACGATGAAGAAGGCGCTCCCGCGCTGGGCGGCGACGGAAACGGACCTCGACGAGCGGCTCGGCCTGGCTGGGGAGCTCGCGGCATTTCCGTCAGTGCGGACGAGGGCATGTTCGACGCGGAACGCCACCACGATGATGAGGAAGAGGGTTTGGGTGGAGACCACGTCGATCCGGATGCGAAGATGAAGGATCCGGATGAGCTAGCAAAGGCCCTGGACGACGATGACGATGAGGGCCATCCTGTTGCTGCGTCGTCAAAGGGGAGCGCTGGGGCCAGTGTGCCCAACGGCATGCGCAGCGGTGACGAATGGCGAGATTAAGGAGCTCGCCAGCATTGTGGGTGTCGGGGTTTGGCTTTTTTTTTTCAGGATTGGGGGGGGGGTCGGGTTCCGAACATGTAAGTCAGGACAAACACCTTGTTTAGCTTTGGGCGAAATGGGTCTTTTGTAGGTAAATTACGGCATTGAGTGCCTAGGTACGGGTAGTTGGGACATAGACTGCGCCAAGTGTCACATACATCTAACGAATGCGTGTTCAACTGGAAAGGAGAAGCGAATGAAGGTTGTTGTGTTTCTCCAAAAAGGACCCTCATTCTCCGCATCTTCCCGCCTCACGTGTGGAGCGAAACGGAGTCGCCCCAACTACGTACGCAGTAATACGCGAGGTGCCGTTGTGCCTAGGCACCTGGGTGGTAATCATGTGAAAGCGGTCGTCAGCTCACAAAACGTCACACTTCCTCAAAAACCCGAGGTCTGGTGTTTGGTATCCAAAAATTGTATGCGCATTGTGCCCGGCCCGATCAATATTCGTGCCTAGCTAGTGTCCGTCTTCCGCAGCTCCCCGTAAACCGTTGCCTCCCGTATGGCTGCAGCTCTTGCGAATCCATGGTAATCAATTCCGTCCGCCAGAGCAAAACACCGCGCCTCCGCTTTCCCCCGGAAAAAAAAAAGAAGAAGAAAAAGGTGATGAAGAAGAAGAAGAAGACAAAAGGAACATGGGGCCTTTCATGAAGGCTAGCAGGGCACTCCTGGCCCGCTTTCCCCGCCTAGGAACAACGCGGGGACCGGCCAAGCACTGTTGGCCTCGCAAACATCAAGACGTGACTAGAGAATAACGACTCGGAAAGACAAATACTTTGTAGGCTTCTTGGCTTTGATACATGATGTTGAACAAGACGGGTGCGATTTACATGACGAACCGCTGTTCAAAGACTTGGTACAACTTGGGGCTAATCTCGTCGCTGCTCATGCCCTCGACTTCGACGAGGATGCCCCTCTTGGCGTAGTGTTCGAGCAGGGGCTCGCTGGCCTCCTGGAACTTTTGGAAGCGCGCGCGGTAGACGTCCTCGGTGTCGTCGGGGCGCTGTGTCAAAGGCTCGCCCGTGACGTCGTCGCGACCGGGGACGTCTGGCGCATTAAAGGTCGTGTTGTAGACTCTGCCCGAGGGTTCGTGGACCCAGCGGCCGGCGATGCGCTCGAGGATGACTTCGAAGGGCGTCTTGAGCGAAACCGCCAGGTTGATGGGGACGATGCCCTCGAGACTGCTGGCCTGCGCGGCATTGCGGGGGTACCCGTCGAGGATGAAGGATGCCGTGGGGTCCTCGGAGACTTGCGCCGGCGAGAGGGGACGCCCGGCAGCAAAGGCGCCCAGCGTCATGGTGTCGGGAGCTTGCACGTCGGCGGCGGCGGCGGCGGTGGCCTCGGACGAGAGCGTCATGACCTCTGGGGGTCCATGGCTCTGCAGCCAGCCGCGGTTCCGGAGTTCGCTGGAGATGAGGCGGAGCATCAGGTCGTCGGCGACGAGGCCGCCGGCGTTCATGGTGCTCTCGGCCTTGATGCCTGCGGTCATGTCAATGAGGGGTGTGCTTTGATGGGCTTTGCGGCCGGGGGGGAGGGCGGACTGACCGAGGGGCGTCCGGTTCTTGACATTGCTGCGAAGCAAATCGCCGGTGCTGATGGACGCAAGTTGGGGGAACCGTCTCAACAACCGTTCGCTCTGGGTACCCTTGCCGACGCCAGGGGCGCCTACGATAATGACTCTGGCTGCTCTTCTAAGTTGCATTCTCTGGTGAACTGGCTGGTCGATTGGACGATGGAACAGACGCTCCGTCGGGCGGGTGCCTTGGAAGCCGTAGACTCTGGCAGGCGATCGCCGTGGCGTAAGCGAGCGGGCAAGGTTCGTTGAGTCGCTTGTTGGGGGGGCGAGTCTAGTGTGCTTCGGCAACGTCGCAAAACCAAATACAGAATGACAATAATGAAGAAAGAAGCGATGGGTATATGTCGCGAGGGGCGGGCGGGCAAGCGGAAACGACGTATTAATGACGGGCAGGCAACAATGGCTGTGCTAACGGTGGTGTGTGGTCAACGTGATTGTAGTCAGTTTGCGGTCAGACGGACGTGCGGGCGGGCAGGCCCTCGATTGAAGATGCCGAAGCCGGCGGGTGGGTGGTGGCTTGTGGGCGTTCTTGTCCGCGCAAGCAGGTCATATATCCCCTGATGCAGTGTGATTGTGGGTAAGACACTTTGGCCGAGTGGTTAAGGCGGTGCCCTGCTACTAGCATGCTCTAGTGAGGCATTACATTCGTGTGCGTAGGTTCGAATCCTGCAGGTGTCGTTTTTTTTCTTGTGCCCTACTTTTTTCCACTCATCATCGCCTTGGAAGGCACTGTATACAACTCAAGCTCCCATCGGAAAGAAAATTGAGAGATCTACATATAATCACATTTTGGCCTCGGCATTCACTCTGAAACTAATGCGCCGAGTCGCGCAAACTCTCACGTATATGGCACTGAAACCACGATCTATTTACTGAGCGGCAGCACCCAGAATAGATCTTCGTTTTTCGTTGGGCTTGGCATCCGTGCGACAAAACCTTCTTTTTCTCGCCCTAGAGAAAGGCGGCTGGGGCGGCCATTGATATTTATCGCCTACAGCCCTGGATCGTGGTCAACGACGTATAACCAGCTACCATGCCTAGCTGCAAATAGGACCTTCCAGACGGTCGTCAGATAGTCACCGTCGGAAATCGGCGAAGATGACGGAGGACCATCGCCGGATAACTGCGTCCATCTCTGTCAGAGCTAGATGTCTCTGATAAAAAGGTGAGAATAGACTGCTTCAGGTTGCTCACGAGTTTGGTAGGTGGATGCTTCCGAGGCAAAAAGAACACACTTTTACTGCTATTGGACGGGCATCTTTCAACAATGCACAGACGTCTGTATTACCTTGAAGTCACTGAATTGGATGCGTCGGTAATGCTATGCATTATCTTGGTGGAAGATATATCTCAGTGTATCACTAAAAAACACATACGTCACCTTATTCCACAGGGGCTACGACCACGACACTAGGGCAGAAGGTCCCTGCACAAATGGAAATCTTGTGGAAAACGAAGGACCTTGTAAACTAAAGCGTGTTATTGCGATTGAACTCAGGTATTTCTCCAAGCTCCTTTGCTACATGCCTCATCACACGGTTACACTCCGAGTAGAAAAGTAGAGGTAACGTCGTCCGACGGAAGAATGAGCTGCAGTAGGAAACAGGACAAGAGACTGGGCCGGAGACTATGACTGCTCAGCTGCCTGACCAAAAGACTAGATGTGGACAAGAATAGCTCACGCGACACATCTCTTCGCGATACTTGGAGGTGTGAACTCCATTGCAGCGAGGCGCGAGATTATCTGGCGGTGTAATTCTACAGCAATCAATCACACTGAATTTATGCACTGTTGCAACTGTGTTGGCTGTAAAAGATTGCTTTCTGATTCTCCTCTGATGTCTGACCTCATTTCCAGAGAGTTCAGACGGAGTCATGCAGCCACAGTCGTTGCAATTTGAGGGCTTCGCTCTTGCACATCTTCATGCCGCACCTCTAGTTATACAAAGTTCAGCTCCAAAATGAACCACAGTTTTTCGTGGGGTTTGACAGGTCTACTCCCTAATACATTGTACGCCTTAAGCGCCGCTATAACGCCTTCAAAGGGGAGCATTCAGAGGCGCGCCAAGGAGGCGGCGGTCGACGGCTTCTCTAGATGCAACGTACAGATCAGCCATGAATGTGCATATGGCCATGAATGTGCATATGGCCACAGAAAATATGCCATTGTCGCATCCTGCCTAGTCACAGTCGCAAGGGTCTCCTCTGTCCTTGATCCTGACGACGTCGCGCCCACCACACTTGCGGTCACCACGTCCCGCTTCCCTTTGTGGCAGAAGATCGGTCGTCCCCGGGAAAAGAACTGCAAAATTCTACGTATTCTGGGTATCTCTCTCAAACATCTTGCTTGCCACTTCAGAACCCAGAGAATGTGGTGGTGGACGCTCGTTTTGAGTCATAATCTCAGCACTAACTGATTCTCCGCTTCACCGACAACTGTGTTGAGTATAAGATCTGGTGTAGTGTGTCCTTCAGAGTATCACATTCCAACGTCTGGCGCGGCAGTTGGCGTTTCTTAAATATGGCAATAGAAGGGCCATTCTTTTCGTGTTCTCTGAGGTCGTTTCTGGCCTTTAACTGTAGTACTATAGCTATTTTCGGTCCATTCTCCGCCAAATTTATTGTTCTGCCAGCGAGTACGAGGTTATAATTTCGTGTACATGTAGGGTTATTAGACTGAGAATCAGGAACAAGGCCTAACCTATGATATGGAGTGTAAAGTCTGTCGAGTGCGTCGAAACATTTGGTGCGTGTTTGCGAAGGGTGTCCCATGAGATGTTAGACAGGCGGCACAGTAGCCATGCGACCAGAGAAATGACGTAGACTAAGTCGATCGACCAAAAACGGCTTAAAACAGCAAGGGAACAAGATCATCTGACCAATATTCCTACTCTTGTGGCACGTAGCGGCGTTGAAATGGATTGTGGAACAAGGCGGTTGAATAGATCGTCAGGAACGCACCTCACATACTCCACAGGAAATGAAATTCAAACGTTTGATGGGACTAGTCAAGGTGAAGTATTGTATGACGGGCCTTCAAACAGCGCTTTCAACACGGCGAGAAACAGTCAACGTCTTCTTCATGCCGAACCAGCGGAACCATGTGTGCAATGGGACGCTTGAATACAAGTGAATGTCAAGTAGCTATTCGATCAATCTACTTCCTCTACACTTGGATAATCTTGTCCTGAAAGTATATGTTGAAGTCTGTACGGCGTTCTGCAATGCACACAGTTTGTTGACGGCAGAATTGCAAGCACAACCGCCGGTAGATGACACTTGCTAGTCGTAATCTTGGCTGCCATGGTATCGAATTAGTAGTCTAGAGAACTGTTGCGACTATACAGATCTTCTAGATCCTAGACATCTCTAAATATGAAAAGGTTAGTTGAAGAATCTCCGAACTAAATCCACCCGCAGGGTCTAATTCTCTAGGCACGAAATCTGAAGTCATATCCGATTCAAATACTGGGAAGTAGGTGAGCGGCCTCCAAGGAGTGTGCTTATAGCAGATTGGCCCTCTCTTGGCATGAAGTTGGTGGAAGAAATTCTCGTTCCATGTGCATTCCATCACAAGCCATGGCTGCCTCGCGGAAGAGGCGTCCTCATACGCCCAGGCGAAGAGGCTGAACAAAAACTATAAAACAACAAGCAAGTTCAACTAAAGAAAGAGACCATTGGCAGCAGCGTGTTCACCAAGCATAGAAAAAAGGAGCATGACCAGAGGTCAAAAATAAGCTTCGACACCTGCAGGATTCGAACCTACGCACACGAATGTAATGCCTCACTAGAGCTAGTAGCAGGGCACCGCCTTAACCACTCGGCCAAAGTGTCTTGGCAGAAGCACGGGAGCAAAGTAGTACATATCCTATCTACCAAATCTCCTTAACCCTAACCTGTATTTACCGCTCACAATCCCGAGTTACCATCTCACCATCCTATCGCTGTCACTCGACAACCTGCGCCCACTCATCTGGGCGCTTTCCTGAGCACTTGTTTATCAATATTCAAGCCGCCAATGACATGCAAACGCACGAGCGCCTGTCCAACAGGGGTTCAGAGATTTGGATACCAAAGTGTGTTGTATGCTAAATTGAGCTACGTGATGCTCCAAGCCCTCAGATGTGCTCTCGTCAGAGAAACATAGTGTTGCAGGCGTTGTGTGTTATCGCTAGTGTGCCCAATGGCAATTTTGCCAGCCCCAATAATAGCAACTGTCCTGAATGTCTGACCCCGAGTTGATAGCAGTACCATCACGCGCTCGCATGCGGTACATTTCCGTGGTGTTTGGCTTTAACTCGCCTCGGGCCACGCGCACGCTGCCAGCAGCGACAGGAACTGCACCAAGAATCACGGTCAGTAATCAGTACCTTGACAGTGAGACGCCGGATGCTTTAACTGACAATGAGGAGAGCCAATCATGACCGGAAATGCAGTCACAAGGGAAACAGGGAAAATAGCGCCGAAAACGAGGAACAGACGCATGATTACTCTTTGGGAGATGAAAAGAAGATGTGAGTGCTAAGACTAGGTTCAGGACGTTTGAAGTGAATTGCGACGGCCTCAGTACCATTGAGAGCTGCTTAGTACAGCTATATATATGCGTTCAAGGGCGTGCATCTAGAAATCTGCCTTGGTTTGTGACACCCGCTGTTACCAGCAGGCATCACTGCTAACTGCCAATGCGGATGGACTGATTTGGTAACTGTTCTGCCTATTCATGTGAGGGATGCCGTCTGCAGTGCAAGTTGCCATTAGTAGACGTACGTGAATCTCGAGCTGTTTTCATAATTGCAACGTGCCACGTAAAGAATAGCGTAGCCAGAGGCCACTTTCCACGTCTGTCGATACCCGAATATCTAGTGACGCGCATTCTTTCAAGTTTAACTTGCATGCTGGTGGGCTGGGCTTCCTGTTTAGCCCGGGTTACTAGCTTCCGTATCTGGCTCTTTTGTGGCCGAGTGCTGTCGTCACATGTTAAATTGAGCCTAAAGCAGTGTTGAGTCAGCGTAGTCCACAAATATATCATGCAAGTTTTGGCGTAATTGAACATTATCTTTCGCCACTATGTCCTACATCCTTATGAGCACCAGCCGTGCCGCTACTATTACCCTTTTAGGAAACCGGTGTTCCGCGAAGGGAGTTCTGCCCGGCCGTTCCGGCGAGGATTGCCGGGAGCGAATGACCCGCTGCTTCCCGAGCGCAGTTATTTCAAGCATGGCGGGCAGGGAGCACGACAGAGCCTGTCATCGAAACGTTGATAATCTTGGCAGAAGAAGAAACAAAGTTGCCCGTGACAAAGGAGCCAGGCAAAAGGATGTTCGAAACTGCGATAGCGTGACAAGGGCTGGATCACAATAGTGAGCGATATCAGGGCTTAGAGCGGAAGAACTCAAGCCGCGAATAATACTACATTGTCTAAAACATCCTTGGTTCCTTGACAGAAAGGACTCAACCAACGGAGCTGTTGTCGTATAGACCTGATGTCCTGGTCGTCTTCAAAGGGGGAGACAACCAAAAAGGGCAGCTGAGGCAAGGAATAAGAGTACTCGTATGAGCTTCAGGACAGTCTCAAGTTGGTGGATGGCGTCGAGCTTCTGATGCTCCCCCAGACAGCTAAGATATTGACTGAGCATCTCTCCGGGAACAAACTTATTAAGGCTCTATCCCTAGTCCTCGTCACGTTTGTCAGGACTCTAGATGTACATTTTAGGTACCACTGAAGACTTAATATCTGACGAGGCGTTGCTCAAAAGTGACATAGCTGTGATTTCATTCTGAACTTGTCTTGTCTCAGTGATAATAGCTTTAGGCCGCGACATGCGAAAGACTGCCTCGAAAGCATTTAAGGGAATCCGCACGGTCTAGTTCCGCGCCGCGGTGCCGCCAGTGAGAAGCAATCTCGGGTCATGACACCTTATTTTTCAATTCCTTGTAAAGGCATTGTTGCCAACGAGTCTGCGGAATGGTCTTGAACCACCGGCTGCTTCTTAAGTTGTCCGCCTTGAGCAGCGTCAAATTGGGCAGATAATGGAATAGGAGTGCTCCTCTAGCTCCGCCTTGTTATTTTGTCAAGCAGACCCGACAATGCCAACTCGTCGACACGTTAAGCCCCAGGAAAGGCAGGAACGTTGGTCCGGCGCTTCCTATTCAAGAATAGTCCCCGGCCACGTCGGGCCGTGTGCCGAGCCCGGCTCCAGCGGAGGGGCATGGGGCCGCACGCGGGTCCATTGCGAGGACGGGGCACCAATCTGTCATGTGCCAGAAGCTCTGAAAAGTCCTCGGGCTTGGTCGGTCGCACCTGTGGTAATTTCTCTCCATGGAACTACATATGTGAATGTCAGACGGATGTTGGTAACACAAGGGCTATATTTACAAGACTTAGGGCGGAAGGCTGCGGCATGGAGTTCGCTTTCGTGGCAGCATTAGCTGCAACCTTGTGTAAACAGAATAACGCCGGCTGGTGCCTAGTTTTAAGAAAAGTAGCTGCCTATCAAGGGCCACGAATTAGGCTGTTTTCGCATCTGCGTCCAGAATGCGGCAAGTCTTCGGAGGAGGCGCGGGACAAGGGATGCCATTTCGACATTGAGCTTATCGTGGATACCACCTCTGTGTTTCGACCAAGAACTAACTAACGGTGGACCTGGTGGAATCCGGCTGGGTCTTTTGTCGCATAGCATATAAGGTGGTCTACCGCACACAAAAGTGTGGCGTAGGCCACGCCCAACTTTTGGTGTGACATCTTTGTAGTCTCCGCTTGCCCTCAAGCGAGCACCACCACTACACGGGATTCTTCACAAGCTTCGGACGACGGGAACCAAACCACGTGTCGTACATGGGCTTCGGGTGCCGGTCTGTCTCTGAAGGCGAATTCGACGGTTCCAACCGGCAGGGCAAGAGTCCGGAGGCCAGCAAGATGAGAGCCGATGCAGCCGGGTTGGGGTTGTCATCTTATCAATTTATACTCCTTATCAATTGATCCGATATGCCGGGATGAGGGCCGTGCGCAGATCGCTCCACCATACCTCTGTATCGGCTAACGTTAATTTATCGCCCCACTATCAACCCTTTATCCAGTCGTAATTACTGGATCCACGGGATCGGGTTTGAACTTTTTCCCAGTTTCCCATTCCCGAACGCAGAGGTTCCGCCGCATCCAAGACCCGACCCGTGTCTCGCCGACGATGCGGTCCAGCCTCTCGTGCGATGCATGCAGGCAAGTCTATCTCATCTACCGGGATACCGTGCTGGCCCAATCGATCTAACCGGGTGAGATGCAGGCGATCCAAACTAAAGTGCATACACGAGGGGACCGCGCCGTGCCAGAGGTGTCGTAGTCGCGGGAACAGAGAATGTGTCCTCACCCGGCCTGTGTCGAGGACGCCTCGCAAGAGCAAGGCAAGGCCTAGAGATGTAGGGGACCCGGCAACGGCGGCAGAGGCTTGTCGAAAAACAACAGATGATGCTACGTTGGCACCTCGCCAAGGCGCACAAAGCGAATCTCCAGCGCGGCGCCGCGGCCAGGCCAAGCAGCAGCAGTTGCCGCCGTCCGACTACACGAAGCAGTTTGTAGGCTCTCACATGGACAATCTTCCCAACAGCGTCATCCTCCAGGCCGTCAATCTCTTCATCAGCACCTTTCCCGAGCTTGCAATCTTGCATCTTCCCACGTTCGTCGCAGAGCTCCGCGGGCAGCGCGGCCCTGAAAGCAACGTCTTGCTCGGCGCAGTCTTGGCCGTGGCCAAGGCGCAGTTGGAGGTGCAAGGCGCCTCGTGGGCGGGCGAGTTATTGTCGCGGGAGCACTATGCCCTGTATACCAAGGAGGTCTTGTCCGACCTCATGTTGAGGCCGCCCAAAGTCCAGGTTGTCCAGGCCTTGTTGATCATCACTCTTCATGAATGGGGCACCAGAGACTTTCACAAGGCATGGGTGTATTGTGGTGAGTCCCTTGTCCTCTCCGTTCTGTTTCTCTGGCAGGTTCCATGCGTTGACCCCCCGTGCAGGAATTGCGATTCGAATCATGCAAGCATTGCACAGCCTGCGAGTCGCACCCTACCCGCTCGACATAGCGTCCGAGCGACGGCACGACGCTGTTTCGCTGGCCGTGGAAACCAGGACCTATTGGGCGTGCTTCATCATGGACTGCATGGTCAACTCGGGCACCTATACACCTCCCATGCTTCCCATGTCGGAAATGCAGAAGATGAAGATTGCTCGGCCGTTGAGCGCCGTCGAGTTTGCCTTTGGGCCAGACGCACCTCCGCAATCTGTGGGTGGCCATCACTCGCTGGCGGGCCAGTCGACCGGCGTGCTCGACGTGACGCAGAGCTTCGAGATACTAGTGGGCGGTTTCGACATCTGGGCCCAGGTAATGACCTTCATCTTCAACGACGGACGCCGGGCACCGGGCATGTGCGCACCCCAGAACTGCCCCTGGGTCCCGGCGTCGCCCTGGTCACAATCCCGAAGCCAGCTCGAGGCCTGGAGGGCAGGCCAGCATCGGAAGCTCCATTACCCCAGCAACTCGGTGGCCGTCCACATGACGCTCGGCTTCGGCGAGACGTTCGTCTACCTCAATCTCCTGTACTACGTGAGGTAAGAATCCCCTTCCCACAGCGGTAGCGGTCGACGGGGCTCCCAACTTGCCGCCGCCGCCCCTGCTTACGCCTTGTCAGCACCCTCATGCTTCACCGCGAGTACTTCCCCTTCCTGCCGACCCCGGAGTCGGAGCCACGGGGTCCAGTCGACCAGCCCATGCTGGGGGCGCCCGCCCCCGAGGGCTGGTGGGACGACAGCTCCCGACTCCTCTTCGGCGCGGCAGAGCACATCGCCGCCATTCTACACGAGGCCTCCGAGTGTGGCGTGCATCTCATGACGCCCTTTGCCGGGTTCTGCGCATTCTCAGCCGGCTACCTCAACCTCTACGTGGCGAAATACCCCCGAATGAACCTGGGCCGCAGCCCGCGAGCAAGCGACTGTCTCAAAATGTGTCTCGACTACCTGGAAAAGTTTCGACTTGTCTGGAAAATCGCCGACGGATGGGTAAGCCGCCCGCAAGCATGACACGACCGTGGCCACCGTTGCGCTAACATTGAGAGGGCGGCACGCGCAAGATCAAAACGATACACCATGCATCCGTGCTCTACGAGCGAGCAACCGAGGACCGGACACGATACCAGGGGCGCACACGAGCAGACTTTGATACTCTACACCAGTCTGTCCACGAGTTCCGTGTCGTGGATAGATCCGACGCGCATACTCGGGAGATTCGGGGCGCGGAGCGGCCCTCGGCGCAGGCGACTTGGCCGGTTCAAGGGCACGAGCACGAGCACGAGCACGAGCACGAGCACGAGCTCGACACTAATACCTTGTTGAACCAGCTTTTCGCGGAAGTCAGCAATAACCTCGACGAGCAGGGGGCCTGGTCTCAATGGTGGCCGGCGATTGATCAGGTGGATCTTTAATGAGCTGCGTAATTACATCCGGGGTTTTTTTTTTCGTTGAAGCTTCCAATGAATGAGTGACGACCTTTGATTTTTTTGATTTTTTTTTTAAAAAGGGCTGTAATATCTGGTTTTCTATACATGTCCTATTTTTATTTCCCGGTCTAGAAAAACAGTCAACAGATAATGCACCTCTTCATATGGCTCCCCTCCCGTCACCGCCAACAAATGCATACCTGTCGCGTCAACCATTCGCCGTTTCTCCTTCCAATCACGCCTTTGCAAAGACCTTTCTCGAGTTCATCAGGCGAACAGCAAGCATAAAGAGCATGCCGACAAAGGACGCTGTCCCCGCATAGTAAGCAGCCGGTCGGTAGAGACTGACATCGGTTCCAGTTCCCGCCGCGGAGTACAGTCTCGCAGCAATCGGGGTGCCCTGGTACCGGTGTCAGCATTCTCACGGAAGAAGAAAACAAGCGGGCTTTCGCTCGTCAGGTAGGCAGGCTTTGGCATACCAGGAAGTAGCCGAAAATCCAGGCCTGCCACAGAATGGGCAAAATGCCCATGGTGTTCAAGGAGCCAAAGGTAGTCTCCACGGCGAGAGGGAACAGACTGAAAAAGGAGCCGCAGCCGATGCCGTTGATGATGGTGAAGGAGACGAGCAAGCCCATGTTCGTCACGAACGGCCACATTGCCAACGCGCTCGCGCCGCACAAGAGGAGCGAAATGGTTAGACTGTTGAGCGGACCGAGGAACGAATCGGCAGAATAGCCGGCAAACACACGACCCAGCGTCGACGCTAGGTTCCATATCGTGAGGGCAACGACGGCGGTCGAGCCAGAGCTGCTGCTGCTGCTGCTGCCGCTGTTGCCGACGGACCGGGCGAAGATGGGGATAAAGTACGGCGGGACAAAGAGAGGGAAGCACGCAATGGCACCACCGACGAGTAGAAGGATGAACTTGGGCTCCCGCCATCGATACCTGGCGCTCTGTCAGGCAAGGCAACGGACGAACGAGGGTCGTGCTTGAGCGCAACGGTGCAGCTTACCACTGAAGTTGGGGAACGCACGACTTGGACAGCAAGGGCTGCTTGATGCAGTAGGCGGCCGGGAGACAGAGCGCCCACAGCATGAAGCCCAAGATGCGAAACGTCCACTCGATGCCGACCTTGTTGACGAGCTCGCTGGAAGCGACGCCCATGACTGCGGCGCCGAGACTCCCGCCGCCAAAGACAATCCCCGTCGCAAGCCCGCGATACTTGCGGAACCACTGCAGCGGCGCTGTCGAGCAAGGCTGCGCCCCGTTAGCAAGGACGTCATCCCGTCCCGTCATATCGAGGCGGGCATACCAAAATCGTCAAACCCCCTCCGATACCAAACAATATCCCATGCGTGAGAAACAGGGCCCACAGGTGGCCTACGGCCCAACTCGACAGAAACTCGCCCAGTCCCAGTAACACGGCGCCGACCAAGGCCGGCCTCGTGTAGCCAAACTTTCTGACCAGCTTGCCCACCAATATACACAGCGACACCATGAAGGACGTGGCCAACGAGCCGACAAATGTGAGGGTCGTCAGCGAGTAGCCCCTGGCGTCGGCCATCCTCGCCTGAAGCACGCCCCAGCTGTATATGACACCCATGTACATGAAGAGAGACGTGGACGCGGCGGCCACCACCAACCATCCCCGCCAAGTGTCGAGGTGAGCGCCATCCGCGGCCGCGGTGTGCCGTCCCGGACCTGGTTCGTCACCGGCATCTGGATCCGATGCCGACGAGCCGGGTCTAGTAGGCGGCTTCTCGGATGCTGGTGCCATGTTGACCTCGGACGCGCCAGGGGCTGTGTTGTGCATCTTGTACAGGGAGTAGGTTGACAAAGACGTCCATTTCTTTCAGAAGGGAAAGAAAGCTCAAAAGTCGGCTGATTTTGTAAGATTTTTTTCTTCCATCGGGTTTGTGCTCCTAATCCGATGCTGTTGCAGCGAACTCGACTCCATATTTGGTCCAATTTTTTTGTTTAATTTTTCCTTGCCCCGTCCTGCTGTTGTTGCGTCGTGTGGATACTTTGTGTTATCGTGAAGTGGTTCGTGGTGGTGGGGGCATCGTTGCTTTGGAAGACGGTGTCTCGGGCTACGTGTCGACCTTGTCATGGAAGGATCACTTGGTGCCTCTTGGAACGGGTCCAGATTCTGGCCGTGAAGCCGATGCCGGGACTCCTCGCAATGACCGACTGTCGGTCACTGTTTGGCATCCATGCCGGCCTTTGACGCCCACGCCCTCCGATGACGTCGGGTTTCGGCTTTGACGGCGTGCGTTTCGGCTTCGGCCGTGAATCACTAATAAGCCACGGGTCATGTTGCAGTCGCACGGCAGCAGCTCATGCACTTCGACCAGTTATCTGGGCACCATCTTGCATAAACTCAAATACGCAGAAACCCTGCAAAGCATTCTTATTTTGGCCGTGCTGCATGTTCCATGTTGTGTTGCATGGACGATGGCTCCTCCTCGTTGCACCGCACCACCACCACCACCACCACCAATCGCCCGCGAAACCGTCAAGGCGGCGACGCACAAGGGGCGTCTTTTGCACAGGTCCCTGGCCAATCCTCCGCACATGGTGGCATCCGCTCTCGGGAGCACCTTGCACCTCGCCAATGGCCGGACTGTGATTGACGCCTGCGGTGGTGCCGCCGTGGCAATCATCGGCCACGGCAACCAAGAGGTCCTGGATGCCGTCGTCGCGCAGGCCCAGAAAGTCAGCTACGTCCATACGCAGTCGTACAGCACGCCCGTAGCCGAAGAGCTGGCCGACTTGGTTCTCGACGGGAAGCCTCATGGGCTCGAGAAGGCGCTCTTCCTCGGCAGCGGCAGCGAAGTCACGGAGGCGGCGTTGAAGCTGGCGCGCCAATACCACTTTGAGCGCAATGAAGCGCGCCGGGTGCACCTTGTCTCCCGGAAGCAGAGCTACCACGGGAACACTATGGCCTCCATGTCGGTGTCGCATAATCTGGCGAGGAAGAGGCCCTACGAGGGATTCGAGTATCCGCACGTGTCGCACGTCACGCCGCCGTACGCGTACCGGTACAAGCTGGACGGCGAGACGGACGGGCAGTTTACGGCGCGTCTTCTGCGGGAGCTGGAGGGCGAGTTTCTGAGGGTCGGCCCCGAGACGGTGGTTGCTTTTATTTGTGAGCCGATTATTGGCGCCACCGCCGGCTGTGTCGTTCCGCCGGCCGGATATCTCGCGGGTGTGCGAAGCATCTGCGACAAGTACGGCATCCTCCTGATCTTGGACGAAGTCATGTGTGGTACAGGGAGGACGGGCACATTCTTTGCGTTTGAGCAGGAGCACGTCGTGCCGGATATCGTCACCGTCGCCAAGGGTCTGGGTGGTGGCTATGCTGCCATTGCGGCTTTGTATGTGCACGGCAGGATCATCGACACCCTTCGACAGGGAAGCCAGGCCGTCATCCATGGCCACACATACCAAGCTCACCCGGTGTCCTGTGCTGCCGCCTTGGCCGTGCAAAAGATCCTGAAGAGAGGCGGCCTTGTCGAGAGGTGCCGGGATATGGGTGTTGTTCTGGAGAGATTGCTTCGGCGGGAGCTAGCCGAGTGCAGGTCTGTGGGCGACATCCGGGGCCGCGGCTTGTTCTGGGCCGTCGAGTTCGTCAAGGATGCCGTCACAAAGGAGTGTTTTGATCCCTTGATCGGCTTCGGCGCCAAGGTGACGCAGATCTGTCTTGAAAAGGGCGTTGCTGTGTATCCGGGTTCTGGGACCGTGGATGGGTTGAAGGGCGATCATGTGTTGTTGGCGCCGCCCTACACGGTGACGGAGGAGGAGTTGGTGACGGTATGCCGGACGTTGAGGGAATCTATTTTGTCTCAAGAGGCCCGGTATTTGTATGCCAGGGCAAATTCTTCAAGCCCATGAGGTGGTTGAGGCGCCGAGTTGCTGACTTTGACATGCCGGCGGAGCAAGACCTGTTTCGACGAGGACTAGGCACAAGTCTGGAAGCGAGTTTAATGTGAGTTTTAGATGCAGCTTCTACATTGCCATGGATAAATATGGAAGTTATACGGAGTAATTCGTAAATCTGAAATGTAATTTTCCCCATGGAGATCACGCCACATCCCAGGAAGAAAAAAAGTCTAAAAATAAGACAAGGAAGGCAGTGTCCATAGGGAGCCACAGCAAGTAGTACTGTCGCCTGATAGACAAGACATCAGCTCACATCAGGCTAGCCTTGAATAGAAAATTAGAAACAAACCTTCCCGTCGTGGTTCCCGGCTGAGCGGGTAGCCACAGCAGGCGAAGGCGCAATCGTTGAGGAACTGGCGTCACGTGCCTCAACCAATGGCCGCTTGGGCCATCGATACTCCCGCGATTGGTGGCCAACCAGCCAACCGAGCATGTGGACGGCTGCGACTTGTTATTCGCATCTGCACTTCTGGCAGCTTGCTCCCATCATCTTCAAATCCTGGTTTTCATCGGACAGCAACGCAAATCAGTCACAGCGCGGGCGCACGTCGTTGTAGATACAGCGGAATCCAGTCACTCTTCTTCTCCGATCCTCCCGGACGTCTTCTACCACTTACTATTCTGCTCCACCATGAGCGCATCGACCACAATTGCCCGCCGGGCAGCCTCGAGGAGCCCCCTGCTGGGAAATGGTCAGCATTGCTCAAATCGTCGCACATCTCCTCACACTGACTTTGTCTAGCCCGGGCCTTGTCTTGCGTCGTCACGCCCAGCTTGATGGCTAGACACGTCGGTCGTCAGCCACAAGTCTCGGCGTTGGCACTCCTGATCCCTATGCGACAGGTCAGCACCGAGCACCACCGACCCGATTCGCAACATACTGGCCCCCCGCCGGGCTTCAACGTCGACAAGGCTAAGAAGCCGTTGCCGAAAGAGAATTCCGCAGCCGAGGCCAAGGGTGCCGATGCCAAGAGCTCAACGGCACTAGCTGGTCAATCCGACAAAACACCAGCCGAGGCCGCCATGACCGACTTGGCCGCCGGCAGAGATGAATCAACACATCAGAAGGAGGTGATCAAGGCAGAGAAGGAAGAAAAGAAGCTCACTTTGTGGCAAAAGGTCAAGAAGGAGGCCCAACACTATTGGGATGGGAGCAAGCTGCTCGCCACCGAGGTCAAAATCAGCTGGAGACTAGCGCTAAAGATGGCTGCTGGTTACGACCTCACTCGGAGGGAGCACAAGCAGCTGCGACGGACAGTCCAGGATTTAGGCCGTCTGGTCCCATTCAGTGTCTTCATCATCGTACCGCTGGGTGAAGCACTCCTGCCTCTGGCCTTGAAGCTGTTCCCCAACATGCTCCCCAGCACATTCGAGGGCCAAAAGTCCAAGGAAGCCAAGGCCACCGTCTTGCGATCCACCCGTAAAGAAGTGAGCAGCTTCTTGCGACAGACCCTCAAGGAGACTGGTCTTCCGCTGAGTCCAGCAACGGCCCAGAAGGAGGAGTTTGGAAACTTTTTCCGCAAGGTTCGCTCCACCGGCGAGGCGCCCACTCAGCAGGATGTCATCAAGGTCTGCAAGGTCTTCCGAGACGACATGACCCTTGACAACCTGTCACGCCCGCAGCTGGTTTCCATGTGCCGATACATGAACCTCAACACGTTTGGTACCGACATGATGCTGCGATATCAGATTCGTCACCGCATGAGACAAATCAAGCGAGACGACAAAGCCATTAGCTTCGAAGGCGTTGACAGTCTGACGGTCTCGGAACTGCAGATGGCCTGCGCTGCCCGTGGTATCAGGACTCACAGCGTCTCGCCTGCTCGGATGCGAACCGACTTGCAGTCATGGTTGGATCTGCGTCTGAAGGAGGGTGTTCCGTCAACACTGCTCGTCCTCAGCAACGCCTACATGTACGGTCAGGGCTCTGGCGAGGGCTCAAGCCAAATTGACGCTCTCATAGGGGTACTCTCTTCCATCACCGAGGAGTTGTACCACGAGATTGAGCTCGAGGTTCACAACGCCGAAGGCGCCGCCACCAACAAACAGCGTCTCGAGGTTCTCAAGGAGCAGCAGGAGCTTATCGAGGAGGAGAATGAACAGAACGAAGAGAGTCAGAGCACTGGCATGGCCACTCCTCGTGACGTGGATGATATTGACGAAAGGGAGGAGAAAATGATTCATGCCGAAGCTGAGGGTGTTGACAAGAAGGCTGCCGGCGAAATGGTGGATGCTGAGCGTGAACAGAGTCAGGCATCTGAGCAACAGGCCAAGACACCGTCCCGACCTGAGCAAAAGTAAACAAGATGAACCGGGCACGAAAGGCGCGGACCTTGGTGAATCGACCAGCTGGGATCGGAAAAGAAACTCGATACGCAACTTGGCCACAGAGTCCATCTCGTGCCATCACATCTGAGGCAAAGCACAAACCACTTCAACATTCAACAATATCGTTTCATTCTCATATGTATGACTTGCAACGTGGTGGATAGGCATTGCTTTTCTTGTCATTCTTGGACAGGGGCTGGTCGTATCGATATATATATAAAGAGAAAAGTTGGCGGACGGTATACACGACGCAGTTCCTGGTGGGATCACGGTGAAAGCGGCACATACATATACATCATATAGATTTTCTGGTTTTTTTTTCTTTCCTTTTTTTATTGGCCACCGACAGGATATGAAATAGACTGCATTGAATTCTGCACCGACCAGCCTTGTACCGTGAAATGGGTGGCATGCCATGCTGGGTTTAGATGCTGTCAACTGGCTTGGCTGCCTTTGCCAGCTGTGGAGGCGTCAACCGGTGTGTCATCACGGCACCCTGCATGCAACCCGCATGCGCCTGCCGTTGGTGCGGAGGGGAGGTGCTTCATGGTGCCTCCTGTGCCTCCAGAGCCCCACCTCGTCATTCTACGCCACAGTCTGGATCCGAGCTCCCAACAGTTCGCGATTCTGATCTTCGATCCATCAAGGGCAGCTTCTCACGCGGTTGCTGCCAGAGACCTTTCCTCTCCTAGCCCTGCAAACTGGGAGAGTTTGATTCCCCCCCCCCCCTCCCAGGAACACGCGTATCTCGGGGCGAAAGCAGCTTGTCTGTGCCGCCCACCGAATCGACCTCGCACATCCAGCGACGCCATGGCAGTCGTTGACCAAGATCACGACCAAGACAACTTCTCCAGCATCTCGTGGACCGAACACTCGGATGAGCCAGCCATGAGTCCGGCCCCAGGACAGCCCGGGCATCATCCCGGCGAGGCCTCAGGAGCCGGCCACAGCGGCCGCGAGCTTGATCCTCACGGGCTAGGCAGCGAGAAACTCGAGTGTACGGTTGGTAGTCCGCTCAAGGAGAATGACGGCAGCAAGGATGCCTTCATTTCATACCTGATTACCACTCACGTACGTATACAGAGCTGTCCCCAAATATGTGAAGCCTTCCCCTCCTGGGCGCCGAGCAAGATTTGGCCGTTGCCCGGGAAAGTACAACCTCCATCACCAGTCATACACACAGTTAGCTAACACGGCCGCGTCCACACCAGTCCACCTTCCAGTCGTTCCAGAAGGAGAAAACCACCGTCCGCCGGCGCTTCACAGACTTTGTCTTCCTATACAAACAGCTCATGCGGGACTATCCCGCTACGGCCGTCCCGCCGCTCCCAGACAAGCAGCGCATGGAATACGTGCGAGGCGACCGCTTCGGCCCAGACTTCACGTTCCGGCGAGCGCACTCGTTCCAGCGCTTCCTGGCCCGTCTATCCCTGCACCCCGTCCTCCGCCGGGCGCCCATCCTGCACAGCTTCCTCGAGAGCCCGGACTGGAACGCGACCATGCGCAGCCGCAGCACCCGGACCAGCATGTCCACCGACCCCAGCAACTCGAGCGGCGTCTTCGACAACTTCGCCGACACCTTCATCAACGCCTTTACCAAGCTGCACAAGCCCGACCGACGCTTCATCGAGGTCAAGGACAAGAGCGACAAGCTCGACGAGGACCTGGGCAGCATCGAAAAGATCGTCGCCCGCGTCGTCCGCCGCGAGGGCGACCTCGAGGGCGACCTCAAAGACCTCGCCGAGCAGTTCCAGAAGCTCATCACCCTCGAGCCGGGCGTCGAGCCCGAGTCCCACGCCTTCGCCGCCTCCATCCAAGACACGGCCGCCCACATCCACACCCTCCGCGACGTGACAGACCAGGACTACCTCGGCTCCCTGCGCGACATGCAGGCCTACTCCCTCTCGCTCAAGAACCTCCTCCGCGCGCGGGAGCAGAAGCAGCTCGACTTTGAACAGCTAACCGAGTACCTCAACAAGTCAACCTCGGAGCGGGACTCGCTCCAGTCGGGATACGCCTCGTCCGGCGCAGGCTCCTTTATCCGCGCCAAGATCGAAGACGTCCGCGGCGTCGACCACGAGCAGGCTCGTCGTGAGCGCCAGCGCAAACTCGAACTGCGCGTCGAAGAGCTCACCACCGAGGTGGAGCGCGCCCGCGCCACGAGCGACATGTTTGACGACGAAGTCGTCCGCGAGGTCGCCGACTTTGAGAGGATCAAGAGGGTCGAGTTCAAGAACCAGCTCGGCGGCTTGGCAGACGCCCATGTCGCCTTTTACGGGGACGTGATTGACATTTGGGACAAGTACATCCGGGAAATGGACAAGGAGGGCATGGCGGTTGCGTGACCACGGAACGGAACGGCGCGGTCCCCATACTCCGTTTTTTCTTTGTTATCCTCGTTCCGTTTCTTTCGGCTCGGCGTTGGCGAATACAGTAGTCTTTTTTTTTTCATGTTAAGCCTTCCCAAGCCGTCCCGCAGACTAGTTCACATTCACGGCCTTTTCTTTGTCTAGGACATGCTCACATAGACCAGTCATGCAACCAATAGCTTCTTCAAGCACCGTCGGTCCAAGAACCCGAGTCTCATCATTTCTGGCGTGCTCAAAGACCAAATAATCTAATTCGTGATGCTGGGCTAGACATGATCTTTTGAATAATACATTAAAAACTCCTTTTGACCCTATGCAGATGCGGAACGGACTTGACCAGACGGCGTATTCCAAAAAAAAAAGGGGGGGAGGAGGGGGATGCAGAGTAAGTAAGTAACCAGTCAACCGACCACACCGGCGGCCGCTTTCACCTCCCAATGTACACATGATCCAAACGAGCCTTTGCTCCCGCTGTACCTTGACGCCAAGCCCGTCATGATGGGCGGCCCCCGCCGAGAGGCCTTGCCTCGGCTGCTTCGGGACCACCTTCGTCATCGCTCTCTTCGCCGACGACATACTGATCCCCTTGGCCCCCAGTGCCAGCCAATCGCTCCGCTGACGGATCTCTGTACTCCTCAAACTCATCCTCGTCCTCGCTGGCTGCGGCAAAGGCATCGTACAGCTCGCCACCGCGGGTGCGGCGGCCTTCGCCGCCCTTCTCGTTGCCGTTCAAGCCGTCGGCCTCCTCTTCGTCAAGAAGCTCAAACTCGTAGTCGTCGCGGGGCGTGTTTCGACGCTTGCGAGCGACGAAGAGGTAGATGCACAAGCCGACGCAGAAGAGCGCGATGATAACAGCAGCACCAACCACCCACAGCATGGCTGTTTTCGACCCGAAGCCTGGGAACCAAGCTGGGGGAGAGGTACTAGTAGGAGCAGCAGTAGCAGTAGCAGTAGCAGTAGCAGTAGCAGAAGAAGTGGCTGTACTGCCGGCTGTTGAAGTAGGAATTTCCGTAGCAGGCTGAGTGACATATTCGTCTTCCGTCGGCATACCCAGCTGGGTGGCCTTGCTGGCATCGATAGACTCGCCCCATAGCTTTAACCGCCAGTCAGTAAATATACCCACGTGGTTGTTTTGCACCGTGTCTCTGGCCACCAAGGTCCATGTTCCCACACCAGATTCACCCCTAGGTATGCGTTAGTCATTCACCGTCGGCAGAAGCATCAGACGCGGGAATACTCCTTACCAGTGGGCTACGCTCATGAAGGTCCAGTTGACATAGCCGACCTGGTGTTCGTCTCCGCTGCGAGTTGTCGCGAGATGGCTGACCATGTTGTTCGGGCTGATCAAGTCGACGCTGAGGTCGCCACGTCGAGTGTGGTTGGCGTTCATGAATATCGTCACGTGCTCCAGTCGTTCCAGGTTTGCCTCCTTTAGCATGTCCTTGGTGACAGTAAAATTTGCACCCACGCCGCTTGGTCCTTGGGGAATTGCCTGGTTGACCTCAAGCCGAGGAGAGAAGAACCATGCTTGGGGCTTGACCGTTTCCCAAGTCCTCGCTCTTCGTACAAGGTCGTAGGTGTCCACATTGCCATAGCCAAATACGTGGCTAAATTGCTTTCCAATGCTTGTCTGGTTCCAGACGACACCCGGTGCCGAAAAGGGCTTGGCAGAGTTCATGACGAGGTATTGCAAGTCTCTCCAGGTCAGGTCCGGGCGGACTTCCAGAACTAGGGCAAAAATGCCAGCAGCAAGTGGAGCTGCCGCCGAGGTTCCCCCATGACGATCTGTACATTTGTCTTGTCCGACATCGGTTGTGTGCTAGGTTTTTTTAGCCAATGCGTTCTCCGTGAGTGAGGTTGGACTTACGATGAAACCGTCGGCAGTGTTGCCACCGCTGCTGTAAGTGACCACGAGTTGAGCAGAGCAAGGTTCCGAGTAGTACGTCTGTTGATTATCCCTGCTGACAGCGCCGACTGTGATGCTGAAGATTGAGTTGGTATAACCGTCGAAGTTGCAGTTATCTCCACTTCTCGCCCCGTTGCCGCTGGCAAAGACGAAGATGGAGCCGAGCCCATTTCGGCCCTTTTGAATAGACGTGAGCATTGCCCGTCTGATTAGAACACTAGGGGCCTCCATGGTGCGGCCATCATCAGAAGGGCCCCAAGAGCATGAATAGATCTGGTTCTTGTCGTTCTTGTACATGAGAGCCTTGGCTTCGTCTTCGTCGGAGATGACGGCGCTGAGAATGCGAATGCCTGCAACCTTGGCCTCGTACGCAACACCGATACCGCACACGTTGTTGCGCACAGCTGCGACTTCTCCGGCACACCGAGTGCCATGATGATCATCGGCAAGCACAGGGGCGGGCACTTCGTCATGGTCGTTGAAATCGTAAGAGCCCTCGGCGAAGTAATTGGCCTTGAGATCGTCGCTCGTCATATCCAAGCCGTCATCGACGATGGCAACGGTAGCGTTCTTTCCCGTGACGCCCTCCATCCAGGCACCTGTGACGTTGACATCATGGCCAACCTCGACGGAATTGAACAGATGCCACTGCTTAGTAAAAATTGGGTCTCTAATGCCAAGACTATTCATGAGTGTTTGCTGCTTCTTGACGGCCGAGGGGATGGGCTCTGCATCGCCACGCGGCATCCCAGGAGGAGGCGGCGGGATGACACGTTTATGCAAATGTCGACGAAGCTCCTGCTTAGCCGAGAACAGGACTTTGTCGAGAACGTCGAACTCGTCGGGTGCGCGCCTCTTTCTCTTCTTATTTTCTAGTATTTCTGTTCGTACGACGTCGCCTTTAGATTTTGGAGAGCTGAAAACGTAATGGTTAGGCAGATCACCGACGGTGCCTGCATATTTAAAACCTAGACGAGAAGCGACTTCCTCCGGAGAGCCAGTGGAGTGGATCTGGAGGACGTAATAGTCGTTATTGTTGTAGTCCCTTGGTACATGGCCAGCATTGGAAAGGGAGGTGAGGCCGACGAGGCCAGCGAAAAGCGCAACTCTCATCTCGAAAGATACCGTGGCGAGGACTAAGGGGAGGCGATGGCCGCCAGAGAAAGGCGAAGAGCGAAACGAATGGCAAACGGTTCACCGCATCTGAACAGCTGAGGGTGAATGACCGAACGGCTATGTCGAATAGCACATGCGCCTGCATCAATGGTAGGAAGTTGTGCGTAGGACTCCAGGGCAATCCCGTCAGCGAGCCGAGCGTCGTGTCCCAGTCGAGAGGCGAGATGGGAAAAGGCCGACGTCCGATGCGGAGAGCGCAAAAGACACCCACGACGTCGGGGTGTATCGCAGGGAATCCGCTCGTGTGCCAGGCCACAAGGCTCGAATGCGATGGCTTTATCAGGCGGGTCGATGCTGAAGAGGCACAGGGAGGCGACGTGACAACGGCCAAATGAATGCCAAACGTCGGGTTATGAGGTGCGCGAGACCAGAAATACGCATGTGGCGATTGGGATTGGGGGAACCCCTAACCAACATTGGCTGCGGCTGCGGCTACGGCCACGGCCACGGATGAAGTGGTACTTGTAGACACTGGTAGGCACCTCCTAAGCCATCTGCCCCACTATCCCAGCGCCTAGAGAGCTCACTGGCAACTGCTCACGGCTGCGAGTCGTATCCCAAGGCGTACCGTACCGTACCTCTCAAAGTGACCAACCGACTTCCAGGCCAAAAAAGGCTGGCAGTTCTAGGTTTGAGGCAGTTGGCGGATGTGCCGCTCAGGAGACGGAGAGTGGGTCCAGTCTCTAAGTTGCGGCTACAAGCTCAGCGAGTACCAAGATGCAAGGCAAGGGCGGTAGAGTGTTCTTTGGACGATGATTTAACTTTAACGTTCTGCCTCGAGTGCCCGTGGTCCGGCGACTGACGAGAAACTCGCAAGCTACCTCTAAGTAGGTACTTACTTAGTACTTACTCAAGTACCTATAAGTCCTGAGAACTCAAGGTTCTCAAAGTACTGAAGTGTAGGTAGGTACCTACTTCTAAAGTACCAAAGTAGGTAGGTACCTACTTAGGTTAGGTACCTTAAGTGGGTACTTAGGCAGGCAAGTGAGCAGGTCCAAGTTCTTCGAGCCAGCTTGCTGTGCACGCGATTGCCTCAGTTCCATGTCCACGTCCTGGAAACTTAAGTATGAGCAACACGGGTCCTCCAACGCAGGTTAAAATCTCCCAAGGTTGCTGGCGTGGTTTGGCTGCCTTGTACCGAACTTCTGGCTCTCCCCGCTTGTGGACGCGATCTACTTGCCGCAGCCACCAGGCTGATGAGTGGTGCTGGGAGGCCCCGAGTCCCCGACGACGGAGTACCAAGGTAACTACAAAGGCACCTACTTGAGTAAGGACTCAGGAGGATGGCTGACACCTCAGGCGCCGCCCCTTTCAATTGACAAACACATATGAATAGGGCATTGATGGTGACTTCCTCTCGATCCGATTTCAATCCTCGGCGCCTCGTCCAAAAAAAAAATTAAAAATTCTTGTTTCGCTACTACAGCCACAATGCTCATTACCCTCCACCCTCGTCAACATTGGAGTCGCTCGTCTAACCATGTCCAGACTCGAGTCCGGTCTAATAAATTGACATCGGGACAAACTGTTGAGAACGCCGCAGCGCATTACAACGCCACTCCATACCACGCCGCCTTCACAAGGCGAATCCAACGCCGGGCCACCCGTCGTTGTGGCTGACGGCGTCTATAAAGCCTCCTCCTTGTGAATTTCGATACTCGGTGGTGCGCCGGTCAGCTGCTTGCATCGCGCATATATGACAAATTGGCCCGAGACCAGTGCACAGGTCATGACCAAACGTGGTCCTAACCCCGTCAACAACAGCCGCCTGGGCCCGAATTCTCTTGCCAGTTGAAACATCCTGCTTGTGGCACTGTGATTCTTGTCCCCAGCTCCCTTGTTGATGGCCGAGAGTAACGTGTCTGCAGGGTGTGAGAAGACGGCAGCAGCGGCACCAGCAGCCAGACCCGACGTCAGCTCCACCCCCGTTGATTCCAGGCTGGTGAGCTTCGCCTTTCGCTCTGGGCCCATGGCCCGAAAGATGATCTCGTTGACGGCCTCGTGGACTGAGAATTGTCCGACGGCGAAAGGCACCTGCTTGAACAGCAGAGGCACGAATCCCGAGTAGAATCCTCGGAAGCCTTCCTCTCTGGCCATTCGCATGAATCCCGACGCCAGCCCGCTCGCGTAGCCTCGCTGCGATACTAGTCGGATTCGAGTTGCCTCCAGGGGGCAGAGGAGGATATCTGCAAAAAACTCGGCTGTAGCACTGGCGCCCAAGTATATGCCCATGCGGTTGCCGACGGCCTCCTCTGGCCCTCCTGCCAACGCAATGTACTGCTTCTTGAAGAATTCGTATCCTGCAAATTTGGCGCCGCCCTGGATCAGGTAACCAACGGCGGTTGGACCGAACCCGGTCAATAGCGCCGACGAACCTTCCTTTGCAACAATTGTGCGAGCTGCCCGGATCATATTGAGCCCTTTCATGGCATCGTCGACCTGAATTCGGGTCTTGATGACGTCAATCGGTGTCGCGGCCTGCATCGTGTCTTGGTCAGTACTGAGTCATGAGGGTATCACAAGCACCATTGTGCATTGAGCAAACCGGGTGACGCGAAGCATCATGGCATCGTACCGCATGAGTTGATGTGGCAGCGAGCGCGCCTGCGCCAAAGAACTTGACATAGTCACCCACTGCGAAGTCGGGTTGCTCGTGTCCTTGGGGAGCCATTTTTTGTTCCCTGATTTTTATTCCGGCCACGCCGATATGACTGTAAACACCAGAAACAACTCGGCCGTCATTCGCGGGGCGCTCGTTTTTTAAGTAGTGTCCAGCATAAGCTGCCGAAGACCATGGATGGACCTGACCACTTCCCCGTGATGACGTCGTTCCGTCCTTGCCGGCCGGTCCGCGGACAACTGGAGATGGTGCACCAATCCGCTGTGAGCTGGGCCCTGGATGCTGTCACTTCGTGTGGGTGGTGTCGACCCCTTGGCTGTGGATGTTGGGAGGTCCCGCCGGTTGGAGACTCGAAATCTGGGGCCGTTCGGCTTCGTGCCACGGACTGGTCACGACGGCTCCGGTGAAGGGTCCATTTCAAATCGCATCCAGGCGTTGTCTTTCTGCGGGCAGGGCCACCCTTCGTGGAAGCGCTTGCCACCTCGGTTTCAAATTCTCTGAGCTTCCAGTGTGAAAGCTTTTGGTTCTTCAAGACCTTGAATTTCAGGCCCTGTCACTTGGGAAATTCTCGGCGGGATGGACCTGAGCAGATTGCATCGATCTAATGCAAAATCCCACCTTTGACTGGCGACACGACAAAGTGATCAATTATCACAAAGCCCATGTCACTACCTACGGTGTCCGAAAACCTAACGATGTGAATTTTGGCTTCGTTGATTTGTCTTTGAACTGCTGTCGTTTGCCCAGTTTCATGGCACTTTGACGTTTCAGTAAAGGCAGCTCTCTCTCTCTCTCTTCGGACTCGCAATAAGAGTGGAAGGCCGGGCATGATGGCTCGCTTTATCGAGACACCCTCACACACAAGCTTCAACCAAGTCAACAACACGGAAATGGCATATGCCCAACGTGTTAAGAAACAGGGCTGCCCCCTACCCTCTCCACTACTCCTGCAGCCTACCATAGAGTTTGACCTGCTGGCTACATGTCGAGCTCGTCTTGAATTTGGACGCTCAAATTCTATTTTGCGAGCTGTATTGAGATGATGCGAGAGACACCTGGCCCCTCTCACTCAACGCTACTCCTCAGCTCAAAGTGTTTCTCCAGTTGTTCAGAGGAGCTCGAGAGACGGCGCACTACTGTTTCGGCTCGGCCCATGAGCACCAAACCCTTCTCGTAACTACCCCATCCCGACCTGAAGAGGCTTGGTGCCGTCTCTCGAAAACGGGATTGCGCGTACGAGTGTGTCTGTACTACTGCCAGGGTTATAGCTCCAGGGAACCCCGAAAATAGATGGGTGAGCGCGGTCTCAGGAGCATAGTCTTAGACCCAAGGACGACTAGACCAACGGACTGCGCACCTTTGTGTGCCAAAAATAGCAGCGGGAGTGACAGTTTGCCAATACATCATGAAAAGCCGACGCGAAACGTGTGGCATTCAAAGGCTGAAAAATGGGCGACAATGGAGACTTCACTTCACTTATGCGAATAGCAGCACGTCCTATTGCTCCTAGCAAACGCTACTCTTGTCTCACAAATCAGATTGCCGAAATTTTATTCATTTCAGGTGCACAGATGATAAACAACATGTAACCAATATCTCTGCTCCCAAAAACTGAACGGCAAGTCGTCAATGGGCTGCTAATCAAGGCTTCCGCAGGCGACGTGTCAACATGACTCGACCGAGCGCCTGCATTGATTATGATGCAGGCCGCGCATCTGTTATGATCTGCAATTGTCATTCGATCCTCCGTCTCGATCTTGTTTGCTTTGCTCAGTACAACTCAAGCTGTAAAAGTCCGATCTGCACCAGCCTGGCCATGTTTCTGTGTGTCTCTGCGCTCAATGCAACGTCGAGAAGGTCTGAATATCCTGCCCCTAGGCCGCTACTTTCGAAAATTTGCCGTTATTCACTGCTGATTTCCCGCTTTTAACTTTTATATCCCTACAGAGTACCTTGTTGTACCCTCCCAACGTCCTCTTGACTCGATTCGGGGCATTATCCTACGCAGCGACTGGCAAATGGTGGTCTGGCGTTGAATGAGACAAGAAGGAACAGCTCGCATGACGTACATGTCCTTCAATGGTGCATCGTGCTAAGCCTGGTCAACAACATCGGTTCATTCATCTATGGCCTCGAGGTTAGGGAGGTGGCACAGCTTCGCAGCTGCATTTTTTTGCTTTCCGGTGAAGCATCACAAAATTTCTGTGGCTCATGCATGGACTTGGGAGACTGAAAGCTGAGCCCAGGCATCTCTCTCCACCTCGACGAGAGAATAAGGGCAAATGGCCTTCTTGTCCCGGAAACTTGGGATTTGTGCGACGCACAAACCATGACTACACGCTCGTTTATGAGCTATCACTGCCCTCTACCGACAGGTCGGGACGCTAATTGTGTTTTGTGGCGCCAGTATCTCCGAGAGCTCCGTCTGATGCATGCGGTTGTCCTACCCCTGTGTGATGCTGGCACAGCCTGGTCGTCACGAAACTATGTCACTCCGAAGAAGTCCGGCCGCGCTGATTCGCTATTGCACGAGAGAGAACAAGGTCTGACGCTCACTTTCCTGCGGCCGAGAGACAACAACAGCTCATCTATGGCTTTGCCGCGGCGTCTATCGCCACAAAAGCAAGAATTTCGGGCGCGAGAGCTATCCTTGGTCTGCAACAGACCCAAAGAGGCGGTTGCTTTGTACGACCCATGGCGAACCATGATTCTGGTAATTACTGCTCCCAATGGTTCGATTTCCTTGTCCGCGAAAGGTTGTCCTGGTATGGTGACTGGCGCACACACCAAGGCAGCGCTCGTCCACTGCTGTCTAGGATGCCTTTTTTTTTACCTTGACTGCAGGAGCTTCGGGAGGTGGGATAGGATCTTCCTTGATTTGTATGGCCAACCACTCTCTCGGATCGCATGCCCGCGTACAGGGGTCGGTTCCAGCTTCTTGGGACAGGCTGGCAGACTGGTGTCAAGAGACAATGGATACAGCTGCTTCTTTCGGATTGCTTTCTCCGCGTTCGTCGGGCCTCGTTCCCCGAGGTGGACGGCGTGGTTTGGAACAGCGGAAACATACAAAACGACCGCCCCGTACGTCTGGCAGCGTTGCTTGTCTTGCATATTCAAACCCACGAGCTTGAGCTCCACGACTAAACCTCGTGTGTGAACAGTCGTGTGTTCTTTATCTCGCCTCTCGCCTGTTGTCGACCAGCATCCTCATCATCCCCGCAGCCGACGCAACAGCTTCAGCTATCGTCCCTTTCCGCTTGTTGAATCTGTCTTCATCTTTGCCCCGTTGTCCGTTCATTAACATGCCTGCGGGTTCTGGAAGCCACGGCCGCTCTCTCAGAAACAATTGCGACAGAGTGTGAGTTGCCAGGTCCGTCCGGCTCGGATTTCGATGTGGCACGTGAGAACTAATACACACGATGACACAGCAACTCCAAAGCAGGTGCTGAAAGTCCCGATGGCAGGAACCAGAGCGACGCCTGTTCAAAGTCCCCGCTGTTGATCATGAGTCCCCAGGAGACGTGGCTTCTCCCTGACAGTGGCGAAATACAGAATCCATGGGCAGACACACCAGTCACGACCCCGACGTCCGACGCCTTGGGGTCGTCGCCTACGGTCCCATTTTCTCTGCAAGAGTATCTTGACGACATGAATGGCTTGGAGCGGTGTATGGCCGGCATGCCTGAGCAAGGCCGGTGCTCAAGATCCCGAGAGCGCCGCACCACGCTTATTCTTGGCCCTTCACCAGTTGCAGTCCCCGACGAGCCAGGCTTTACTGACTCGGAGTATATCGAGGTGGATTATGAAGAACTGGCGAGCATGAGGGGCGACGGAGCATTCGCCACCGCTGATGACTTGGGCGGCGTGGGCTGGAATGCAGTCGAGCCATCGGACTCTCCATGTCACTCGTCTGGTGCCGCTTCGGCCACCTCGTCGTCATCACGCTCGTCTGGATGTTCCATCCTCGACCCATCCCGTGCTCCTCCATCACGTTCTCTCCGCTATGAATCCCTTCACCGTCAGTTACAAGAAGCAGGGCTGGCTGGGCTGGGAGATGGCACGAACAGCATCCAACTGTACAACCGGTAAGAGGATCCCGGTCCTTTGACGTGGTTGTACGTGGCGAGCGTGTTGTTGATGAGAAACGGGGCCATGAACAGGGCGGCTACGATGAAGACAAAGAACGGCCGGGTGAATAAGCATCAGCGTGCACGTCGTCCGGCAGGCGATGGTGAGCGCAATACTGGAACGGAAAAGACTGCACGGCCGTCAAACTGATAGCTGTAACAGGGTGACGAGTCACGACGCCTGCCCCTCGTCAATACGTGTGTGGGCTTTGTTGGCAGACGGAAGAATTGGGGACCCCGATGAGGAAAATGTTTTGCAACGCGCAGGATTCTCCGGGGAGTCCATCATGGCGATTCTTGTAGAGCATCTATTGCACTTGCTTCTTGGGACATGCATCTGCCTTGACCGAGGACTCGGGAGTGACGATGCCAATGGCACATGGCACATGGCACGGCGGCCCGCACACACGTACGTACATACATGGACTCATCTGACGAATAGGAATCACAGCCGCCCGACTCTGTCGGGCCTGATCTGATCCATCTTCAGGCCGTCTTGTCTTGCCTCCTCCCGTCCGTGTCTCTCATGTCTACCCTCCCCCTTGCATGGCCGTCTCTGTCTCTTCCCACGCACGCCCCAGTTGAGCTGACAGGAAACACTGGGCGGCACAGCTCGCTCATTGCACTGTCACATGCCCAGGTGCACGGGTGCTGCCTATGTGTTATGTGCTGCGCGCGCGGCGTTTTCTGTCGCCCCCTTGCTGGGCGGCCTGCTGCCAAGCTCAAAGGGGGCTTCCACGAGCCAGACCAGCGCGCCCATTGCGCCCATTGCGCCCGAAACGTGTTGATTCTGAAATAGACAGAACCCTTATTAAACCATGACAAGGTCACCGTCTTCCAATGAACGACGGCGGGACACGCCCCGACAGTTTGACTGCTCGGGCCCGGTTAGCTCAATCGGTAGAGCGTGAGACTCTTACGAGTACACGAAATCTCAAGGTTGCGGGTTCGACCCCCGCATCGGGCTTTTCCTATACAAGTATGATTGAGACAGGCGGGGTCGCGTCGTCGGATCCTCTTTTTCTCCTTTGCAGTGTGACTGTCTGTGTGTGCAGTCCTATCTGGGGTTTTTTTTTTCATGTTGTCTGTTGTCTGTCTCGTGTTTTGACATTGACATACGTACATGCGTTTTATTCGGAAGCCATTCTTGCGACACTACAGAGTACGATTCATGGAAATCGACAACAGAGTGGTTCGACTTGCACGCCTTGCCTGGTTCAATGCCGTGTGACGTGTCTCACGAAGCACGATTCGCGCAGTCGTACAGCGGGCCTCCTCTTGTTTGTCGTCGAGTGGCATGGTTGGCCCAACGGTAAAATCATACATGTGCCCTTGAATTGGCTGCCTGTTCGAGCTCGTGTCCCAGTCAGTGTCTGGCACTTGGGATCCTACCGCCGGCGTACTAGACTGGAGGCCGACGCGCGTCGCCCTTCGTCACCGGTAAACATCTGCCGCCATTGACACGTGGGCCGGGGCATCATTGTGGCACGGGCACGAACCAGCCACGAGTCTGTCCCGAAACAAGACTGATCCATCTACGTGTCGTGTGCGCGCTCGCCACAGGACGGCTCGCGGATAGCTCTGTGGCCACGGCCCAATCTACACCTGGAACCGCAGAGGGGACCGCCTCCTCGGCCTCGCGCGCGGATACTCCCTCCGCACGCCCAGCAGCTTGGGCCGCCGGAGCCGCGACCTCGACACGTCCCCCGACAGAGTGGACATGACGTCGTCCTCCAAGACGGGCACGTCGTCGACGGGGTCCAGCAGGTCGATCCTCAAGGCGACCTCGTCCGGCAGGGGCGCCGTAAACACAGCCTGGATGTCGCCGTGGGGCGAGAAGCCGGTGAAGTGCCAGCCGAAGATGCCGCTCCGCCGGGGGCCCTTGTTCTCGCTGGCCCATAGCCGGCGCCGCTCGAGGATGCTGATGGCGATGAGGAGCGGCCCGTTGAGGACCCGTATGATGGCCACGTTGATGGTGTGGAAGAAGCGCGGCGAGATGATGAACTTGAGCGGCAGGACGGCGAGGACGGCCACCAGGTTGAAGGGCGGCGGGTACGAGAAGAGGGAGTCGCTCTTGACGCCCTCGAAGGTGAGGACCGTGCGCCGGAAGCGAATCTCGGCCGCCTCGTTGGTGACAATGTGCGAAAAGGTGTTTGTGAGGATGGCCACGAGGATGGTCAGGAAGAGCGTGTTGCCGAGGAAGGCAAAGGCGATCATGAGCGCGGGCCCCAGGACCACGTTGAACCGTGTCGACTCGGCGATGCCCGTGCCGTCGAGGCCGAACCAGATCCACAGGAGCCATTTGCCGACGGTTGGCCACGCCGGAGGAGGCGACGAGGAAGAAGGGCGGGGCGTCCGCTCTGCCTGGTCGGCGTCGTAGAGCCACAGGAGGGCGAGGAGGAAGCCCAGGAAGCACCAGACGGCCAGGAACGTCAGGAGGGTAAAGTCCCTCATCATGGCGTGCAGGGAGATGAAGACAATGTTGTGCGGCATGAGGTTGAAGGCGATGCGGGTGAGGAGGATGGGGGCCGCCACGCAGAGAATGTGCAAGCCGTACCCGTTGGGCAGGCGGCCTGCAAAGAGGTCGTACGTGCGGGCAAAGAGGTACGCGCCGTAGATGGCGGCGAAGCTGACGTCGAGGAAGGACCAGAGGCTCTGCGAGTGCAGTTCCCAGCCGTGCTCGATGACGGAGGCGAACTCTTGGAGGACCCAGCCTGCTGTGTAGACGGCAAAGGCGAGCTCCCACCGGTTGAAGGCGGCTTGCTGGTTCGTCATGGTCATGACGTAGAGGAACACGAGCGCCATGAACTGAGCCATTTCGATGAGCGCCCTGATGCGGGGCACGATGAGGCGCCGGTGGTTGAGGATGCGCGATTCCCGAGGGTCGTACAGCTGGATCGGACGGTGTTTGTAGTGGTCCGGGAGGATGTCCATGAAGGACAGCGGCGTGTAGACGACTTTGCCCACGTGGACGGCCTCGACGAGGCGCTGACAGGCGGCGGAGCTGATGAAGGCCTTGCTTTCCGAGAGAATGGCCAGCTCGAGCGCCGTGAGCTTTCTCTCGTAGCCGCCGCGGCTTTGAACAGGCCACTGCGGGTCGCGGCCCTCGCGCTCAACCTCGTGCGGCGCACCGTCGAACGGGTCAAACCCCTCGACGAGGATCTGGGCGAGGAGCAGCAGGCCGTCGTTTCCGGGGTTGTCCTCGTGGAAGCGACGGATGACACGGGTTGCTACGAGCTCGCAAAGGATTGAGCGAGCTCGGTTGACGCTCTGTGTGGCGAGCCCAGACTGGGACTTGAGGAAGAAGACGCGGTTGGCAAGGAGGCAATACACTGTCGAGGACGGCATCTTAGCACGCCCATCTTTTGGTTTTGATTCAAACATGACAGGGGACTGCGCCTTACCAATGGCGATGTTCTGCGTTTCGTATAGTCGATCAACGAGGGGTCTGACAATGAGGGCATTGAGAGTAGGCTGGCGGAAGTGGTCCAGCGTGTAAGGATCATCTGTGAAGTGTCAATGTCGTGGCATGTGAGACGGCAGCGCATGTGACGACGATGAGACGGTGAGGCCGGACAATGAGCCAACCTACCTATGCTGGCGAGAACCAAGCGTCTGACTCTGCAGCACGACGCTTAACCTCTAATTCATTCAATTGCAGGAAAAAGAGGGGGGCTCATACCGATGAAGTGTCACGTAAACAGACTCTGGCTCACTCTCCTCGGGCTCCAGCAAGTCCACATCCGCGCTCTCCCCCGCCGGCTCATCGCTCATCCAGTCCTCCTCCAAGTCCATTCTAGCCAATGCCGCGCAAAACTGAAGCTGCAGAGGACATCCCGGGGCCGAAGAGTTGGACCTGCGCGCTCGGATATATATTCACGGGACTATATGAAAGCAGTCGATGCCGTTCACGTGAAGTGGAGGGTGGCCGGAGGGCAGGTATTTAAGAGGGGCCAAGAATGCCGGATCGCCCGTGGTGGCGACTCGCGATGTCATGTACGATGACTCGACGTCATGATAAACTTTGACACTGGATATTGCTTGCCGTTCTTGCATCGAGTGGCGCTCACGCCGACTCTACATGTCTCGGAGCCCATGTTGTGTTTGTGTAAACATTGAAAGATTGAGGGTGTCGCTATTTTCGACAACTAAACTTTTCAATCGAGCTTCGGCAACGCATCGCTTGCTTGCTTGCCTGCAGCAAAAAGGAAAAGAAAAAGAAATTAAAAAAAAGAAAACAAAAGAGGAGAAAAGGGGGTAAGGGGGAAAAACGGGAGAAAAAGGCGGGAAAACAAACGAAACAACCAGAAAGAAATAGAGGAAAAATGCCAGCTACCATGAGACGATGAAAGTAGTCGAGCGGCAGCTGCTGTATTTCGCCATGCTCTTTGTTCCCGGCTCACCAGCCTGAATACTCGACCATTTCTGTCAAGTCCAGCCTCGTCTTCTCACAAGGTACCAACAAGTCCTTCAGCACTGGAATCCACCATTTCTCATGCTCATGGCAGAGCTTCATTGCAAAGGCGTACTCTGCATACTCCGGGAAGAAGCCGCTTCTTTCCCAATCCACAATGCCAGTTACCCGTCCATTTTCGGCCATGATGTTGCGCGGCGTCAAGTCGCAATGCGTAAGCACAAATCTGTTTGGCGTGCCGCGCGCCTTGTCGAGGAATCGGCGCGGCTTCCACACTGTGAAACTCGATCGCTTGAACTCGATCCAAACACCAGGCGTCAAAGGCCTCTTCATCTTCAAACGGCCCGCAGTAGTTTTGCTCCAGTCGATCGTAGACGTTGTAGGTAGGCTGTCTGTCGACCCGTCCAATGTACGGCTGAGTGCGCCGTCTCATGAGGGCGAACCGCTCACGTAGCTGATTCTTGATGGATTTCCTTTCTGACTTGGTGAGCTTATCCCACACCGTGTCCAATGACTCTCCAGGTGTCTTTTCGGCACCAAGACGTGCGCAAGCGGCCTCTTGAGCTTCATGGTGACAATGTCGTAGCATCCACGGACTTTGGGCGCCAGAATACCGTGCGTGGCAGCATATTGCATCATGTCTGCTTCAGAGCGCTGGAGCGCACCATGGGGCTTGACTTTGAGGGCCAACACACCGCCATTTGACGTTGTGTGCTCGAGGACACGTATGCCCATGAAGTAACAGAGTTCTGGGAGGCTTTTGTCGGCGGCATCTGAGTAGGACAGAGAGCCTGCGAACTGCAGCGACGTCCTCATCCGTCGACTCGGTCATGTTGTTCTGGTGGGCAATGCGCCCCGGACAGACAGCAAGCAGGCAGATTGTCCAAACTCCTGACGAGCCGACGTTTCACGAAATACTATAAGTACTTGGGAGAGGAGGTGGCAGCAGGCTTGGCGGGCAGACTCACACTGTCGCCCGTCACGTGGCTCCTTTGCTGCCAGGATGCATCGGACGCGGGAATCAAGCCGGTAACCGGCTCGTGTAACCTAGATGTATGCTGACTTTCATTTCGAATCTTGGTGTTTGCCGTGTTGCATGTGGTCCTGAGCAAGTCTTCAACATGGCTGATGGGCTTGACGTGTGTCTTGCGATGGCTTCTATCCCCGCTTGGCCAATATTGTCGTGTATAACAGTGTCCAAACTCGAGGCCTTTGGCAAATCATCATCTGAGAATTGCAATGCAAGACGTTGATTGGAGGTGGTAAACAACATGATGGAACACGAGGACTTCGTGTGTTGATGGGTTGGCAAGCTTCCTCGGAACATTGAAGTTGATACACAGGAAGCCACCCCCCCGCCCCTCTGTCCCGCTCACCGCTCCTCTCTCAACCTCCAGCCTCACGTCGCCCATCAACCCAACAACCATGGCCGCGAACCCATTCAAACCAGCCCTCATCATAGTCGACTTCCAAGAAGACTTCTGCCCGCCTGTCCGTCTCCGTCCCCCCAACCCCAAAACACCCGACAAGCAAAGCCATCCAAATATCAAACACCCGGCCTCTGTCTAACCCCTTCGTAGAACGGCGCCCTCGCAGTCCCGTCAGGCCGCGCCATCGCCAACCTCATAAACTCCCTCCTCGCCCTCCCCTTCGCCCTCAAAATCGCCACCCGCGACTGGCACCCCCCGGCCCACGTGTCCTTTGCAAGCAACCACCCGTCAGCCGCGCCATTCACATCCCGCGCCGCGATACACCACCCCTCGGACCCGTCCCGGTCGTACACGACAACCCTCTGGCCCGTCCACTGCGTCCAGGACACCCCCGGCGCGCAGCTCGTTCCCGAACTCGACCTCTCGCGGGTCCACCTGGTCGTCGACAAGGGTCAGGATCCCCGCGTGGAAATGTACTCTGCGTTCCACGACCCCTTTCGTGTCAGTGACAGCGGCTTGGCCAGCAAGTTGAAGGACCACCACATCACTCACGTCTACGTCGTCGGTCTGGCCGCCGACTTTTGCGTCAGAGCCACCGCCCAAGATGCTGCTGATCAAGGCTACAAGACCTACATCGTCGAGGAGGCTACCAAGCCCGTCATGCCCGATACCTGGGAGCAATGCAAGCAGGGTATTATGGCAGGCGGGGTCGAGATCATACCAATACACGGCGACCAGGTTGCAAGAGTAAAGGCCCTTTAGAAACAAGGAAGGATCCAAGGGTAAGTGGTATGATTTTGAATTAAACGCCTTGCAAAACAAACATTACAATGACTGCCTGATAGTGTCATGTCATTCACCACCCGATACTATACATGTGTATATCTATGCAGGTACTCTTAAGCTCTTTTTTTGCATGCTCCACAAAAGGGGGACACGGTTCCCAGATGCGAAATGCCAAAACTCCTGTAAACACCTTGATGATGATGCCTATTTTTTGCGCCGTATCAAGCCCTCCTGCCACCCCGCCCATTTGGTGACGTGCGGAAAAATCATCGTTTTGACCTCTGCTGCGCCGCCGCGCTCCTGGACTTGTCCTGAGCATTTGTCATGGCTAGGGCGACAGGCGTGAGGGGAGGAGGCGCAGGCGTGCTAGTTCTTGAGGGGGCAGCGCTTCGGTTGTGCTGCATGTGTGCCTTGACGAGGTGACCGGCCTGGAGTGCACTGCAGAGAGACAACTCGCCAGCCAATACCGCGGCTCCGATTATTCGTGCAAGTCGTCGGGCATTGTCACCAGGATTTGTCGGGTGTGGTCCCCTGACACCAAGCATGTCGAGCATGGCACTCTGAGGCTCCAGGATGGTGCCACCACCTAGGGTGCCGACTTCGAGCGAGGGCATAGAAACGGCGATCTGGAGGGATCCGTGAAGACTACCGAAATATGCGTTAGGAACAATTTACGAGAAATGTTTCAGGTTTTGGTACTCACTTCTTCATTGTCGTAATACAATTGGCGCTCTCAACCACTTGTGCAGGGTCCTGGCCTGTGGCCAAGAAGATTGCGGCCACAATGTTAGCGGCATGCGCATTGAAACCGCCGATGGAACCAGCCATGGCAGATCCAATTAGATTCTTCGCAACGTTAAGCTCGACTAAAGCATCAACGTCACTCTTCAAAACGGACTTGACGACATCAGCAGGAATTATAGCCTCGGCGACAACTCCCTTGCCGCGACCGTCGATCCAGTTCAGAGCAGCCGGCTTCTTATCAATGCAAAAGTTGCCAGACACTGTAACAATGTTCATGTCGTCGAATCCACCCTCCGTTGCCATGACATTGAGAGCGTGTTCGACACCCTTGGAAATCATGTTCATGCCCATGGCATCGCCAGTTGTGGTCTTGAATCGTATGTACAAGTTTGTTCCGGCCAGGGCAGTCTTCATGTGTTGGAGTCGAGCATAACCACTCGTCGAGTCAAAGGCAATCTTCATTGCGTTCTGGCCAACTTCGGAATCCAACCAGAGCTTGGCAGCACCAGCACGCTCGAGGGTTTCAAAGCTGACGCAAGGACCGCGGGTCATGCCATCACTGGTAAGAACAGTGATGGCACCACCGCCAGAGTTGATAGCCTTACATCCACGGCTCGTACTGGCGACCAAGACACCTTCGGTGGTCGCCATAGGGATGAAGTAGCTCTGTCCATCAATAACCAGAGGACCAGCAACACCCACAGGGAGGGGCAAGTAACCAATGACGTTTTCACAGCAGGCTCCAAAGACTTGCTCCCAGTTATAGTGCTCATACGGTAGTAGAGACGAGTCCAATCCGTGTGTGAGTCCCGAAGTGGCCTTGGTGCGGGCAATAATGGTACGTCGGATCTTCACGGCACGGGTGAAGTCCTTCAATGCCTTTTCAAGCGCATAGCCTGGGATCTTGCCGCGCATGGACATCGTGACAACCTCTTCATCACTAAGCTCATGGGTTCGTTTCTCGGCAAGAAGTTCCTCCAGCTCTGCAACTGGTCGATGCTCTGACTGGGACTGGGGTCCTGCAGGTTTTGCCTTGCGCATCCGAAGCCCATCACCTTCGTCATCCGTCAAGGCAGGAGTCACAGGGTCAGTTCGCACGGGTGTGGGCGGTACATATTCTCCAAGAGGCAGAGTGGCGGACTCTGTGTCGTTGAATTGCTGAGCTCGGGCAAGTTCCTTGCGGTCAATTTTGCGATGGGGCATATTGGGATCCTTGATGCTCCATCTAGCAACGTTGAAGAGATATCCATTAAGACCGACACTCAGCGCTAGGGCAATCACGATCCACTTTGATAATACAGGATCCTCAAGGCTCTTCAGGAGGCTGCCGACCATGCGGCCACCAACGCCATAGGTGTCGAACTGAACGGCTGAATCATCAGAGGCAAGGCTGCTCTCACCAAATGGCGACGACAGCGCATAGTGAACGGATGGATATTCTAACTCGTATTTGATCGGAGTCAGGACAGTAACGCGAGTTGGCGTGTTACTAGTTTGAGCAACAGTCAAAATGGCATCAAGACCGTTTTTCGCGACCTTATAGGGGTCAACTGGCAGAGTTGATGCAACTCCTCCAAGACCGCCAGCCCAAGACCGCAGGGTGGAGAGTGAAGCCGCGCTGCGAAAAGGAATCGTGCAAATGTTGATGACATTGATAAGGATGAATCCCGAGATCATAAGCACCTTGAACTTGGGGACGCTGCTGCTTCTCATGCGGCCAAACAAGGTGGTGTCCTTGGATCCAGCATTACTGGACTGGGCCCAGTCATTGCTCTTGGCAACGTTTTCGGCAACACGGCGGCTGACACCATCCGCTTCCAAGGCCATACGCATATCGTAATGCCGCTTGATGCGGTTGATTTCCAGCTTGATACTGAGAATAGCGGTGTAAAAGGTGAAGAGCAAGATGCAATCGAAGAACAAAATCCAGGCAGCCAAAAAGCAGAACTGTTGTAGACCGCCCTGAACGCCCGAAGCAGCGCCGATAGAGAGAATAGCAATTTCGATGGCGTAGTCACGCAGGATTTCGTAGCCCTTGTCCTTGATGGCGGCCTGAACGGCATATGAGATGACATTTTGGGGCCCAGTTTGTTCATAAAATTTCCCACCAGGCCTGGCATCGTGAGCCTGGGTGCGGCGATGCTCGACAGCATGACTCAAAACTGCTCTTGTGAGAACAATATTCTTCTCAAAGCCGATGGTCACGACCAAGAATGGCAGTCCCTCGGACAAAAGAATGACACTAATAGGAACTCCAAGCTTCGTAGTGACAGCCAGGCCAAAGAGGAAGGCAAAGACGGATGAGAAGAGAGTGCTCATGCCCAACCAAAAATTAGAGCCCATCCGTCTCATGGATAGGAAGAGGGACACAAAAGTTAGATGCATCGAAAGGTATCCGAGGACCATGATGACGATATCAAGCGTCTCGGCGTTCTTGAGAAGATCGATAAACTCCACCCAAGCGTTGCGAAGCCACTGGACAATGGTGTTGCGGGTGTTGACCTTGGCTGCCTTCATGATCCACTTCTTCTTCTCGCGGCCATGGCGAGTAACGATTTCTTGAGCTTGTTCGTCGGGAATCTCCTTTGCGGCAGAGACAAATTCCGGCGCATGTTTCTTCGGAATGGAGTAAGCAAGAATGCTGTCCAGGGTGTAGGTGTTGAACGAGTTTTCGGTGACAGGTAGAGGTGTAATTGAGAGGTTCTGCGGCGTGGGAACGACATGGGATCGAGGGGCAGAGCTGGAGGAATCAGTCGATGAAGTATCCGGGAAGACAAAGGTGAGAAGTGCCAGATGGTTGGCGTCCGCCGCATGGGGAACGTCTTGGTCGATACTCTGCCATTTCCATTGCGTGTCGGGACCAACTACGAGGTCTCGACTGCCTTCAACTAGCGATGACCAGTCGGCTTTTCCCAAGTTCAAAGAGTCCTCGGAGAGGCTGTTTTGGATCAGACCAACATAGGACGTGCTGGCCAGGACGGCAACGATGACGACGGTGTGGATGGGATGACGGCATGCGATGCTGCCCAGGAGCTGCAGCCATGGCGCAAGCTTTTTGCCGACACGGGAGGGGGCAGCCGAGCTCTGAGAGCGGTCGGGTTCCCCTCGAAAACGGGTCGGTAGAAAAGAAGAAGTTATCATGTCGAAGTGATCGGAAAAGGTTACTCGGCGGTTGGGTTTACGACATTGGTTCTTGGGCGAATTCTCGGCGGCAGCTGGGTCTAAACACACGGCGGGTTTCCTGTAAGTATAAGAAAACAAGGTTGACGACGCAGAGTCTTGCTGATCCAGGAGGGATTGACCCTGGGTCATTCTGCGAAGAATAGACGAAGTGGCCATGATGCAGTTTAGGGCATTCGGACATTGGATTGACAAGAGGTGATGGGCTGGCCAACATTTCAAGTTTGGGCATTTGCTCAATGGAGCAACTTCGACGAGTCCAAACGGATCCAGGCGAGGAAGCTCGGTGGTCTTAACTCACCTCGATCGTAGGCCGGTCAGCCGTCGACGTTCGGATGAGAATAGACGCGGGCTACTGCAGTCGGCTTGGCTAGATCGATTGCGGACGCGGATGAATGAGGTGGCGGACCAAAACTTCTATTGTGGTGTTGAGAGGAGGGAGCGCGGGGCCAGTGCAGGCGTGCGGATTTTGGGAGGCAGAGCCCTGAATAGAAAGGAGGCAAAGAACAATACCAATGGACGAGCCAATTGGCAGCAGGCCCCGACACGGCAACAACGGGAAGCCGCACGCCGCTTGCTGGACGTCTTGAGCGTGGAGGAGGTGAATAACGGAAGTGTGATGCGGAAGTGAAGGCCAACGCGACAAATACCTGCGTATCGAATGGGCTGGACGACTTTATCAGTCGGGAGTCGGACATTGGATAAAGGGGCTCCGCTGGTGGGAGCACGGAGTACGGCGGCCTACAGTGCAACTACGGAGCACGGAGTACCCACGTGCAGGCACTTGTGTGAGTAGAAGCACTGGGTTGGTGCTAATTCAGTCGAGACAACAGCGGCACATGCACCTGTGCGCAAGCAGCAATCGACGGCCACATTCATTGCTGATATGACCGTTGCATTTGGATGCCATGTGGGTTGACATGGATGCACAGTACTAGTGATAATTATGACGTTGACTCGAAGACGCTTCAAACGTAGCGCATCAACGTGCCTCGTAGCCGGCTTCAACGACGTGCTAACGGCGTTCCTGCTAGGAAAGGCCATCCAGCAAGAAATACAATGCTTTCACGAGAAGAGGAAGTTGCTTTATGTAACTATATCGATCGCCTTGATAAGGCCAACTTCGCTGTACGACCTGAATTCATTACAGATGCTGCAAATTACATCCTAAAAGAGAGGGCATCGTCAACTGCCCCGCCTAGGCAAGTTGGAACGCGATGGACTACACGCTTTATCCAGCGGCATCACTATCATAAAGGTCTTCAAAAAAAGATTGATTCAAGTCGAAAAGCTTCAGAAGATGTGACAAGAGCTCTTTCTTATTACAACAAGCTTAAAGAGGCTATTCAGCAGTACGGAGTCCCTCCTGAAGATATCTGGAATATGGATGAGACTGGCTTTCGTATTGGGTGGGCCGCAGCCCGCGAGCAAGCGACTGTCTCAAAATGTGTCTCGACTACCTGGAAAAGTTTCGACTTGTCTGGAAAATCGCCGACGGATGGGTAAGCCGCCCGCAAGCATGACACGACCGTGGCCACCGTTGCGCTAACATTGAGAGGGCGGCACGCGCAAGATCAAAACGATACACCATGCATCCGTGCTCTACGAGCGAGCAACCGAGGACCGGACACGATACCAGGGGCGCACACGAGCAGACTTTGATACTCTACACCAGTCTGTCCACGAGTTCCGTGTCGTGGATAGATCCGACGCGCATACTCGGGAGATTCGGGGCGCGGAGCGGCCCTCGGCGCAGGCGACTTGGCCGGTTCAAGGGCACGAGCACGAGCACGAGCACGAGCACGAGCTCGACACTAATACCTTGTTGAACCAGCTTTTCGCGGAAGTCAGCAATAACCTCGACGAGCAGGGGGCCTGGTCTCAATGGTGGCCGGCGATTGATCAGGTGGATCTTTAATGAGCTGCGTAATTACATCCGGGGTTTTTTTTTTCGTTGAAGCTTCCAATGAATGAGTGACGACCTTTGATTTTTTTGATTTTTTTTTTAAAAAGGGCTGTAATATCTGGTTTTCTATACATGTCCTATTTTTATTTCCCGGTCTAGAAAAACAGTCAACAGATAATGCACCTCTTCATATGGCTCCCCTCCCGTCACCGCCAACAAATGCATACCTGTCGCGTCAACCATTCGCCGTTTCTCCTTCCAATCACGCCTTTGCAAAGACCTTTCTCGAGTTCATCAGGCGAACAGCAAGCATAAAGAGCATGCCGACAAAAGGCGCCACAACCACGCCAAGAGGACGTTTTTTGAAGCAGCTAAAAAGGCACGTAAATGGCGTCTGGATTCTGTACTAGATCTACTAGAAATTTGGGACGAGAAGGGTGTACATTATAGGCGAAGAGGTTAATAGCGTTATTAGGTTGAAAATTGGCCCGCCTTGGTGTCCGGCCCGCCTTGCTGTCGAGCACCACCTTTGGTGGTGAGGGCTTTTGCTAGCCGAACCACATAAAGTGGGGCGGGCACGATTAGAGCATCGCTTTTGGTTGACGATCCAATCCATGATTCCATATGTCTACTACGGGGGTACGGATGGCGGAGCACTTCAAAGAACTCCGTACATATCTGTCAGTAGTTACTTGATTACTTTAAGTACTTACTCCGTACGGAGTATGTACTTGGGAGAGCGACAGTCATTTGTGCACCACCTGCAGCAGCATGCAGATCGTGCCAAATGCACATTGTCCCTGACACGGCTGCCGAAATTGCCAATATGCGGTCGAAAGAAAACGGAAAACCCCCACACATTATTGGTTGTTACCGTGACAGCTCGGTGGGGATTTTGCTGCAGATTGCCAGAAGTTGTACGGAGTACTAGTGGTAATTACTCCCAAATGAAGCAGGCGGTCAACACTGGCTTTCGTTTATGCAGTTGATGTTTGTGATTACTGCTCTTCTTTGCCCTCTACTCCACACTTTGCCTCATGACTGACTCCATCCCCGTCTTTTGGTGAGCGCCTTCTTACCAGGGCACTTGGTGATTGATGCTGTGACGACAGCTGTCAAGCAAGACTCAACGTGCACTGACAATTTCAATGACAGGCCGAAATACGTGGATGACCCGTCGCACCCACCATTTGTTGCTCAGCCACGAATGGGCTGCCACTACTTAGCCACCAGACTGCGGGCGAATAGAAAAGCACGGGAACAGCATTCCAAATCTATCCTGCCTCACGACTTCTCCGCTCCGTCTCTAAGCATTCACTTGAGCAATAGGAGCGAGCCCGGGTTCACTAAATAGTCTCCAGCAGCAAAAATTCCAGGCCCATCGAAGAGATATTGGTATATCGGAGCTTGAAGCCTTTGGGTTCTGATGCATTGTTACTGATTCGCAAATGTTCGACTTTGCTCGCTCCGTTTGTCCCGTGCGGCCTTTTTTTTTGACATCTAACGCATTGATTGATTGACGAGTGCGGAGTATTCCGTCTGCCGATCAGATGGACGATGGACCCGGTGGTCCTCTCCACATTAACACTAAAATGTGTGAGAGCTACAAGCCGAGCCGATTTAAACTGCTATTGAAATCAGAAAGTTCATAGTCTCACTTTGACGATGAAGTTGCTGACATTTGATCAGGCTCCTCAAGCACAGAGATATGCAGAAATGGTGTCACAACGTGGCCCGTGTGGCGCAGCTCTATAGGGTACACATTCTCAACATCCATCATAAACGACTTGCTCTGAGTAATAAGACAGTCTATCGTTAATGTAACAGGTCTGATCGACAGAACGCTAGTCAATGGCGCTAAAAAACGTCAGGGGCATGAAAAACCTTCTCCGCCATGGTTGGTGCTTCAATCGCATATGAACCAAAGTCGCACATCAATCCATCCAGGATACAAATGGTGGTAGGCACCAAGTTCCGGACGGGGTGCTGTTTTCTCATTGTCAAGTTGCAAACCATCATGCCATATTTTGCCTAAGTTCTTGCCTGCTCAGCATTTCATAACGGTCTTCCCCCAACAACTTTTTCGTGGTTATGCGATTCGGGTAATTACGCAGAGCCATATTTGTAAAGTGTGTTCCATAATGAATACCATCAGCCGGTTCTTGAGCACCGTTGTACCCGGGCAGCGGCTTGACGACTGCCCGAAAGTTCGGCTCGTGAAAGTAGGCAAACGCGAAGCGCTCACGAACATTCAGACCGACCTTGTGGGGCGTGGACTGAAGAAAGCTGTTGGTCATATACTGCATCATATCTCCTATTCATGACTTGGTCAGCCAAGGGTCACGAGGTGCTCAGGACTCGGGACATCTCTCTCATCGCAATCACCAGTACGACCGACTCAACTTACCAGGAAATGCAGTGAATACGCCCGGCGTCGGTGGCACATACATCCAACCTGCCTCATCTTCCTTCAGGCCAGCTGCACCTTGCCGCCAATTGGCAAATGTTTCGCCTTGCCGGGGAGGTCGCACAAAAAGACCTGAGGAAGTCGTCGTTAGCGCAGCCCGCTCTTTATCGGACTCAGAAGCGGCGTGCATACCTCCAACCTCGTCTTGAGATGCTATTACTAGCAATCCATAGTCTGTATGAGATCCAATACCACGGCCAGCCTTGCCTTCCCCATTGGTCCGGTGACTAGCAGGGAACCTGCAACAAGGTTTATTAGCTCCATGACTCCAGCATAGGCTGCTGGGAAGCGGAATATTTTTGCGACTGCATACCTGAGGACTCTCATGTGATGCCACCCATCCTGAGTGTACTTTATCAAGGATCCCCGCGGCACATCGAGTCCCAATTCGACGAGCCGGAGAAGCTTGTCGCCGCTGGACCCCATGTCTGCCATGTAGTTGGCCATGGGGTCCTTCATCTGCTTGTCTGGCCAGGGACATGGACCATGACACGGCCACTTCTCCATGACCCTTGGGTCATTCGGGAGTAGGTCCTTTGTCACGGTAAAAATCTCGGAATAGTCGGCAATGCCACCGGTTATTTCTTCTCCAGAGGCAACATAGCCCGCATAACTGGACTCATTTACACAGGCCTGCTTCTGCGTCGGCGTTTTCCCGAAAAACTCTCTACTAGCCGCGTTGGCCTGGGCATATATTCTCTGCTGCGAGGGCGACATGGCGATTTGTAGAATGCCATGCCGTCTCCAGGCATCGACCATGGCCTTGGCCAAGGCCTTGTCAGAAGGAGATGTTGACAGCCTTTCGGGAAGGACAAATGTTTCCAGATGCCCTACGGTGGCTGAGAAACCTGGCGGCATGGTCCTGTGGGATTGAATAGAGTTTCCAGCCCTGGCGGCCGAAAAGGTCGTCGGCAAGGACCGCACGGTTCTTGGTATGAGAGGGGCGCCGGTGCGGACGGCGTCAGCTGCAAGTGAAGCCATGTTGGTGATACACTTTTGTTTTCAATGAAAAGACTGAAAGACTCGCAACCATGCATGCGGTCCTGCACCCTCTGCCATTGGCAATGGGGGACAAGCCGGTATCAAATAGTCCCGGGACTCCCAGTGCAAATAATGCTTGCTGGAGTCGACTCTGACCGACTCTGACCGACTTTGTCAACTTGGTCACATCGAGCAACGGCGGTTTCCTCGGGTGGCGCCTTGTACAAAACGATGCCAGACTTTGCTGTCGTGGGTAGCATTGGGTGTCTGGTATCCTCTCTCATATGATTTCAGGTTGCTCTGCCATTACTTTCAAAGCACCAAAAACAGACCTGGAGCATGGGTACGTTACTACGTGTGTCTCGGCTTGGGAAGGGTTGTGACAGAGCCCGAACAAATCATGTACTCGATACCAAACTGCTCGTGGCCGAACATTTGTGCAACCGAGGGCACCGGCGGCCGCGCGGCGCCTGTGGTGCCCAAAATCAAGGTTACCTCCGTGCAGACTGGGTTATCCGATGGCTGATACAGAAGTACGGGGGACCAAGAGCATATCGACGTTATCCACCGACTTTTAGACCATTTCGGGCTCCAAGTTGACGTTGCCATTGGACGCAAGGGTGTGCCGAGGGCCCAGTAAGTCGTCGAGTTGTGCTTTCATCCCCTTGGCCGCCATCTGACCAAGGTTTAAGCAATGTATCTCAAGAAGGCGCCCTCGCCGCGTGCTTATTTGAAGGGTCTAAGGGTCTAGGGCCTAAGACGGGGGTCCAAGGCCACTTGGGAAAGGCCTATCGGTTCACGACAAGACCAGGTGGTGGGACTCCAAGCCTCACCGTCTCCAACAGTCTCTCCGTCAAAGGGTCCGGGCAAGGCCAGACCCCCGAGGCAATGCCGCTGCAGTGCGCAACTCGATGCGGTTATGCCGATTTCACAGCAAGGCTGAGATGCCCAGGACGCACTATCGAGCCCATGACTGCAAGGAAGGAATCTCGTGTTGTATGAAGCAGATCTGTGGCTCGGAGTCTAGAATCCCGCCCTAGACCTTCCTTCCACAACGAAACCTCCGCAGCGAGGCGAAAAGAATGAGCCGTCCCCGCACCGGCCAGGAAGAGACGATGCTGTTGAGGCGACTGCTCCCGTGGGACTAGTCGGTGATGCAATTGCCAAGTCTCGACGTGACGAGACTGCCGAAAGGAGGGGCCGAGACACTTTCTGATTGGATACAAGCACGTCTTTCCAGGGGCATCAATAGACCGACGTCGAAGTTTGCTGTCGAGTTGTTGGGGCAGGTAACTATCTGCAAACCAGGAGGCAGAGATGGCTTCTGCAGTGTGCAATCGCGATGACAATGCGGTAGCATCAGTTGCAATACGATTCTGCGGACCACCGAAGAAAGCCGGGCCTTGGTCATGTTCATGCGCTATCTAGACCTTACAGCCAGTCAAGACGAGCTGCCGCTTCCCGAGGCAAAGATTCTCTCATGCGCCTGCCTGAGCGATGGTCTGGAGGAATCTGGCTTGGGGACTCCTGAGCCGTCACACGGGACAGTCTGGGAGCTCTATAAGTCTCAGTGGACGCAATGCTACAACACCAAGGGCGTACAAGGCCACATGCGTCACGCGGCCCGACAATGTTCGCATCTTCACATCTTGAGGCGCTCCGAGACCGAGACTTGACGACGAATCTTGTCGCAACCAGGCGTCCCCCCCTTTTCTTCCCCCCTTGGACGCTCCAAGTCAGAGCGGGTCGAGGTGGCTCTTCACTCGCCATGACAACTACATATGCACCGGCCTTGATGTCATGGTGTATGTCGCTGTATCCCTTCATCGACGTCAACATCCAGGGCTTCTCGCAGGGGACCCCACACCCAGCCCTAGCTCTGCTAGTGTCGACCCATTCGCGATTATCCTGCCACCGAAATGAGGTTTTACACTGCACTATGCCAATGGCACAAAGGGATTTATGTGCTTGGCTGCCTCTTAGGTAACAAACAATGCATCCTTGCCATCTCGCAAGTCCCCGGAGGTTGAGACGGTCACGCCTGCTAGAAGTAGCTAAGCGGAAACCAAGAGAATTCCGCAAGGACGGGCAGCCCGTTCTGGCGTTGTCGTTGTGCAAAGAGCCTCAAGGAACGGCGGCGGTCGCTCTGAGCAAGTCCATTCACGAGACCTTGTTTGTATCTGAAGAAAATTTCAAATTGTCAGCCGACACAAGTACACCAATTCCATGTTGCGGCTTGCTATTGTTTGGTTAGGCCGCCTACGTAGCCAGCCGTCGGATTTGCTCTCGTATATCGAACTAGACTCGACGGGTGAAATGGCGAATGTCAGCCACGGCAGCCATTCATTCAGCCCTCGTCGTACATTCTAGCACGATGCCGCACACACGCAGGCCGGACGTGACAACTTGCAGTTGTTTCAAGTCCCGCGCAGCTTTCAACCGTCTTCCAAAGTCACTGTGACAGGGGCTCGTCTGAGGGCTTGGAGCACTTTGGCCCCATTCAGCACATCACACACTTGGGTATCAAACGTCTTTGTTCCCTAAAGAGTCCCCGTGGCCAGAGGCTTCTGGTTACGCAGCAGCCTTCTGCGCGAGGTCTCGTGACGGTAGCCCTTGCGTCGCCAACATCCGTTTGACAGGTACTCCTCCTATCCCTTCCCGATTTTATATAGAGCCAGCTTGCTTTTGTTCTACACTCACCGAGAGCACCTTTGACAACGGACCTTGAAGAGCGAGCACTCCAGCTTGCGGGGCAAACTGTAGATGCCATGGCGTTTACATGCGGTTGCGAATACTTTGGCACGTGCAAGAGACGAGTGGATGGTGGGAAAGTTGGCACAGTTTGATTTTAAAAAAGAGTTGTATTGTATGAGGTCTACGCCGGCCTGAGAGAACGAACATGCAGTCGTGTCTCTGTGCAGCACCGGCAACGGCACAAGACCGATCGACTGGGCCACACTTGGAGCGCACCTAAAACACGACGACTAGTCCGGGTCTCGAGACTTGCCAACGTTGGAGTTGGCTCCGCAGCGTCGTGTCTCGCGACGGGTTGTTAGCACTGACGAAGTTAGCTTGGCGGGTTGAACGAGAAGACTGGGAGAAGCACGAACGCCGAGCCCTGCGGCGAATTCCGCACCCAAGTTTTTGCGGACGTTGCGGCAGCTTTCTGGGGAAAGTTCCCCGTATTTTCCGGGTTTCGGTTGGGAGGTTTTTGGGTGTTGAAGGAGGCCGCCGCGTATATCGTCACTGCTGTTGGCCTCTTCATCACCACCGTAATTGAGTTGAGCTCCGTTGAACAATCCTCCATTGCTGTTTGAAGCTGGGTCTGGACGACTGCTGTCGGCCTCTTCTTCACCACCGTAATTGAGTTGAGCTCCGTTGAACAATCCTCCATTGCTGTTTGAAGCTGGGTCTGGACGACTGCTGTCGGCCTCTTCTTCACCACCGTAATTGAGTTGAGCTCCGTTGAACAATCCTCCATTGCTGTTTGAAGCTGGGGCTGGACGACTGCTGTCGGCCTCTTCTTCATCATTGTAATAGAGTTGAGCTCCGTTGAATGAAGATGACTGCGGGTCACGCACGGCCAGCGGGCGTGCCGCCACGAGTCCGACGAGAATGTTGATGAGGACGACGGAGGTCTTCATTTTGATCAAAGGCTGGCAAGGGAATAATACTTTCGAGGGTAGTAAATGAGTATTGGCGGCTGGACGGATGAGGATGATGCTCGCAAAGCACACCTGGAGCGAGTCTCTCTCTATATATATATCCAGCAATCGTTCTGTCCTGCGTCGGGGGCAGCGTGACTGACTGAGCTGAGCAGGCCTGTTCCGGGCGCGAAACCCTCGGCGGCGATTCGGCGAATGCGTCATGGCGACGATTAATCTGGACAATCATGCGCGCCGCGAGACCCGAGTCATGGCGCCTCACAGGAGGCGCGGGAGGTTTAAGCTTTTACAGCAAGCAACCCCCGGCGACTGCTTCTCGTTGGTGGTTGACGGAGCCCAAGGTGGAAAGGTTCGACGGCGACCCGGGGACTGTTCATCTACCAGAAACGGGACCAGCGTATCAGAGAGCGGTCGGCTTTGTCGATGCGACGGCGATGCCGCCAGTGATGTGAGGCATCTGTCTTCGCGCGAGTGTGTTCTTCGCCGTCGAGGACTTGCAGCGGATCAGCTTGCGTAGGAGGCTACGCACCAGGTAGAGCCGAGCAATTGGCCCAATGACTCGCGTGGATTTGGTAGACTTGTCCTTTGTTGTGCAAAATAAGTTGCTTGTCGTGGGACCATCCAACCACCACCGGGCAAGAGAAGGGGAACTTGGTTGACGGGAACGTTCGGGTCTCATGAGATGGCCGTCGCGAGTGTGCGCGGCGCGACTTGAGCGGTGACGGCGATGCGCGAATACGCCAATTCACAATGTACACGAGACTGCTGCCTGCCGACTTTTGCTATACGGGCTACCAAAATGCTGTTGGGCTACCGGACATGTGCTCTCTCGGAGTCTGAGAGACCACTCTCGTCCCAGGACCATGCGCGCGCGCGTGAGACTGTCCCAACTTTCAACTCGCATTGGGCCCAAAGGGTAGCTAAACTCCGTCACGCCGTAACGATTCCACACCCGGGGCCGAAAGGAAAAGGAAGCCACCAAGACGGCTGACAGTTGGCACACGAGCCGCCTTCGTCGTGTCATTAGTCTACACAAGCTTCGTGCCAGGCAGCTCGTCCCGAGACGGATCCTCAGCTCGCCGTGCCGGCAGACAATGCCTGCCCACGCTACCTACACCCGCTGCGTGCTAAAGAGCATCTGGGGAGAAACCCAAGACGCCCAATGCCGATGCTGCCTCTCGAGCGCGGTCACGGACTCGCCTCGCCTCTCGGCGTCGGTAAAGATCTTCCAGCACCTCAGCAGCCAGAGGCACAGCGACCCGACCAGGAACATGAGGCCCGCGAACAGCTGCGCCTGGATGAACGCCCGGTTGCTGTTGGCGTTTCCCCGCACCAGCCTCATGGCTATCGGCTCGGCAAAGGTGGTGGGCACGACGAGGCCGATGCAGATGACGCCGAAGGTGTTGGCAAACTTTGCGATGCCCACGACCTCGACCAGCACCGGGGTGATGACGCACCAGAAGGTCCCGCAGAGCATGCCGGCGACCAGCGCGAAGACGAGCAGCGGCGCAAACGACTGCGCGGGGATCCAGAGCGCGAAGCAGAAGACGGCGCAGAGCAGCGTCGTGACGCCGGCCACGCTGATGCGGCCAAACGTGTCGCTGAAGTAGCCCAGCGGCGGGCGGCCCACGGCGAGGCCGAGGTTGAGGAGGGCATTCGCCGCGGAGCCCTGCGCGGGCGTGAGCCCGACCGACGCCGCGTACACGGGCAGCGAGTACAGCAGGATGATGTATCCCAGCTCCGTGGCGAAGCCCCACGCCACGATGAGGAAGACCTCGACCCGTCCAAAGTCGCGCGGGTCAAAGCTGCTCGACCGGATTCCGCCCGGCGCCACGTCCCGCGGCTTGGGGTGGAGGTCGCGCACCAGGAACGAGGCCGGCAGGTTGGCCGAGAGCGCGGCAAAGGCAAGCACGCGGTACGCCCAGCCCAGCCCCCAGGCGCGGATGACTCGGTCGGCCACGAGGCTGTACATCGAGCCGCCGATCCCCGAACCCGCCGTCGCCAGGCCCACGGCCAGACTTCGACGGGAGGAAAACCACGGCGGGAGAAGCGCAGAGGCGGTGACGTAGGCGAAGCCCATGCCCCAGCCGAAGCAGAGCCCCTGCGTCAGGACCAGGTGCCAGACCTTGGAGGCGAAGGACGCCGCCAAGAGGGATGTGAACAGGAGCAGAGTGCCGATGAGAAGGGTCCATCGGGTGCCGATGCGTCTCCGGACCATGGTGACGATGGGCGAGACGAGGAGCGCCTGCGAGATGGAGAGGCCGCCTACGAGGCCGAGCTCGAGGTGCGAGGCCTTGATGGGCTCCTTGTTTGTCGAGTATTGAGCCATGATGACCGCCCAGGACTGCTTGCCGGGTGAGCATCCGAGTTGTGTTCAGAGGGACGAGGCAACTTACAGAGTTTACACCCCATGTGTGGGCGTTGATGAGAAACACGGCAAATGTGCACACCCATCCGTACCCGCCGTTTGGAGGTACAGCCTCTGCGGTCGCAACGTTTGCCAAGGCGCCGTCGTCCCATTCACGAAGAGGTGTTGATGCGCCCTGGGCACCGGCCTCGCCCCGAGGGATTGGTGATGGCGGACCGCGCCCATCGCAGGTGTTGCTTGTCGTTTCCAACAAAGGCATCTAGAAGGTTGTGCGGGAAATGGGAGTTATCGAGCAGAGGCTCAAGCCTCCGACGCACATTTCATGGTGGTTTCTTATATTCGTTTTGTGACCGACATCGGTTGTTGTCAGGGTCGGCACGCGTGGTCCACGGCCCCAGAAAGAACGGTGGTTTATATTTTACAGTACGTAACTGGCGACACCTTGGATGCGGGAGCCATTTCAAAGCTAGTCCATCATGGGGACGGTATGCCGTCGCCGGAAGGCGTTCGTGCTTCCGTTGTCGGTTGTCTCTCCTTTTAGCCCTTTTAGCCGCATGAACGCGAATCGTGTGGGTGGAGCTGAACAGCCATTGTTAGTTGAGAGCGAGGCACGGGGCACGCATCAAAAGCTGTTGGACAGAGAAGTTATCTGGCCGGGCTCGGGCCACCACATCGTCTCGTTGTGTGGCCGAGTATCGCGACATGTAAGCGGGGCGAGAGGCGTTTTAGAACAACGGCGCTGTGGAAACGGGTCAGAGGAGACACGCTCGAGGCCGAAACTTCACGGATTGGGTGAGGGATCGATGCCACGCTCCAGCTCAGACGCAGAGTAGAGCAGTCATCCCGATTTCACCGAGACCGTGATTTCGTCTTCCTCATGTCATGGTGCGAGGCCATACACGTACGCATACACATCCGACTCGGCATCTCCCTCATCTTGAATTCCTCAACTTGGCCGTCTCGTGCTCCAACCCTGCCGCCTTGGCCTTTTCGTCCGCAACCCTGCACAAGGCTGCCCACTCGTCACTGCTGACCCGGCTCACGCTCAGCCGGCCCTGCTTCAGCATCTGCATATTGTCCAGCGGACGGCCTGGCTTGCCCATTTCACGCAGTTCTTTCAGAGTAATCGGCACGGCAAACTTTTTGCGAAACTCGACGTGGACAAGACTCCAGCGGGGCTTGTCCTTTGTCGATTGGGGGTCGTAGTAAGCCGTGCCCGGCCGGCGAGCGCTCACTACCGTCTTGGTCAGTACGTCTGGGGACGATGCCGGCCATGGTCGAGAGAGAGGCCAACCGTCTTCTGAGAATTCCTTGACCACCTCCATCGTGCCTGCTATGCCGGGTTCTTTGCAGTTGGAGTGGTAGAAGAAGGCTTTGTCGCCGGCATTCATGTTCCGCATGTGATTGCGTGCTGTCATGGTTAGAGGGGCGTGGTCCATGTATTGTTGCCAATGAAAGCAAGCGAGACGTACCGGCATACGCCCTGATTCCTGAGGAGAGTTAGCGCATTCTTTTGCGCAGGGCGCAGGGACAGGCTTACCGTCCCAGCCTTCGGGTCTCGTCTTGGCCCTCAGATCGTCAATAGAAAAGCTCACGTCGACGCCGTTCTCATACCGCGTCTCAGGCTCCGCCTTCATTAACCAGTACCACTCGCCTTCATGTCGGGGGGCCTCGGGATTGATTGTCGGTATAGAATCTACATCGACGTCTTCCGAGCCCGCTCTTTCGCTTTCCTTGCTTGGGGTTGATGGGGCTAGCTTGCGTGCCTCCGAACTGCCTGCCGACTGCGTGGGGGGCTTTTTAGCCGCACCTCTGATGTCTGTGTTGTCCGGCTTGGCGGCGGTTTTGGACGCAGCGGGCTTGTGTCTCTGATTCGGTCTATTGTTCCGAGGCGCGGGAGTGTTTTGAGTAGTGACGGGGTGAGACGGCTCCTCGGAGGGCGCGGTTGCTGCTTGACGAGCTGAACGTCTCTTGGGAACGGCTTCACCGTTGGTCTCGGCAGAGCCTGAGGCAGCTCGTTTTCTTGGTGCCATTTTGTGTACCCGGTGCCTGGAAATGAGCTGCCACAGGCCTCGTTGCTCAAGGACTTGTGCCCGACCGGAGGATTTACTCAATTGGCAATGCCGGACATCCACGCACCGGTCAACGACAGCCCGTGGATCGAGACGCCGTAAGTGCCATTCGTGTGTTCCGTGCTTGTTTTGAAGAGACCACCAGCCACCACACAGATATGCACCAGACGGAGTATTCCGTACTACCAGCTTGACGCCCCCGTTAAGGTCACGTCACCTCGTCCTTGCAATGAGTGGGGCTCGCCATCCAAATAGCATCCCGATTCCCGGGCCACTAAGATGTCGCCATCTATGGAATATTCAAACCATGAATTTTTCTTTAACTCTTTTTTTTTATTATTATTTTTTTTTTGCAAGACAGTTCTTGTCTGCGTTGAGCGTCGTACGCTAACCTTGCCACCACATCTCGTTGGTACATCTCCTGAGATACAAGCAGCAGAGTGTCACGACCGCCGGACAGAAGACGAATCAAGTGTCAAAGTGCTCGGATTATCGCCGCACCACCAGCTCGAGGAAAGACAGTGTTTGCTTGCAGTCTGGTCCATCGTGATTTCTGAAGTATGCTCCAAGCGCCGTTCATGGGTACTCTTGCCTGCTCATCCGGTGACTCGTCGGTGGATACTCCCCAGCGGCTTTGGTTCTCATGCTGAAAATTGCCGTCGTGATCCTTTTACTCAGAGACTTGGTACCAGTAGTACAATACAGATATCTAACTGTCTTTATGCATGGTGTCTTGCGAGCGGCGTCGGCCACGGTTACATGAGTCTTTCACATACCAAAGGCTCGGATGTCTAAACTTGCCTCAGGCAATCAAGTCGATGGATTTTTGACGGGACTGCTGTGCCATGTTCCTTGATCAGCTCAATGCCTCTGACAAATCTTGTTTTCAAGCTCTTTCAACTACCCATCAGGCGCAATATGTTGTCGATTTAAGCACGAGGGACTCTGATCGAGGTCAACATCCATGCCGATTGTTGACATTGGCTTCAAATGTTGGGAGCAAAGGCTCAAAAAATCAGCTCACTTCGTCCTACTGCTATATAGAGGTGACAATATTTCGGTTCTAGAATAACCTTTCAAGTCGATACGCGTGTGTATAAACCATGGGCTCTTTCCAACTTTCCTAGGAACCCCAGTTGTGTCTGCTTTGCGTGGTTTATTAGACTATTGGCGCAATCCTAGCATCAAGACTGAGATGACGAGCCAAGAGTTATGCCAGCGTATTCTGTGGGACTAGGCTCCTGCGTTGAGTTACGGCTCAACAGCGAGATGAAGTTCTTGGTACCCCGCCGTTTCCCAACCCTAACCCTTCGGCTTCCCCCCTATGCAGCAAAGTCTGACTAATCACAGTACGACGGCGGCATCCAACTGCCCAGTCGGGCAATATACTGCACCTACACACTTTCTTACTCGCACCTTCAGACGGAATCAGTGATTCATTGATTCGGAGCAGCTTGCAAAGTATCTCGAGTACCCGCTGTGCCCAGTGCAGTGACATGCACCGAGCAAGGCACCGAGGAGGACGTGAGACGTGAGTGATACCTGTGGAACGCACACAGGCCTGACCAAAAACTGAATCTTGTTCAGAATTCAACTAAGCCTGCCAGAAGCCGTTTGACACCAATCTCCATTGACCGCCACGTCTCGATGAAGACGTGGGTTGTCAAAATTCACACGGCGTTGCTGTGAAAAACGAGAAAATTGATCAAGCGAGCATTGGATGATGCTCTGCAGAAGCTGGCACTCACCCTGCCTCACCAATGACCATACCTTGCCGACTGTCCAACATAAAACCAGGACGAACTCTGAGACCAGGTAGTGAGACCGAAGCAGCCGTTGCATGGCTCTTGATACGAGTCGGTCTGGCCGCAACGAATATGACACGTTGTAAAGGGACTCGGGCACCAGCAGCACGGTCAAAGTCGGCAAATTGTTGACGCTGCAAGCCTCTATCGTACCACAGACTTTCTACGACAGACTCGGTGCGCATATATCGTACCATTGCTGTGCAAGGTCAAGACGCTGTGCTAGTTGACCTAAGATGTCGTACGCATAGGCCAACAAGGTCTCAACGACTTCCAGAAGCTTTTTCCGACTGTTTTGTAATCAAAGTCCATGCAGACAGGTTCATATTTCAATAATTCAAGGAACCAGATCATACAAGCTTGTATAGCCATGACATACAAGGGGTCAAGAACGAGGCGATGTTGACCGTGGAAGGGCGTGATTGGTTCGATTCGAGGGGCGTCGGCTGGGGTCTAGGGCTATAAAGACAGGCTGACGCCCTCTCACCCTGCGTCTTTTCATTTTTCCCTCCTTCATCCTCTCTTGACACTTCGTTCATGAGTCCATTTGACAAGGTGCAGAAAAAGTTGACAAGACTCGACACCAATTATGGCGGAACGGCTAGAGTCACGTATACCCATACTCGCCCACTTACACGACAGCTACTCACGTTGGCGGCTGAGCAGCTTCGTCGCTATACATACCTCCAGTTTCTTATCAGCGATAAGTAAGCCCAAGGCTCGCCGTCACATACAAATGCTGGCTTTTGGCAACACTGGTCCTGTTTCTATGGCTCGGTGCCAGGATGTATCCGAGAAGGGCAGTGTAAGGCCACTATTGAAGAGCATCAAGAGGCGTCTCCAGTCTGTGAATGCGGACGAGGGCCATGAGAGGGTATTAAAAAGGAACTTGAGTGGCACAAGCATAGATACGAGATGGTCTCTTTCAACTTCGAATGAACCCAGACCAGAGAACCTACCGACCCCTGCGGATGCGGCAACCGTTAGTGGCTCTTCACGGGTCCGGAACGAAGATGCCATGGGCAACATGTCCACGTCCGAGTACAGCTGGAGCAACGCGAGTACTTTCTGTTCTGCAGCAGACCCCTTGAACGCAGCCTTGCCGTATTCACGTGGCAGACGGCACTCGCCAGGTCTGGAACTAGGCGGCAGCGGTATTGCGTCGGGCTCACTCCCACTGGCGAGAACTGGGAGCGATCTGGGCCATACGGGTGCGTGGGTTGATTCAGAGGCCGCCTTGTTCGATGAAAGGTGTCTTCATCTCGATGACGAGAGTCCGGAATACCGCCCAGAGGTTCCGAGCCCGCCAGACCTCGGATGGCTGGTGACACCGCACTTGTCACCGCTGCCGAGCACGTTTGAGTTCTGCTACTGTTGTGATGATTGTCAAGATGCCCATGAGGAAGACAAGATCAACGAGTCCTTGTGTTTGTCCCGCAGAGAGGAGGTCGATGCCCAGCGTAAGTTTGACGTTGCCCGCTGTTGATTTTGGAGCTGTGCTGACCGAATAGTGGAATGGGCGCTTGCATATATTGAGCAGAGAAGAGGCAAAGCTGACCCGTCGTCCGATTGAGCTGTTCGACTGCGAGGTGGCTGATGCTCACTCTGCGACGGCGCTTGTCGTTGTTACTTGTCGCCATAATGGCGGCATTGTTCAGTGGCGTATTCCAGGGAGTGTATATTTGGCACAAATTGGGTGGAAAAGGGCAATGAAACGTGAATTTATGGAACCATGACTGAGCTGCTGATGTTGCCATCAATGCAAGGTCCAAATTGGAAACTTTGTGCTCCGGTAAATGGTGCGTATGAGGTTCGAACCTGACCTGCCGCAAGGGCCTACAATGGATGATGTTCACGAGTATTTTATCCAGAGCAGCATGACTATCGCCGCTCGTCGTCACCGTGGGCGATTGAACATACAATTCTATGAATTGTGCCAATGGTCTGGATCATAGGCTTCAAGTCCGCGTCTCTCAAAAGTCATTAGTGGCAGGATCGCCCGATCGCCGGCGCATTATATTAAATCCTCCCCCGCGAAACTGCCTGGGTCTCACATGACTTCCGGCGCGCCAAAGATGAAACGAGACAGTAGTAAGCCTACATGGCTCGCTCCTACAGTACAATACGTGTGTTAGACGAGGACATGGTAGACGGTCCTTGACGTTGATGAGCCTCCTCGCTGCAGCAGCGTTTACCATGCACGGATTGTGAGGGGCCAAGCTCATGGAACAAGTTCACGGAACGCAATCATGGACGAGCTTATCGTGGACAAGACAAGCCCCCGCTCGGTTTGGGGATTGGTTGAGGTCGGATCCGTCAGTGGTGGCCGCCTTGGTCACGCAATCGCCGGCTGCCATCACGAACGTCCTACCATCGTCTCCAGCTTCCCGGGCATTGCTATCACGTCAACCCCCCACAAGGTCTCATGCATGTTGAAGATTGCGCACCGCCGACGTCGCAGAGTAACACGCAGTAGCCATGGTTTTAGAGCCAGACACCGCTGTGGGATCCGGCGAAGGACACGAGGGCGGGCTTCACGTACTTGACGTATATATACCGATGCCGCCTTTGTCGGGTTATCTCACATCTCACAATGAGCACGCACGCTATTCCGTTCCCTCCGAGGCCGCTCTTCTCTCAGGAATCCATGTCTCGGCGAGATGGTACAGACGCTTTCCCGGCCTCCAGGGACGGCCCAGTTGCAGGAACAGTCCGCTATCGACCACGGAAATGGTGGCAGCTCGGCGGCAAGGACGTGAGCCACGTGTCCGTCGACGCAGGCTACGAAGCCTGTCCATCTCCTGCGTCGTATTCCTCGCTGGAGGACGCCAAGAGGAGCGAGGGCGTCTTTGTTGCACCGTCACCAGAGGCCTTGGAGGTGTATAAGCCCGTCGAGGGTTTCGAAGGCACACACCGATTTCACCCCTCAGCAACCTGGTCACATGAGGAGGAGCGACGGCTTGTTAAAAAGGTAAGTTGACATGACGCGACCCAGATCTGCCACGAGGCCGGCCTTGTCCTTGATGCTAAGTACGTCATCAGCTGGATTGGAAAATCGCCCTTCCCGCGTGCCTCATGTTCTTCGCATTACAGCTCGACCGTGGCAACATATCACAAGCGCTGTCCGACAACATGCTAGGTACGGCACGCCGCGGTGTCTCTTTGAAACTCGTCGCGAAACCGCGTGGAAACTGACGCTGCCCACAGGCGATCTCGGAATGACCACGAATGACTACAACAACGGCCAGACCATCTTCTACTGCTCTTTCCTCTTTGCCGAGCTGCCGTCGCAACTCATCAGCAAGAAACTCGGCCCGGACACTTGGATCCCCATCCAGATGGTATCTTGGAGCATCGTCGCCGCCGCACAGGCCGGCCTCGGCGGCCGACCAAGTTTCTACGTTTGCCGCTGCCTGCTGGGCCTCATCGAAGGCGGCTTCATCCCCGACGTGATCCTCTACCTGAGTTACTTCTTCACAAACCCCGAGCTGCCCCGGCGCCTGAGCTGGTTCTGGACGTCCTACCAGGCAACCCAGATCGTCGGCGCCTTTCTGGCCTACGGCATCCTGCATCTTGGCGGCAGAGGCGCGCTGGTCCAAGGCTGGCGCTACATGTTCCTGCTCGAAGGCATCTTCACCGGCCTCATCGGCGTCTGGACCTGGCTGTACCTCCCCGCGTCGCCCACGCAGACGGCACGCGGCCGGTACAAGGGGCTGCTCCGCCCGAGGCAAGGCTGGTTCACGGAGCGAGAAGAGGTCATCATGGTGACGAGGATCCTCCGCGACGACCCGGGCAAGGCCACCATGCACAACCGGCAGGGCCTCGGCTGGTCCCTCCTCAAGGACGCCCTCCTCGACTACCACCTGTGGCCCATCTACCTCCTCGGCCTGACCTGGAGCATTCCCGCCACGCCCCCGCAGGCGTACCTCACGCTCACCTGCAAGGCCCTGGGGTTCGACACCTTTGAGACCAACCTCCTGACCATCCCGGCCTACGCCATCTTCATCCTCCAGCTCCTCTTCTGGACGTGGGTCTCGGAAAAGGCCAACCAGCGCGTGGCCACGGGCCTCGTCACGCAGCTCTGGGCGCTGCCCCTGCTGGTCGCCCTGGTGTCCCTTCCCGCCGCGTTTCCCAACAGCAACTGGTCCAAGTGGGCGCTGTCGACTCTGCTCGTCGGCTCGCCGTACTGCCACGCCGTCCTGGTGGCCCTGACGTCCCGCAACTCGGGCTCGGTGCGCACCCGGACCGTCGGCTCGTCCCTGTACAACATGTCCGTCCAGATGTCGAGCATCATCGCGTCGCAGATCTACAGGGACGACGACAAGCCCTACTACTACAGAGGAAACAAGATCCTGCTGGGGCTGGTCGCGTGGAACGTCGCGCTGATCATCGGCATCAAGGCCTACTACGTCGTCGTCAACAAGCGCCGCGACGAGATTTGGTCGTCCATGACGAGGGAGGAGCGGCTCCGTTACTTGAACACGACAAAAGACGAGGGCAGCAAGAGGCTGAATTTTAGATTTGGACACTAGCCGGCTGGTTTCCGGGATGCGAGGGCCCGGCAGCCATTGCAGCCTGCCTTGACTCGAGGCAGTATGCGCATGTATCAACAGGTTCGTGGACGAGATTGTTCATTTTTAGATTGCTGTTGAATGGCGCATATCTAGATTTACTATAAAATTCTCATCCCGAGGAACCTTTACGCACGAGCAGTTTGACTGAAGCAATAGCGACGTTGTTATGCATTCCCCGGCACAGCACGGCTGTCCGGCGTACATGCGAGCATTTCCGACAGTCGGGTTGTCCATGATGACTGCCATGTGGCTTGTCCGGACTTACGAGAAAGCCATTTGAATGACGAGCCGCGTTGCTTCACTAGACTGGTGAATTCGCAGCCGGATGGTGGCCGACCCGACACAATTTCCTGTACCATGATGCAGCCCAATATGACGACAGGTAGAGACGTCCACCGGAGCTCAAATCAACTGCGAGGGGATCAGAGAAACCTTCACAGGCCTGGTCGTCGAAAATTGCTTCAGACGACGGTACAAATGAATCCCAGCGCTGAAACGGGACCAAGAATCAACCATCATGCAAGCACCATGGCAAGTTTCGTGCTGGTCCATGTTTCCCCTGCCGTATTGTACACCCCTCGGAAGCAAACTCGATTCAGAAGTCACGGAGCAGGTGGGTGATGACATGATACCACTTTTGTTTCGCTTTCGAGATGGTCACCAATCAGTCGACTTATATGCTGCGGGATGTGAACACCCCGGAGACTGCGAACCCTAGCCCTAGCCCTCAGTACTCTGGAGTGTAGTTTATCCAGATTTTCACAGCCGTAGCCTTTATTCTTCTCTTCGGCGCCGTAGGCAATCCACTTGCTGGTGCCTTTAGCTGGGTGTCGACAAAAGCCCGGCACCCAAGCGTCAAGTGGCGGCCGCCCATTGGAATTAGAATCGGACGAGACGTTGTCTATACGGTCCACGGGTCGGTCCGTGCCATTTACACTCAAGAACATCAACCAAGCAGTCCTGACGACAAGGCGGTTGCATAGGCAGGGTCCCGGGAAGCCTTTCCTGTCGACCTTTGAAGTGTAGTGAGTGAGCTCCAAGGGCAAGCGCCGCGTGGGCGAGAGCAGTCGTTGGTGAAGAGCAGGGTGACTGGCTTAAGCGTCGTGAACTACGTACGCCTTCTGATGATGTCCGGTCCAGAAAGACAGAGACGCCGGAGACATGTAGGCCATGAATGGCTCCTCGTTTGCGTCGTTGCACCAGACCGCTTGTTCCGCCGTTCCGTCTTCGAATAAGCGGCGTGTGGTGATTATCTATGACTGCTTCAAGTTCTCTGCAAGGCACATCACGATGCGGCGTAGGTAGTGCTCGCCGAGTAGACGAAACAATTGCTGCTGTCGATGAGCAGGCGAACAAAAAACAGAAACAACCTACATGAAATCACGCTTGCAATTTTCACGCGCCCAGATGCAACGGTTGCAGTCGTCTTGTCTCAGAAGGCTATAGCGCCCGTCCTTCGTCACGTCGCGCCGCCGTCCACGTGGTGTCGATTGCGGAACGTCCTCCGTTCCTTTTGAATGTGACCTGACCCCTGGAGTGGCAGTCTAACAGTCTTTTGATTGATACAGTCGGATTCAGTGTTTCGAAGCGCGTCATGATAGTAACCATTGCTTTGTGGGAAAATCCAGCGGCCGTTACAGATTTTCATCGCCTTACTAACTGGGAGCTTTACTTGTCTGTGATGGCCTCACGATACCTAATAACTACCAGGTGGAGTGGAAGTTCCGCCATGATCTGTGTCTCTGAGCCGAATCACTGCCTGCCGATCAACGCCGAGGGGTTTTGCGGCCAGAAACTGGTGCTTTGGGTGATGTCAAGCCCGGGGTGGACATGGCATCAAAGTTGGTGGCTTGAAAGCAGGCAGCCTCCGTTTCGGAGAAACTTGAGAGCTTCGAGACAACCTTCAGTCTGCTGGACTAGTCACATCTCACTGTTAATATGGAAGAAGCTATAGTTTCAATAGTTGTCAATTAACTAGCCCACAACACTCGGGTTAGGAGATATCCTCGGTATAAATACATGTTCAGCCCTTGTATAGCTCTGTACAATGTTATCGACTCGGAATTACTCGCTTATTTCAACACTCACAACGTTTACGTGTATCTCACGAGGTCGCCGCGAACATCATCTTGGTTCCACGACGGCCGGATAGCACCTGACATGAGCCTGTTCCAGAGACCGCGCGAGACGAAACATCAGCCCGGAGCCTTCATTTGAGACGACACCGAAGCTGCTGCGGCGGCGGCGGCGAAGGCTGCTGGCTTCCGTCTTTGGCGTTTCTCGTGCCAGTGTCGACCAATATCGGAGCATGATCCGCCGAGTTCCCGCAAAACTGTCACATTGAAATCCGGGGACTGGGAATCGGGCGTTGCGCATCGCTTGCAATTTGTTTCGTGACGGATGGCGGGCGGCTGGGCAGTCGAGAACTTGGCGTTGTGAACCTCAATGCCACCACGAGGTCGGGCTGTAAACAGCCTTGGGTTGCCACGTCTGGGGTCCTTTCGGCTTTCATGTACAATAAGTAAGCGTCAGTTCCGTCACTACAAGATGTACAAAAGGCGCTTTGGAAGGGGAACATGTAGAACCTTGTTCCAACCCAAGTTCAGCCCTGTGGCCAACTCTTGTCGAAAGTGTTTCACCTACAAGATCCGTCCATGTCTAGCACTTCTTGTTGCCGTTCCATCTTCCTGGTTCATACGGACGTCGGTTCCTGTACCTGTGGCCCCGAGCCCAAGGGCTGTTCCGAAGCTTGCCCCGGGTGTTACGTCTCCCCGTGTCACGGTTGGAAAAGCCATGGATCCAAAATACATCAATCGACTTTTGGTACAAAGGTCCCGGGGTCGGCGTCAAGGTCTCGGGCCCGAAACCATATATGACAAAGGCCACCGGCTTGAGGAACCTGCCACGCCCCTTTGTTGGGCTCGAGACCCTAGGCCTCCGTCGTGACCTCGCGATGCCGTTCCGCAACACATGGCCTCTGTGCGCAACAGGATGGGCTAGCCCCCTTGTCGGACCTTGTCCGAGCGACAGAGACGTGCCAGCCATGTGGAGCTCAAGGAATGTGTGCAAACTTGCCTTTGGTGTCAGTGGTGCCAAATGCCAGACCCCTGGCCGAACAAACGCTTCGTCCGCCCATCCATTCACATGGCTTCCGTACAGATCGGGCTGTGCAGATACTGGAGCCGGCCGCGGTCCAGGCCGACAAGCCAAGGTCAGGGTAGCTCCCGGAGGAGGTTGTCCGTTTCGGTTACATCCCCGGCGAGCGCCCCAGATGTTGGCCACAAAGGACACAGACGACCTTTGACATGTGCCGCGGCATGTCGCGAGCAGTGCGAGGAATCCCTCCCTTGGCTCCTGATTACGAGCAATGTATTTAAGGGCGCCTAGATTCTCGCACGTTCCGGGCAAGGTGATTCGAACCCCGTTCCAAGTCAGCAGCTTGGATCTTGCCTTTTTTCTCTCTTTCCGGCGTGGTAGCTTGTTTACAAAAGGCAGAAAAGGCACATAAAATGGACAAGTTCTACGGCAGATGGACGCAAGAGTCGTGTGAGAATGTCGACGCCTTCCTAGTCGCCCTCAGTAGGTTCTTCTTTCTTTGTTTCCTTTTTTTTTTTTTAAAAAAAAAACCCCTCTTCATATAAGCGGATAATTGACCCAAGTAAAAACACAGAGATTGGCTTCCTGCTGCGCACCGCTGCCAAGACGCAGACTCCCACCATCGAGTTCTCTGCCGAGGGCGACACCGTCAGGTTCAAGACCATGACGACGTTCAAGACGGACCAGGTCGAGTTTGAGCTCGGCAAGGAGTTCTGCGAGAAGAGACTGGACGGCGTCGAGGTCCAGACCACGGCCGTCATCGAGGACGGCGCGCTGGTGTTCCACAAGGAGGGCGACAAGCCTTACACCGTCACCTTTCGCACCTGCAACGACAAGCTCAAGGCCACGTATGCTCTTGGCAATGTCGTGGCCACGCGCACATTGAGGAGGAGTTGAGCGCGTAGACGCGGGGAGCTCGGGCGGCGGGCGGAGGCTGTGCACGCCGCTTTGTATCGTAGCTTGCGCGCGGGTGACGCGAAACAAAGGAGATTGTTGCTCGGAACGTGAGCTTTGCATTGTCAAACTTGAGCCAGACGTGGAGGAGCAGAGCAGCCTCGTCCGGCGTGGCCAATCAATCGACGTGGACTCGTCGGGGGTCGGAAATCGGGAAATCGGGAAACCGGGGTACCGGCCGCCATCTCAGATGCTCCCCCGGCCTTGGACAACGGTTGGCACTTGCGGGTTTGCTCGCGGCAGGACGGCCAGGAATCTCCGTGACAGGGTTGCATGTACGGAACAGTGGCATCGGCAGTGCTGGGAAGCCGCAATTTGTTGAGACGAGCCCGAGTTGCCCCCCTACCAAGGTGTGACGATAGGTAGGGCCTTTCTGCCCCCGAAATGCGCGTAGAGACCCCGAAGCCGGCCACGCCAGACGGGGCGCCTCTTTGAGCCCCGAGTTCGAGTCCAACCCGACATCTGCGCACATGTTTCCCACCGTTGCCGCAGCATGGCAAAAGCCGAGGCAGCTATTCCTACCGTGGTACAGCACTCTGAACTATTGCATCGCCCACAGCCCAGTTGCAGACACCCTCATGATGAATTCGATTATGCCGTGTTGAACAGTAAACGCTACTTGCTTCAGTGTCATGCCCGCGTCTTCCTCTCGCCACATGTGCCGTACGTATACTTGAGTGCTCAGCAATATACAAGGCAAAGTCTCTACCTGTGCGCTTCCGCAGAAAAGGGAAAAAAGTCACGACACACTACTCCTTGTTCAGCCTTGCCGCCTCACACGTCTCATCCCTCGACGTCCTCAAAAAGGGAATCAGCTCCGTGCCCCCGGTACCCACGAGACCCAGCTCGCTCTTCCGCGACGACGACGAACTCGCCAGGTTGGTCCGCGGGCCCCCGGTCCACGGCTGTCTGGACGGCAAGACGATGTACCGCGTCACGATCCTGATGTGCTTGTTTCGGAACTCGCTCAGGGCTTGCGTGGCGGCGGCGTAGGCGTCCCGCAGCCTGCGCTGCTCGTCCGTCGTCGGCTCGGCGAGGGCCAGCCCCCGGATGCTCCCCATCCTGGCCGCGTGCACGAGGAAGCGCCGGTGCGGCCCGGGCATGTACTCCCTGACTTCTGCGTGGTAGCTCGGCTGCCCCGGCTTGCCGTGCGTGTGGTGCTCGACGCCCAGCACGACGTCGAAGAACTGGATCAGGGAGCTCTGCCCGTTGCTGCCGCCGCGGTACTGCCGCCACTGGCCCTTGCCGCTCCCTTGGTCGTAGAAGACGCCCTTGGGGAGGCCCGAGGCTTCCATGTTCATGCTTCCCGCCAGGAGGGGTCTGATTTTGTGGTAGAAGACGAGGGGGTCGCACTTTTCGTGCATTCGTTCCAGGAGCGCGCCGACGCCCTCGATGCACCCGCGGAGCTCGCCGAGCGCCGAGGTGATGACGTGGTAGTCTCGCGTCTTGACGGCGTCCAGGGCCGCCATCATGGTCTGCAGAATGCCCGCCGCCTTGGCTTCCATGGCGACGCTTATGAGCAGGAACCAGGCTTCTGATTCGGTGCCGGTAAACGATATCGGGAGAGTGAGACTGTCGAGGTCTGCAAAGTCACTTCCCGAGCAGGAGAAGTTCCAGAGGTTGGCCCCCGCGTACGTCAACGCTGGGGGTACCTCGAGGTGGCTGGATACCCTCAGGAGGGGTGCTGTGATTTGTGGTGGTAGGATCTGAGGTGCGTCCAGGTTAACAGAGTGTGCATCGAGTGAGTCGTGCAGCACCAGAGTCTGGTCGCTCACCTGCTCGGGCTTTTCACCGCCCCAAATGTATGCGTTGGCTATAAAGGCCAGGATGACATAGGCTCTCCTCCACTCCTCCTCGGATACGAGGCCATCTGTCGATAGGACGGCAAGGTCGCGAACAGCGTCTCGGATGCGGTTGCTCTCAATCAGTGTTGGCAGATGTTGCGCAATAAGTTCCCAGGGCTCATAGTACGAATCCGAAAGTGACGTGGGCGGGCTGGATGCCGGCAGGAAGGCGTTGTGTGTGACGGCGAATTTGCTCAGGTCGATGGCCGGCTTTCCGTCCCGAGCGGCACCCGAGATCACGGCGTGCGGTGACATTCTGTGTCTCAACGTGTGATGCGTGACGCGCGATGCCCGATGCCTTGTTGTGTGGTTGTGAGGTCGAGGCGTCACTTGGCCGTGTGTAGATGGATGTGCCGACGCTCGGGGAAGAGAGACACCAACTCTGGATAGGGGACGTAAAGAGATGAAATACGGCTGCAGCCAAACTGTCACGGCCAAAGCCCGTCGACACGACAAGGCATGTTTGGCAGCCTTCTTCCCGCTCCCATGTTTTGAGTATTGTGTAATGACCGTTTGGTCCGCCAGCCGACCGACGCATCCGCTCCGGGAGCCGCGCTTATCATCCGCAGTGGAGAGGCAAAACGCGCTACGGCATGGGCTGCAAGAGCATCCGAGGAGTCAATACGACTCGCAGATGCTGGGAAGACCAACTCCATCCGGACCTGCAGGTCGGCAATGTGCGCGTTGTGTCATGCGGCGTTCATCTCCGCTCGCCCAAGGGCTCCTCCGTGTGGAGTTATCTGAATGGGCGAGTTGCGGCGGCATGATTGGTCGGGTCAGGTCAACTCGAGGAAGATGACATCAGCCACAATTGGCTGGCTGGAGCCGGGAGCGCGGCTGGGAGCGGTCCTCGGATGACGGAACTTCGGATGTGGGGTGGCGCAATTCCGTGTGGGTCTCACCATTCCGATGCGCAGCCGCACGCTCGACGTCTGGAATTGACTTCGATATTGTTGGATTCAGGAGCACTCGACCACCGGCATCTGGAGTCAATCGGCATCGGCCCTGCTGTCCGAGTGAAGTAGGCTGTGGCATCCAAGCAGCCATAAAGTGCTTTCCGGGGCCCTCTCGCTCTGATAGACGTCAAACCACCTTTGGTGCCTGCTCTGCTCGACACAGCTGTGAATCGCCGCCATTCTTCAGTCCGTCGCCCTCACTTCCCTCACCAGTCAGGTCAATCTCCCAGCATCGTCATGGATCTGGCCGCCTTGGTTGACCAGCTGCGAAGCGGCTCGGCGCCCAAGTTCCCCGCCGACGCAAACACATTGGCCTTTGCTCGGAAGCTCGATTCGCAAGATCAGCTCAAGCACCTGCGGGATGAATTTATACTGCCCACAAAAGGCTCACTGAAGAAGAGGGCTCTGGACGGCTCGATCCCAGGTACTTGTCACGTCACGCCGTCCTTGCAAAAGCCAGCCAGACTCATCGGCGTGAGACGGGGAGACGGCGGCTCGGGATGAAACCTTGCTAACGGGCACAATCAGGACAAGACATGAGGGACGGCACCAACGGCGTCCGCACCACCAACGGTGTCGGCGGCCGGCCAGGAGATGCCGACGAGCCGTGCCTCTACTTTGTTGGCAACTCTCTCGGCGCTCAGCCCAAGGCCATGCGGGACCACCTCAACGCTCAACTGGAGACATGGGCCTCGATTGGCGTCAACGGCCACTTCACCGACATGGGCAACTCGCCGTTGACGCAGTGGCAGGACATGGCAGAGGACTGTGCCAAGAAGTCGTGTGACCTCGTCGGCGCCTCGCCGCACGAGATCGTCATCATGAACACCCTCACCATCAACCTCCACGTCATGATGGCGAGCTTCTACAGGCCCGACCCCCGGCGGCACAAGATCATCCTGGAATGGAAGCCCTTCCCCAGCGACCACTACGCCATCGAGAGCCAGGTCCTCTGGCACGGGCAGGACCCGGAGAGGAGCATGGTCAAGATCGAGCCGGACGAGAACTGCCTGATCCCCACCGACAAGATCCTGCGCACCATTGACCAGCACGCCGACGAGACGGCCCTCCTGCTCCTCCCCGGCATCCAATACTACTCTGGCCAGCTGTTTGACATTCCCAGGATCACGGCCTACGCCAAGGCGCGCGGCATCCTCGTCGGCTGGGATCTCGCCCACGCCGCCGGCAACGTCGAGCTCAGGCTGCACGACTGGGACGTCGACTTTGCCTGCTGGTGCACGTACAAGTACATCAACGCCGGGCCCGGCTCAATAGCCGGCGCCTACGTCCACGAGAAGCACGGCAAGGTGGAATGGACCGCCGGCGGCCCCGGCAGGGACAGGCCCTCGTACCGCCCTCGCCTGGCGGGCTGGTACGGCGGCGACAAGCGCGTCCGCTTCAACATGGACACGACCTTTGTCCCGACGCCCGGCGCCGCGGGCTACCAGCTCTCCAACCCTTCGGCCATCGACCTCGCCGCCCTCTCCGCCGCCCTCTCCGTCTTCAACAAGACGTCGATGCGCGACCTGCGCTCCAAGGCTCTCGTCCTCACCGCCTACGCCGAGCTGCTACTCGACCAGATGCTCCAGGAAACCGGCGGCGACGGCGCCGCGCCCATCTTCACCATCCTCACGCCCAGAGACCCCCTCCAGCGCGGCACCCAGCTGAGCGTGCTCCTGAGGGAAGGGCTGTTGGACAAGGTCTCGCGGGCCTTGGAAGAAAACGGCGCCATTTGCGACAAGCGCAAGCCCAACGTCATTCGGCTTGCGCCCGTTCCTCTGTACACCCGTTTCGAAGATGTGTGGGCTTACATGCAGGTCCTGAGGGGGGCGTTGGGCTTGTAAGAGATGAGACGCGCCTGTAGGCTCGACGTGGACCAGAGAAAAGGCCGTTTTTACACGAAGCCTCCGTTTCAAATTTTGTCCTTGTGCACATCGGTCCAACACACTCGGCCTCCCGCCATCGTGGATGTCTCTTCACTTTCTACTCTGGGGGGAAAGCAGCTCGCTTGCCACTCTAGCCATGCCATCCACAATCCCGTTGTAACAGGTTCGTAAACGGATGGCAGCAAGCGTGCCGACAGCGTTTTCCAACATGATGTCTTCTCTCTTCTGTACGTGGCGATGGATCGTGATCGTGACCGCGCGTAGCAGTAGCCCCCTTTCTGGTCGAGTCTTTCACCGCGCCTCGTGTGCACATCTCAACCCAGCCCGACACGATCAACATCTGATGTAACAAAATAGTGACCAATGATGCCGGGGGCCTAAAAATAATGCGCCAAATCGATCCCCCCTCCAGCATCCAGGAGAGGAAACAAATTCAACGCAGACCCCGCGTCCACATCATTGCCCGGATTCCCATTCCAATAACTGTTGTCCGGCGTCGGCATCAGGGGCTCCGTCAGCCCCAAAAACGCCGAATCAATCTCGGCCAGTCGCGGAGACGGAGCGCCCTGCAACCCCTGGTGCTGCGAGACCGACCTGTCCCACGACTCTCGTCCCCTAGAGACGGCAGCGGCATGCGCTGGACTCCTTCTGGCGTGCTGGGACGAATCCCTCCCCCCCGGCGTGGACTCTCCGGGGCTTGGGCGCGGTTCTGAGGAGGGCACCAGGCCGAACAGTTGGCTCGAACTCTCGGTTCTTCGTAGACGTTCCTGAAGTTCTCGCCGCTCAAGATGCTCCAGCGCTGTCGTGAGCAGAGATTGGGCAATGAGTGAGTACTGGGCGGCGTGGCCGTCGGCTTTGGCAAAGTGATCGAGCGCCTGGATGGACATGCGGCAGTCCTTTTCGAGGATGCGGCCAAATCCGCCGAGGAGGCCGACGCCCAGGACGAGGGCCGAGGCGAACAACCAAGAGCTGCGAAACGGGCATTAGCTGTGCATTTTGCACTTCCCTGCCGTCGCGGCAGCCGGGGGACTTACACGATGAGCGGCGCCCTGCTATTCAGGATCCCTCGGTCAATCAGGTCGAGTATCGGGTCCATCATCAGGCTGGCGGCGCCAATACACGCATCGGCAAGTTTCGACTTCCCAGATGTAAGAGAGGGCCTCGGCGCCGCGGCCGGACCGTCGGATAGCCTGCTGACGAGCTCATACATGAGGAACGGCCTCGAGACTAGCATGACGGCATAGTAGTACGACGACAAGACCTTGCAGGCGCCGCTGATTTCGGCCGTGCCTGCATCGGCCCTACCTACAACGCCCTTGAGCTGCTGCAGCCAGCGGCCTGACCAGTCTCGCAGCTGATGTGATATTCCCTCAGTGAGCTGCAGGGAGACCTTGCGTCTGGAGTAAATCTCCACCACTACTCTCTCCGTGATGAGCAAGATCTGAACAGAGGCATTCAGCAGATCGAACGTCTCGGCGCCGCTGGCATCGAGGCTTCGGTACGAGACGGTGCAGTCGACATCCGAAGCGGATGGTGGCCTGCCCATGGATATGCTCAGAAATAAGTCTACTATCCGGACGCTCGTCCACAGTCGATCCCTCTGTCGGTGGACTTGGGCTCCGAATCGGGCATTCACCTCGGTTCGATGAATGCCGACGGAGTACGCCGCGCGGGCCGCTATGCCGAAGAACAGGAACGCGCCGTTTATTTGACACGAACAGAGCATGTACACGGAGATGAGGAGGAAGGCCCGAACCGTCCCAACGCTCAGATTGCTGCCCAGAGCGGCGTAAGCCTTGCTGCGCGCATACTCAAAGTAGCCCTGGGACAGCGCGTCGTGGTCCTGCAGGCTTCCGATGGCCAGGACGAGATAATTGACCACCGACGTCAATTCGTCCGAGGTCCGGTCGAGGCTCGCCCACAGCAGCAAGTCGTTGAGCAGCTTCGACCTGTCAAACAAGTCCACGAGACTGGTCGTCGTCACCAGGTAACTGGCAACGGCTGCTTCAAGATCAATGCCGCTGACGTCTGGCGCATCTCCAACTCCACGGCCATCCCGCGCCCTCGTCGCATATCCCGCGGGCGCGTTTTCCAGCACGGAATATCGACTGCTCTCTGGCGCGAAGGCGTGCTGTCCCACGCGGTTGGTCACCACCTGTCGGACGGACTGGAAGAAGGACAACGGGGCGCAGTCGCCGATGAATATCAATTCTCCCTGCGCGTCGCACAACAGCCGCGCTTCTCGGGGAACCTCTGTGTCGTCCTCCGCCGACGGCTCTGTCGGACCGTCCGCGGCTCCCTGGCCGTCCCCGGCGGTTCGCGCGGAAGGATTTCGCGCCCTCGTCGTCCCGACAGCGTGGCCAGCCGAGCGATTCCTTCGAATCCTTCCGCGAGCTGCCTGGTCAACATCCCTGGACGCTCTCCCGCTTGCCGCCCTCCTCCGCCGTTGTGGTGAGTAATGGCATGCCTGCGGCCGCTGCCTCCTTGCGCAGTAACCACAGGGTAATCTGCCATCGCACTTGACCTTTCGTGCCTTGCATCCGTCGCACGCATTGGCAATCCGGCTGCGGATGCACCGGGCCGGCCCTGGCTCTCCGGATGTTTGTCTGCCGTCGTTGTCCATTGATGTGCGGGCGCGTGGGTGCATGGTCGGATGTTGTTGGAAAGATGGGAGATGGGTGTGCGATGACGGAAGCACTGTATGGAAGCACTGTGCAGGGCCATCCGGCTGCGGAGGGAAGTTGCCACATCCATACGGACGGATGTCGGAGGTGTGAGCGCCTTGTTTCGGTTCACGGAGACGATGACCGGAACCTGGTCGGCTTCCTCAACCGTCTCTCTGTGCGCAAGTCCGCCGGCCATCCAATCCGGATTTCGTCCTGGCAGCAGCAGGTCATTTTCAGAGCCTCAGATGTTGCTGTTGGACAGATGCTGTCGGATTAGCGAGGTCGGACGTCAGGTAGGGAGGGCATTTTTTTGTTTATTTATTTATTTATTTACCGGAAATATAAATTCCAACTGGCCCCACAACACGGCCGAGTGTCATCCGAAGATCGGGGCTACCCTGTAGTTATTTTATTGCACTCAGGTGCTTCTACCCCTCTGATTCCGGGCCGGGACCCTGTATACCTGTCAACATTGCCAACTGTTTTTATTCTGGTGTGCGGTATGAGAAAAGCCTCCAAGCAAGAGCTAGTTCTTCTTCGTTTTTTTTTTTTCAATATCCGTATCCCGAGTTGTGCTGCATTGCCTTGGCCCCGGAGCATAGGTGAGCCTATTTCCTAATCATGTCAAGACGTAACCGACTCTGCATTAACTCCATCCAACTCAGTACAAAAGTAATAGCAAGCCAGCCATGGCCATGCAACCAATCGTTTATGATTTTCTTTTCTTGGTTTTTTTCTCGGTCCCATTGTATCCCACCATAAATGTAATGCACCCAAGGCCAAAAAAACAAATACATATTCGCAACTTGGCCGCCCATTAAACCGCGGACCAAATCCCGCGAGCAGTTTGACCAAACAACCCAAAAAAAAAATCAAAAAAAAAAATCTAATTCATCTCATTACGGTGTTTGCCAAAAAGAGGCTGCCTTTTCTCCAGCAGCCCCAAATCCCACCACCCGTCAATCCTTTCCAAGATAGTCTTGCGTTTGGGCCCGAACGCAGCCAGGGCAGGACTCAGCAACCCCAGTCCCACGGGCGACTTTGGCTGCGGCACAACAACAACAACAGCAGCAGGCGCAGGCAGCAATGGGGGGATGTTCTCGACAGGTCGAGGCCGAGGTCTGACGCGAGCTCGATTCTCGCCGCGTATCGTCGCCGCAGGGGCCGGCGGGGGAGGAAACGATGAATAGGCAGGCCCGCTAGCCGGGTAAGAAATGTTCATGCTGGCGGCGTCGTCACCGCCCGAGTCGCCATCATATCTCTTGTTCGGGTGAGCCATTGCCATTGTACCCAGGCTCTTTGCCCCTTGTAGCTCGCGCGGAGCAGCCCGAGGTGGCGCCTGTAATCTTTTCCTCACAGCCGGAACCTCCCCGCGGCCGTGGCCTCACTCGGAGTCCTTGGGAGGGGCCCGGTTGCCGCCCTTGACTCGTTTCCAGAGACAGGCAGATGTGACGGCGGACATGAAGTACAGGACGCAGAGGCATATGCTGAGGCCCCAGATGGCCTTGATCTCGAAGCAGGTGGCCTTGTCGGGGTCGACCCACTCAAAGTAGTCCCCGCGCGAGAGGTTGAGGAAAAGAGAGCGTATAAAGTTGGCCGTGTTGCCCTTGTCTGGGAGCGAAGGGCACGAGAGGTAACTGACGGGCTTGCCGACGACGCAAGCTACCACGATGGTGGCGAGGAGACAGAGACCATCGGCACCGGTGGAAATCAGGAGAGGAAGCATAGAGTCCCAGTACAGAATGTATGTGATGACGATGTAGACGGCAGTGATGCAAGCCTAGTAATTGATCCGGTCAGTTTCTCAATCTATACAATCGCCAAGGGGAGCAACGTACAACAACAAGCGTGCCGACCAACGCAGGCGGCGGCACGTAGCTGGCAGCCACCATCTCGGAGATGAAGTTGGAAGCCAGCCCGATGATTGTGACCAACGCAACGGCTTGTAAGGCCCGCATAGCCGTAAACGTCATGCCCAAGGCGCCCAAGGCGGGAGGAGCAGACATTCTAGCAGTAGTTCCGGCGGGGATAGCCAGCGAAAGCCGTGGTCTCGACGAGCGCTTGGCCGTGCAGAGAGGGAAATGCCTGGAATAGAACGGCAGAATAGCCGGCGAAGACGTGGAAGACGAAATCCTGAAATCGGTGCAGGGACCTTTTGCCCTACCGTGTAAGTGGTAAGCAAAGACTCGAAAACAAAAAAGATGTACGGGAGAGACGGGCTGGAGTTGGCGTGTCTCTCGCAGCCGAGTGAATATCCTGATCTTTTGATTGTTTTTTTTCCTTTCCTTTTTTTCCCACCCTCTTTGTTCCCCTTTTTTTTTCTTTTTCAAGAATACTGAGCGAATGAGACTGACAACTTGAATGCCGAGGCAGATTTTAATGAGCCCGAACCCAGAGAAGACAAGGTGCAAGACGGTAGGAGAAAAGAAGAAAGGGAAAGGAAAAGGAAAAGGAAAAAAAAAAAAGAAAAGATCTTCCAATACAGTTGTTGTTTTTGACTTGAGAGAGAAAAGAAGAACCAGGCTGGATGAAGCCTGAATGCTGGACTCTTTTATACCAGAAGGAGGGCCATGCATCGCTTCCCGCGACCTGCTCCGCCGAGTTGCTTTTTGAACGCAGCAACGTTGTCGTCTGCGCATACTAGTATGACTTTGTTCCATGGTATATGCCGTTTCATACCCCGAGCCTCTGGCGACTACGTAGCCCCGGGTTTACATTTCCATTGATGCTTGTCGACAGATACATCAGCGACAACTCACATTTTGAGAGGCTCCGCCAAGACGAGCATTTTTGAGACGTTGGCCCGCGTGGGCAGCCGCCAGGTCGACCAATCATTCTGCATCTGCCCGTGGGCACAAATGCCGGCGCCTACACAACCTTGCTGCACTCGCATCGTGTAAGCGCCGCCTGGCCGGGTTGGCTGGTCCTGGTAGCGGCAGTGGCAGAGACAGACCCAAACAATTGACTGATTGGGCTTGCTTGATTTCCATCGATTGCCACGAACCCACAAACCCGGCTGTGCATTGCCCGGCCGCGAGTAGGCCAAATGAGAGGGTTGATGGCGGGCAGCTTGGGTCCTGCAAGCCCTGACGGGACAGTTTTTGTTTGGCGACAGTGAGCTAAAAATGGATGCCATGGCTTGCAGAAGCCTGTCTTGACCTGAATCTAACGCGCCGAATGGTGCATTGCAATGACTGATGACTGAGTCTTGCTGGTCGAGCCTTCATCCCAGCTTAGACGGATGGCAACTGATAAGACGCGGGACTCGGGACTCGGGACTGATGGCTATCTCAATTTCATTTTCTTGCGCCGTACGCCTATCTCAAGGTCCTGCTAGGACATTCAAACATGCTTGCTCAACGTGTGCTCTGTGAATTAGCCACTACTAATCCACCCCAGCCGTCAGTACAGCGAGGTTGCCCGCCTGCAATTTCAGTCTCGCGTCCGAAGCCGTGGCCGGATCTGCGTATAAATGCGAAGAAAAATGATCCCTTGATATCGACCTAACCCAGCAAATCGCCAGATGCTGACCCGCCATTTCCAGCTGCCGGACTGGGCTGAGAGGAAACGGCTGGCGCTCCCCAGATACCGGCGCTGCTTTTTTCCCTGGCAAGCTGGCCCATGGCAGGCCCGCTGTTCGACTTTTCCGTCTTCTTGATACCAGCGCTAGCCTTGCCCCAGAGAGCACCAAATGCATCACCACCGCTGGAAGGGCCTGGCTTGGCCCCGGCACTGGTTACAGGCTTCATGTTCGCCATTGTTGTTGGCCCGGCCGAAGCTGTGTTGCTCGTAGCCGGCATGCTAGACGAAGCTGAGTTGGGTGCTTGAGATGAAACACCACTGTAATAATTGGGACCGGTCGGTTGAAAGCCACTCGGCTTAGGGAGCTGGACTTGACTCGCTGGGACTGCAAAGGCAGAGTAGTTGACGCCAGCGCCGGCACTGGGGTTGGGTGCGGGCGAGATGGACGAGCTACTGACCATCTGGCTGAGATTGGCAGTCTTCGGGGCGGACACTGGTTGGGGGGCGGCGAATTGTGCCGTCGAGGTAGCGGTTGACATGAGGGGAGCGGCCAAAGGTTGAGCAATTGGCTGAATTGCGGGTGCTGCAGATTGGAAGTCGTCAAATTCGTCATCATCTTCTGCACCGGTGTTGCCACTAGAAGGCCCGGCCAAACCGGCCAACCCTGGGCTTCGGGTCGCAGCTGGGGTTGCAGAGCTTGAACTCTGAACTGGTTCATCAAACGAGAACAGATCAACCTCAGGCTCCTTCTTCTTTGCTGGCGCGGCAGCTGTCGTCTTGGCAGAAGCATGGCCGGAGTTGCGCGTGGCTCTCGATGGTCTCTCGTCTTCGTTGAACTCGTCATACTCCTCAAACCTATCCGACCGGTCGGCACCACTGGCACCACCGCCACCAGACTCGCGATAGCCATCATGCTGGCCCCCGAAGCCGCCGCCATCTCCGTAGACGCCACCGGAGTAGCCACCGTAGTTTGCCGATTCACTCCCGAATCCGCCATATCTACCTCCGCTTCCGCCGGAGAAGCCTCCTCCAAAGGACATGCCACCTTCGACACCGGTATACTTGTTCTTGGTAGCCCGGGCTTTCTTCCGCTCAGATCGGATACGCTCAACGTCGCCCAGAAGCTCAGCTAATTCTTTGGCACGATTCCGCACGTTGAGGCCTTGGTCCTTGCCATTCTGATCGATGTAGTGAAACTGTCGCAGCATCTTCAAAAGAGTGATGTGCCCACGGGCATCATCAACAACTCGCTCAGAGCCATGCTTGATGAGGAACTCGAGCAGTTGCAGCGCCTTGTAGATTTGTCGCCACTCTTCGGCGGCCTTCTCGGTGAATCGGCGATAGATCATGGGCATAATTTCGTTGAGTGTTTGGCTGTTTTCATGGTCAGATATTTGAGTACAACAGTTGGTAAGGCCGCGTACTAGTTGAATGTGCCATTGGAAATTTCTTGCATCAGTGTCGACGAAGCGCCCCATGGTTCATTGTTGGTGGCCTCTCGCACCTATCGCGATGATGTCAGAGCCAAGCTTCGCACAATTGGCCTGTTTTCAGGTTATTACCTTCGCCTCCATTTCCGTATAATTCATGACCGCTAACAAGACAATGTTAGAAAGCCGCTCGTTGTGGTTGGGATATAGCTCAGTTGGTACCATTTTGGGCCTTTCGGAAACCTGCCTTGAGATCATACAAGGTGAGGTTGGAGACCGTGCTCTTCAGATCGTTTAAATCCATTTCAAAAGACTCAGAGGAAACACTAAACTCGGAGAGCGCGCGCCTGCCAATTTTTCCGAGGCCGTGATGTGTACGGGATAGAAGTTATTCGCGAGGGTGAGAGAGGTATGTATGGGCTTGGATGGACTGGGAACCCAAACCGTGACAGCTGGTGTCTGTCGGGCTGTTCACAGGGGTCCGCCGCCGAGCCTTGCGAGGAAGGGCAGTCACGTGACAGCCCCCAACTCAGCAGCGCAGAAGTAGTAGCTGCAAACTTAAGGGAGCTACGTAGAAGAAGGGGACATCAAAGTCCAAGAATTGTCTACGCGGCAACTTTGGTTCATAATTAGACCATAATACAGCTGCTTGGCTGCCTGTTGCGTGCAAGGTTTTCTTTTAATCGAGCTGTTTCGCTGATCTGCATTAGGTAAGTTACCAAGTGAGGTACTCATCAGCAAACGAGGTACCTGAGACTTCAGGCTTGCATTATGACACCGCCCGGCCAAAACTTTTTCCCCTTTCTCGCGCGTCTCTCTCTACCCAAATAGCTAGATCAGTCATCATCGACAAATTTCTCCAAGCTGTTTTTGTATTTCTACTGCATTATCAATACAAAGGTCTTTGCCTTATCGGTATGTGCGAGCGCTTTCCTTCTCGTCAATGTTCGATGCCCATGTCTATGTTGGCAGCAAACGATATGATTTCGGTCAGCACCAGAGGGGAGCTCGCCACTGCAGTCTCAAGCACGCGGTCAACGAGGCAATCGGCCACTCAAAGCAGGTCCAACCCATCGGCCGCGCAGAGCCCCATCGTTCATGTCCGAGCTGCAAGTTGGATCACATTTGTTGCTTCGTCGACGAGCCGTAGCCGAGTGAACTGCATTTGCCTGACTGCAAGCGACCGATTGGCTCTCGCGACCGATCCACTCCCGCCGACATGAACGAGATGGCTCTGGCTCGCATCAGCGCAGCACATGACGGCGAGGCATCTCTCCGGTCTGCCCGTTCCCGCGGAGCTGCTGACCGTAATGGCATACGTTGACGCCGTTCAAGCCATTGACAGCACGGGCAAAGCCAATTGCAGCTGCGGCTGTCGGACTCGAATGGACCAAGGACCAACACAACCCACAACCAACCAGCACGACGGCCATCTCTGCAGCTTGCCCCTTGTTGATACGGCTTCCCACAAACGTCGGACTGGCTTGCCCAGTCCACCAATGTTGAAATACGTCTGGCGTCTGGCTCGGTATTGTCCGACAGCCCCTGCGGGGAGAGCTGCTTGAGCGCTCAACCGATCCATGTCTGCTCCAACCAGCCGTTGCATTGCCTCCAGATGGGCTCCTTGCCAGCGCCTGGTTCCTTTTTTATTGGTCAACTGGTCGTTCCTCCCGCCACTGACATCTATTCTACCCCTCCAGCTGCCTCACAATGCGATCAACGCTGCTTCGACCCCTCCTACCCCGCCACACGCTTTGCGTCCCCGGCGCCAGATCTTTTTCTCTCCCTCAACTTGCATCTGCGTCAAACAGATTTCGAACCACGCGTTTCTTTTCTGTGACCTCTGCAGCCATGGGCAACCCGGTGTGAGTTTGCCATATCTTGTTCTCATGTCCAAATCACCAATTGATCTTTCGGACTACTTCTGACCTGGGAGGGCAGCTTCTTCGACGTTGCCTGGGAGGGCCCTGTCATGGAAGGTGGCAAGCCTACCAATGCTGTTAAAGGTATGTAACTTGATTTTTGGTGTCCTTGACCCCTCAATATGCCTTTGAATTATCATCATTTTCGCCAATTCACCCCGCCCTTGGAGGAGTCCAGTGCTGACGTGTCTGGCAAAACAGAACAGTCTGGTCGCATTGTCTTCAACCTCTATGACGACGTCGTTCCCAAGACCGCCAAGAATTTCCGCGCCCTCTGCACTGGTGAAAAAGGCTTTGGGTACTCGGGGTCGTGTTTCCATCGCATTATCCCCCAATTTATGCTTCAGGGCGGCGACTTTACCCGCGGCAACGTACGAAGAACTTGTACATTGTACTATTTGCTGGTTTCCAACAGAACACTGACCGACCTGTAGGGCACCGGTGGCAAGTCGATCTATGGTGAGAAGTTCGCCGATGAGAACTTCAATTTGAAGCACGACCGCGCGGGCCTGCTGTCCATGGCCAACGCTGGCCCCAACACGTAAGTGTCTTTTTCACGGCCAGAGTACCAATTCTGCGATTGTTGCCGACTTTTCTTGCCCGCATCGCCGTTAAAGGAACCAATTGGTTAACCCGGATCTGTGAAATCTGTCCAGAAACGGTTCTCAGTTCTTCGTCACCACTGTCGTGACCTCATGGCTCAACGGGCGACACGTCGTCTTCGGCGAGGTAGCTGATGAGGAGTCTATGAACATTGTCAAGGCCCTCGAGGCCACTGGTTCACAGAGCGGTGCTGTAAAGTATAGCAAACGCCCAACTATCGTGAAGTCTGGTGAGCTGTAAATTGTGACATTAGCCTTGCATTATTATCATCATCGTTTCCTTTTTTTCTGGGATGGAAAAGGGATATTGGATAAATTAATAGCGGCGGTTTACCATTGAGTGGCAGTTCATTCTGCCTAACGGCTGCCTTGCAATAAACTAAAAAGTCGAACTTGGTGACCCGCTGCTCGCCAAAACGGAACGTGACGTATTTCATATTGCATAACGTTTCGTCTTCAGCGGGTTTATTTCAGAGATGTGGTGTAACACAAAGAAGATGCCTAGTGGTGATAACTTTTTTGTCTACATTTTACCATGCGCCATGCCATGCTTGGCCAGACAAATCTGGCCGATTCCACAAAAACACATAAAAGGCCAGCCAAAACTCCGCAGCCATGCATACTATCCCGCAGCAGCACGAGGCAATGCCCCAAAACGACGGGGACCACAGTCCTGTAGTCATAAAAACAGATGCAGCACCACCCGGCCAACAATGCGCCATCCCACGCCGACATTTCCTAGATGGCATCAGACCCTAGCCACGTCTTGAAGTACTCGCAATTGCTAGGTCCCACAGGACCACCGTCCTCGCAAAGCTCGAAAACAGGACACTTGCCACAGGGTGCTTCCGTATAGGGGCTGAGGTACGGCTCTGGGTCGCCGCCTCTCCCCGTGGGATCTTCCCTCCCGGCCCAGTTCTGAGGCGATTGCCTTGCGACTCTCGAGACACGGTATCCCATCCGACCAGCAATCTTGATGGGTTCGATGAGGTTATCCCACACCAGCACGTCCACAAGCTTCTTGACATCCTCCTCCGACAAGATGGTATTGTTTGTGATGCCACTGCTCGACAAGAGACGAGCAATGTCTCGAACGGTCGGGTACGCCGTGTAGCCCGCAGGGAGAGGCAACAGAGCCGCCTCCCGTCTCGGAGCCGAGGCGCCGGCAGACGTCCTGGCGGCCTTGGCAGGCGGCCTGCTCATCTCGCTCGCGTCGCGCTTCTTGCCCCTGATGACGCCCTTGGCGGGCGCCTGGCTTCTGCCGCCGGCGACAGCGGCACCGCCGCCGTGGGTGCTCCGGTACCCGCTCTGGCGCTTGACGAAGTCGAACACGACGCGCTGCAGCTCCTCGATGAAGGCCTCGTCGAGGTTCTGGTCCGTGTACCACGGACCGCCGGTCGCGCGGTCGCTGGGCCGGATCGAGGCCTTGATGTACATCTTCTTGTTGGGGTGCTCGACGTTCTTGAACGGCGCGATGAGGCCCTTGGCCTGGAGCTGCTTGAGCGCGTTCTTCAGCACGCTGTCGTGCATGTTGAGTCGTTTCTGCAGGGTCTGCGACCATATCCCGTCGCCGCCCGAGTCGTCGACGAGCGAATACACCATGACCTGCTCGTCGGTGGAGCACTGCTTGTATCTGGCGGCGGCGGCGGTCAGCCCAGGGACTCGCCTCCGTCTGCTTGACCGGGGCGCGGTGCTCCGCGAGACTTACTTGTGTGCCTCTTGCGCGTCTCGCCACTTCCAGAGGACCTGGCCGCTGGCCTCTCTCATGGTGATGAAGAGCTTGTCGTCGCTGAGGGACTGCACCACCCGCGCCAGCAGCAGCAGGTCCTTGTTGGGGATGACGTCGAGTCGCAGCAGGTCGTCTTGCGAGAACAGGTCGTTGCCCGGGCCGGCCTCCTTGCACCGCTCGTACAGGGCTTCCTTCCAGACGGCGAGCTTGGCGGCGTCCGACTCGCTCTCGCTCCCGCTGCCGTTCCCGCCCGCGGCGACGGGTGCCGCTGAGGCAGGCATCTTTCGCGTCTCGGGTGACTCAGAACCGAGTCCTTTCGCCTGGGGCGGGGGGGTTTATGTGTGTTTTCCGACTCGGATGGGCGGGCGGGCGAGCGACAGAGTTGGATCGCAAGTATTTGCTACATCGGTGGAGGGAATCGTCCCGAGCTAGCGGCTAAGCGACAGCCTTTGGCTCAATTGTGAGGTTGGTGTCGGGACAGATCAAAAGGTGGTGTGGCGTGGGGTGTACAGTAACGGCAGCATCGAGCGGAAGCTGAATCTATGGGGGAGGGGAAAAAAAAAAAAAAAAAAAAAAGTTGAAGTCATGGTGGTTTGGCACAGCAGCCTCCAGCAACTACTTACGTACTCAAGTTGCTTACTGGGGGCGCGCACACTGGAACCGGAGCCAACTGGTGGAACCAGCTTGTGCAGGGTCCAAACTCCCAGTTCAATTCCACTTCTTAATTTGCAACGTCCCGCGCACCGTCTCTTCACAATGGACATGCGACGTACTCCCACCACTCCGAGTGCTCGTCTGCAACATCTCAGAACAGTAATCAGCCCTGTTTCATAGCTTAAATGTATACCGAAGAAAACCGAAAAAGAAAAGCCAATAAACCAAACGGCTCTGCTCGTGGTGAACCTCCCAACTAACTCTGTAGCACCGCTATGCCGGTACGCCGAAAACGCCGCGTTTGGCCAGCTTTGTCCCGTGATTATACAACACATCATGTCCACCCAATATGGCTTTGGAAACCGACCAAGTGGGACACGCGCTGCAAGTTTTGCAAAACACAACACACCTCACGCTGACCAGTCAAGCCCTCTATCCAGCTCCTCTTCAGAGGAGGGCCTCTGCTACTTGGATGCTTCTTCCGCAGCCTTGTCCTCGGACCTCCCCTTGTCATCGACTTCCATAGCTTCTGTGTCGGCTTCAGTTGTTGCCTGAGCATTGCCCTCTTTCTCAGCCGCCTCTTTCGACGCCTGTTCAACGCCAGGCTTTACGCTGGCCTTGGCTTCTGCCGTCTCTCCAGCCTCGGAAGGCCTGCCTGACTCCGTGGCGGCGGCCTTCTCCTCTGCAGGCTTCTCCGGCTGCTTCGCGTCCTCGGGCACGGATTCAGGTTCGCCGTCTTCCTGTTTGATGGTGGTTTCGTCCTCGACACCCGAGCATGTCATGCCGACATCACCGTCAGCATCGAGCTTATCCTTCTCAAATTCCTCTTCTTCTTTTTCTTCTTCTTCCTCTGCAGTCTGATTCTCCTGCTCATCCACCGCTCCGACATCCTCAATAGTGTCATCATTCACGTCGTGAACTTCGGCATCGACAGCCTCTTTGCTGCTATCGTCCCGCTTCTCGATAGGCGACTTGCTGCGCGAATCCCCTGCTGCATCAGTATTCTTGAAGTCATTGAAAGCCCGCTTGTTTCCACCGTTTCGAGTCGCGCCATTTGCCGCAGCCGTTTCGTCGTCATCGCTGGCCTCGAACTCGGCTCCATTCTCCACATGCTTGTCCCAGCGATGCTCCGTCATTCGGACGTCCTTGTTTTCGTCCTCATCTAGGTCATCCAGTTCGGCCTCTTCTTCATCCGTCATGCCACCAAACGGCTTGCGCGGCACGTCCTGCATCTGAACCGACGGAGCAGGCCCAGTCTGACGAAGATTATCAATGACTGCGGCAGTGATCTTATCTAGATACTCCCTGCTGTTTGAGTTTTCCATGTTAGAGGCTCGCACGTTCAGCTCGAAGTCTGGAGCATAGTACTGTTTACCAAGTTAGCCATCGCGGTCCGGGGCGGCGGCAATTTAAACGACAACTTACTTCGTAGTATTCATTGTATGGCAAAGTGCGGTTCATTTCCTGGCCAACCAAGACCCCGGTCTCGTATGCCCACGTACGGGCAACGTTTCTCATTGTGTAACCACCGCCACCGAGGACCAACGTGGGTAGCCCGAAGCTCTTGACGTAGTTGACGCAGTTGGCGTGGCCATCCATGCTCAGGTTAAAACAACCCAGACGGTCGCCAGATAAACTGTCACCGCCGCACTGGAGTACAACGGCTTCCGGCTGATAATACTTCATGACGCTTTCGATGACTGGCTCAAAGATGGATTTGTATGTCTGGTCGGTGATGCCGTCGCGCAACGGAAAGTTTACGGAATAATTCTTCCCCTGTCCGATACCGATGTCGCGCAACTCGCCGGTGCCAGGAAAGTATTCGCCGTATTTGTGGAAGGATACTGTCATGACGCGGTCGGTCGTGTAGAAAGCTTCCTCGACGCCGTCACCGTGATGTACGTCAATATCGATGTAGAGGACGCGCTTCATGAATCGGAGAAGCTCGAGAATGCCAAGCACAATGTCTGTTTTTTTCGTTTTTTGTTTTGGTTAGAGGTCCCCGGCTTGGTGCGTGGCGGTGGCAGGGCATACCGTTGACATAGCAGAAACCACTGGCTTCGCACTTTTTGGCGTGGTGAAGACCACCAGCCCAGTTAATGGCAATGTCGCATTTTTGTCTGTTCAATCGAGCAGCGCCCTCCATGCTCCCACCCGCGCTGATGCCACAAAACTCGAACAATCCGTCAAAGACGGGACAGTCGTCGCCGACGTTGTATTTGCCCTGCTCACGCATGTAACTGTCCATGTTGTCGGGCGTGACCTTTTGCAAGAAGTCAATGTAGTCATCGGTATGAAACTGTGTCATTTCGCCCCTGGTCGCAGGTTTGGCGCGCTGATGCCGAGTCAGCCTTCACTGTTCCTGGGGTGATGACGACGAAACCAGAACTCACGTAAATTTCCATCTTCTGGTATAGATTGTACTGCATGATCAAGCTGTGCGCAAGGCGAATTCGATGGGGTTTCATAGGATGGCCAGTGACATAGGCATAATTACCAATATCTGAATCGTAAAAGTAGGCCACCTTCTTCGGCGAGGAGCCGTTGAGGGCGACAGAGCCCAACTGGGCCTGGGCCTGGGCCGAGTTAGAGTCGCCCATCGCGGCTGGGGTCGTGGGATTTTGAAGCCTAGGAAGTCGAGAAAGAGAGCCTGCAAGATAAGGACAAATGAAATTCTTCTATAGGGCAGGCTGCATTGTGAGGGAAAACCGCAAGTCGGGACAAGTTGCAGAGCTTGAGGGACGCCGTCGCAAGGAAAGTCGCGACAGCCCTCGCGCCGATTTAGGATGGATGATACGGACGGATTAAAGTTGAGGCGGCAAGGCGAAGGCTTCTCTTCTCGATGTGGTGGCGCAGGGTCAGGGAAAAGCCCGGTGCAGCCAGCCATCCTTGACCAGCGAGCCACGTGACTTCATTACTCAGCCCGGCACTCCAGAACAGGCTGCCGACGGCTGGCGTCAACCAACCCAAGCAAGGTGAGAGAGCCAGCTCCACCGGAGCGAACTCTCAACACAACCACGCTACGTCGAGGATATCAGAACCTGATTTCCAGGCAGTGGGCTCTATCCGTACCTACATTCTCTTCTCAGAACCACATTTCACGGCCTCAAGGATGGAACGATTCAGGAATCTGCTTGGCAGTGGCATGGCTGGCCTCGGAGGAGCCGCCCACGGAACGGTGAGTGTAGCTCTCGCGGCTCTCGAGCTGGAGCTCTGGCTTTATCCGTGGGAGACTAACTCGTGTTCTCTGTGTCGTTCTAGGACAACACGAACCTCATTGACAACTCCGAGACGGTCTACATCTCATCACTAGCGCTGTTGAAGATGCTGCGACACGGCCGCGCCGGTGTTCCCATGGAGGTGATGGGTCTTATGCTGGGGGAGTTCGTGGACGACTTCACGGTCAAGGTCATGGATGTTTTTGCCATGCCTCAGAGCGGTACGGGCGTCAGTGTCGAAGCCGTCGACCCCGTCTTCCAGACCAAGATGATGGACATGCTGAGGCAAACAGGAAGGTAAGAGGCTGGCGAACATGGCCGTCGCAACCCTTTTCTTTTCTTTCATATATATTTGGAAAGGAGGCTCACTAAAGGAGCAAACAGACCCGAATCCGTCGTCGGCTGGTACCATTCACACCCCGGCTTTGGCTGCTGGCTGTCGTCAGTTGACATCAACACTCAGCAGTCCTTTGAGCAACTGAACCCGCGGGCGGTCGCCGTCGTCGTCGACCCCATCCAGTCGGTCAAGGGCAAGGTTGTCATCGACGCATTCCGCCTGATCAACCCGCAGCTTCTGATGATGGGTCAGGAGCCCCGCCAAAGCACAAGCAACCTGGGCCACCTGAACAAGCCGTCGATCCAGGCCCTGATCCACGGTCTCAACCGCCACTACTACTCGATCGGCATCAACTACCGGAAGACGGCCCTGGAGGAGAACATGCTCATGAACCTCCACAAACAGGTGTGGACGGAGGCGCTGGAGATGAAGGACTTCCGCTCAGAGGGCGACAGGAACAAGGAGCGACTGCAGCGCCTGGTCAGCCTGGCCGACGGCTACGAGAAGAGGGTCAAGGAGGAGACGGAGCTGACCAAGGAGCAGCTCAAGACGCGCTACGTCGGCAAACTGGACCCCAAGAAGCACCTGGAAGATGTCGGCCAGGAGTTGATCGAGGACAATATCGTCGCCGTCTCCAGGCAGATGATTGACAAGGAGGCCACCATGCCCAAGAAGGAAGGGCAGGCGGGACAGGCGGGACAGGCCAACGGAGACGGTATGGCCATTGAGAAGCAGTCATAGTGTGGGCTTTTGTAGTTTTGACATTTACACATGTCCCTCTGGGACCGTACATTGTAAGAGTACCAGGCGTTGGAGTCGGACGGGGGAAAGAGACGACTTGGAGACCCGCTATACAGCTGAATTGCACGAGTCGCTAGACGTGTCCCGTGCGGCCGTGCCATGATGCGCAACGGACTGCATCCGTAACGCTGCTCGTCATAAAGTCGCCAAGTAAGTCTCGACCGGCGGCTCTTCCATGCTTCCAGCGCGCAGAGCATACGTCTGATGGCCCCCCCAAGCCGCGTGACAAATCACAACAATCAAGTCATTCCGAAACCTGTCGAGAGCAAGGCTCGGGGGCGGTAGAAGAGACAAAGACGCCGTTTGACCACGGCCAGTCCAGGAGCGATGCGACGGTGGCGCTCACTGTTGCGCTCGGTGGGATGGACGTCCCAGCGAGACGTGAACAGGAGTGAAGAGGAACTTCGGTCTACGAAGATGACGCTGGCGGGATTGGACAAGTGGGAGCGCGCCTCGTCTTCTCGGACTCGTCGGCGCATCAGGTACATGGACAGCGGGCAGGTAGACGTAAAAGCAAGGGTGTGACGTGAACTCGACAGCCAGCCACGCGCACCGGCTTCGAACAACAGCACCGTTGGGCGCCGTGCCATTCAGAGGTCGGTGTACTCGCGAGGCGGAGCCGGGAGACATGAGCCGAAGCGGCGTGCGTGGATGAGCCCCAACCGAGCACGGTTTTCGTCCCGCGCAAACACGTGGACGGGGACGGAATGATTCCTTGCATCTTGTTTATTAAGTGCTCGACAGATGTACACTGTAGGTTGCCAGAACTCCATGTAAATGTATCCCGACCAACGGTGCCGGACAAGTGCATCAACCACTCGGGCACCGGCTTCCCAGCTACTACTTGGGTCTACAATCCTAGCTCCGAAAAACAGGACGAAAGCGAAGACGAAAAAAAAAAAAAAGTGCCATAGATTCCAACGCCTCCAAATCAAAGGCTGATTGATCTTCTTCATCCCGGCGCTAGGGGAAAATAAATGTGAAATGAAGAATAGAGTAGATGAAAAAAACGAACCAAAAAAAGGGAGGAGACCGAGTCACTGCAACCAACGCCCCTCGTTACGGTTCTCCCCCTCGTCGCTGTCTCGAATATGCCTTTCCAGATGAAAATTGTGTCAGATGGAACCACACCCCCCCGATGTATGGTCCCCGGGCCTTGCGTGATTTGGTGGTGAGGACATCATCGATCGCAGGAGCGCAAGACAGCACAAGTCCTTATGCGCTCATGGCAGGAATCTTTTTGCCTCGCTTGCCGAGTAGTGTCGCATTGTCGAGGTTCAACTCAAACGCCCCCTTTTGTCGATTTCGGTCTCGGACCTGTTGCCTGGCTGCGGCAGTCACTGCTGCTGAGTGCTGGCCGTATCCCCTTTCGGCCGAGGGGGCAGCCGCTCGTTCACGTTCCCGTCCCCGAGCATGAGCTTCTTGATCTCGAATATTGGCATTCCGCATGCTTTGCTCGAGGGCACGAGTACCGTTGGGAGCCGTGTTCTGAGCTTGCTGGTCGAGTTGCATTTCGTCGGCATCCTCGTCCTCCTCATTCAAGCCGCCGAGGGGTTTACCCATGCCACCGGCTCGAGCTCCGACCTGAGCACGCCGCTTGCCCTCTTCTTCCTGGCGGTGGACGGCATAGCTCACGTCAAACACCTCGCGTAAGTTGACGGCACCGGGTGACCGGAAATCATATCGCTTGCCCACGTCGTCCAGCTTACTGGCATCGAACCCCCTGAGAACAGCCTCCGACTTTCTCCTCTCCTCGCCAGGGGTCGGTCCGGTGGCCTGGATCCACGGGTGGGCAAGGAACTCACGAATGGTGTATCGCTTGTCCGGATCGACGGTCAATAGGTGGGTGATGAGATCTTTGGCGGAGGGGGAGATATCGTCCCACCACGGTGATAGAAAAGTGTATTGCCCCTTGGCAACTTTTTCGGTGAGGACCTCGATGCTTTCATCGTAGAATGGGGGGAATCCGCAGAGCAGGGTATACAACACGCATCCGAGGGCCCACATATCCACAGACTTGGAATACCGTTCGTCTTTGACGATTTCGGGGGCGGTGTAACCGACGGTGCCACATGGCGTCATGGTCTGGCTTTCCCAGACGATCTTTGACAAGCCAAAATCGGCAATTTTGATCTCACCGATACCCCCCGCACCTTTACCGGCGACGAACTCGCCCTCATCCACCTTGTCCTCGTCACCGGGTTGCTTTGGCTTCGGGACTTTGGAGGGGATAAAAGGTATCGGGTTGAACAGGATGTTCTCAGGTTTGATGTCGCTAGGCCGAGTTAGCCACCCGTCTGCAAAGCACTCGGCCGTCTCCTGCAGGGAAGGCGTCTCACCGATGAACAACTCCCTTCTCCTCGTGTAGGTACTCCAACGCTCGGGCGACCCGGATGATGACGTGGCGAGACAATTCCTCACTGAAGTAGGTGAGACGGACAATCTGATGGAACAACTCGCCACCAGGCGCGAGTTCGAGAATAATGTAGTAGTATTGCTTGGATTCGTCAAAGTGGATGAGCTTGATGATGTTGGGATGGTCCAGCTGGCGCATGATCTGGACTTCTTTCAATATATTCGACCGCTGCGGACAAGCGGTTAGCATCAACACAGCTTTCCCGCACAATAAATGTGGCCCAGACGGAGCCGCTCCAGGTCCAACATGCACCGTGTGAATTGACAGCTGTAGCCTGACAAGAATGAAATATTTTCGCACCTCTGCTGCTTTCGGAGCTTTTTTGAATTCCGGGTGTAGATGCCTATCTCCCTACCCGGGGCACGAACCCCAAATGTTGGTAACCGGTCGATGTTATGTAGAGAGACTTTCGCAGCGGAAAGCAGTGCGGATGAAATGTCAAGAAAAAAAGAAGAAGAAATGCAAACGGGAAGAACAGGGAGCGGCGGGACAGGAAACAGCCAAGTCAAAGGAAAAGAGCGACGTGTATACGCTCTTTAGCGCAGCAAAACTTACTTGCATGTTGTTCATTTCATACTTGCGAACAACCTTGATGGCAACTTGGCCAGCATCGCCCTCCAAGTCACGGGCACGATATACGTTACTAAACGCGCCGTCGCCCATCTTTTCGATCAGCTCCCATCGTTCGAGACCGGGGTACCTGGGGAACCTGGCCCTGCTTGCGTTTTCCTCGGCGACGAGCTTGGCCAGGCTGGCATCGTCGACGCGTTTCTTGGAGGCACCCGTCGCTTTTGCGTTTACATCTTGGGCAGGTTCCACCTGGTGGGCGGCAGCGTTGTGCGCTTGAGCAGCTCGATTCTTGGCATCCCCCGGCGCTTCCGAGTAAGCTTCGAGCGGCTCCTTGTGACGAAGCTGCTGGTGTAGGGCGGGGTCGGAGATGTTCATCTTCTTGTGCTTGTCTGCAGCGGGAGCAGATGGCGTGTCATTCTTCCTTGAGGGCTCATCGTCTACATGAACATTGCGAGCTTGTTTGCCTATGAGAGAAGAAAAGCAGGCATCAGTATGGGGGACAGGTACGGTTTGAGGCGAACTGAAGTCATACGATACGGCATTTGGCAAGGCGGCTGGCGTACGGAGGGAGTACGGGGCTGGGCGTGGACGTCATGACACAACAGAAACAGTCTGAGGGAAGTCTGAAGGGGGGGGGGGTATGCCGTCATACCAGACGGGGAATTACCGGAGGTGGCCAGACAGGAATGAATATGAGAAAAGGTTTGAAGAGCAGTGCTTTTGAAACCATGTGATGCGACAAATACAACGTACCATGGCGGATAAAATTCTTCAGCTGTTGAATCGTCGACATGGCGAGGTGAAGCGCCGCTATTTAGCGACGACGGATACTTCTTCAAAGTGGGACTTGGAGTGCTGCGGTCTACCAGCGCGCGGGAAAGCTGTTGAAGAGGTGGATGGTTTGGCACGCGGGCCTTTGTTTTTATGACGTCGTCGCTATCACGATACGTTGCCGTCAAGATTGGATTTTTGTCAAGTTGCGGCGGACAGGGTGCGGGGTCTGGGGGAGGCGGGCGAAGAAGATGCGCGAAAAAAAAACGACGAAAAAAAGAAAAAAGAGGACACAGAACAAGGGAGAGGCTCAAGGCGCAAGAGTAATGCTGCTGCTGCGTGATGGCGGATGGGAAGACGCAAAGAGGGCAACGATGCGCGACAAGAGGCAATGGAGGCAAATCGAGACGGTCGGAGACGAGACGAGGTGAGATTGGGCGGCAGCGGTCTGACGAAGGAAAAGAGACGAGGCTTGAATCTGGGTGGATTAGAAACCAGACTTGGAGGCTCAGTCAGGTCATGTTGCTTACGGACATGTGGACGGATTGACGCCGCTTGAGGCGCCGGCTCAGCGACTTGGCAGCACTTGAGCGCGGTGGGTTCGGTGGGGCGTCAGGACTCAGGAGTCAGGACCAGGGAGTCAGGACCAGCATCGGGGCATCGAGGCATCGAGGCATCGAGGCATCGAGGACATCTGGAGACTGGAGACATGACGTCTGGCGCCAAACAACCAGACACCACCCCGGCGCAGGTGCAGGGTTCCCGGGACGCCAGTCTGCGGACAAGGGAGGCCGGAGCAGTGCCCGTGTGCCTGGTCGGGTGCTTTGTTTCTGAGCATCGACGGGGCCGACGAAGGCGTTTGCCAACGATTGAAAGCAACTCGACGGTACTCGGTACTTTGCATGCCCCGACGCGACGTGCGTCGAAAGCGTCGAGCGGTCCGCCCACGCGTACGTACATGGCATCATGACCTTGCGCCGTAATCTTGCACCTACGTACGTACGTACTTCTAGCCGTCGACAGGCATTGTCCAACTGCCATCGGCAATCTGGAGGCGTGCAGCACCGAACAAGCGACCAGGCCAGGCCTGTTTGCAGAAGTGGACTGTTTCAGCATCTGCTGCCATACTTTCCGCCAAGAGGAGGTACATGAGACCTGGCTGGCGCCTGGGCTGTCCGTGCCTGCTTGGTTACGGCAGGCTGAGCGTAGAGGGGAAAACGAAAAGAAGGAGCACAGGAGAGGAAAGAAGATGTTTCATTGTTATTTTTCATCATCATCATCATCATCATCATCATTCCCAGTGCCGCCAAGCGCCATTCGCGTCTCGCCACATCTGCTCCCGGATCGGAGGGACGGGACATTGACGACATTGACCTCACAACGGGCACCGGGTTCGTGCGCTAGATACCTACTTAGGTACGTGCGTAGGGTCTTGGCAGGACAAGAGGCTCCAGAGAATGACGCTGGCGAGGCAGGATGAGCCCCCGGTCAGCGCTCGTCGAGGGGTCCCTCTTGCAGGCCGCCGAGGCTACGACGTCATGGCCGCCTTTGGTGCATGTGTGGGTCCGGAGCCCTGCCGCGCTCCTTGCCATTCAGCCACGAGCTTGGACCTGCCTCCCTGCACTCCCTGGCCAGCTCCTTCCCGTACTCCGTAGTACGGATTGCTATTGCTATGGCACGCCAGCGATTCTCCGCAAAAGCTTCGAGTCCTCGCTTCTGCCGCCCCCAGTCGTTGTCCGAGTTGGAGCTCGACGGCTTCAAAGCCGGCGCAGCAACGTCGTCATCACTGGGGGGGCATCTTTTACAGCCATTCCTTTAGTGCCACCACGACTACCCCGGCTCTTTTCCGCCCAGGAAGGACCCTTTCTGCATAAAGCGAACGATGAGATGACCTCAGCCGAGAGCATAATGTCCGTCACACAAAAAAATGGCGGGGCCAGCGGCCACTTTTTTCGCGTGTGTTGATGATAATACCTGGAGTCCGTGAAGCGCGGCTGCCTTGCGAATGCACATGCTCGACACACACAGCACATGGACCCAAACGCAAATACTCGGTTCTGCTGCCTTGGTGTCATGTTCCCAACAGTTTCGCGCATTTCTATTATTGGCGGGCACGATGTGATTCTCGATACGGAGTACTCGTTGCTTTTTTCCAGTTGAAAGTGTCACCTGAAAACCGAGGAACGTCTGACCAAAGTGGTCGAGAACACGAGACGAACAGTGGGAGACTCACAGCCAAAGATTACACAAACAGGGGTTCATCCTTGAAACCTACGCTGTGCTCTGGAGTGTGGACGCACGAACCTAAAAACTGCCTGCCAACCAGCCACCTGGTGCTTCATCACAGGTAAGAAAACTCCAGCCTCGCCAACCACAACCCAGGGCGTCGTCCAGGCGAGACATTGGGGTCTTGGGGCGTAAGGAGACGGTAAGTTATATGGGCTTCACCAACGTGGCCTGATCTGCTCAACAGCCTCAGGCACGTCGAGCTGAGCCGGCAATGGAGCTTCATCCCTTGCCATGAAAAGTAGCACAGCAAGATGGTTGGACGGCTCAGAGATGGTCTCCAAGAAACTGCAGGACGTTACGTGTGTGATGTTTGCAAGGTTTTCTGCTTCGCCGTGTGCGGCAGCTCAGACGATTGTCGCCGTATGTCGTGATGTCATGTTGTACCTCACACGGGCCTGCGACGGCAAGGTACTCTTCATTCATCGCAGACGCCAGTATTCGAAACCAACCAGGGTACTCGGTAGGGCACGCACGAACATACGTCACAGCAGGAGTCGTCTGGTCGTCCGTGGCGAAGATGCAAGAGACCTGCCCTGCTGGCACTTACCTCAGAGGATTGGGGAGGTGACATGATGGGGCTGGTGATGGATGAGTGTCTTGGATCCCGGGTCATGTTTCTGCCACAATGTCCACAATATCACAGGCATTATCTCGTCCTTGCCCACTCGGGGCTGCTTGACGTCCGGCCAGTTCTCGAGTGACGCAAGCCAAGGCATCACAAGTGACGCTGGCCACAAGCTCCATTTCTTTCGGCCCCAGACACCAGAGACCAGAGACAGCGGGCAGCGGGCAGCGCGACTCATGACAGTTTGAACAGAGCCCATCCGTCCAGTGGCCCTGTCGGGTAGTTATCCCTGCTCTTCTCTCCTCGCCGGCCGGCCTCGTGTCCAAACCCCGGGAATTGGCCGCAGCTCTCCTCCGCAGCTCGCGTCAGCCTTCAGGCAATAGCCAGGCCCGCAGCCGCGGCGCCACGCGTATTGGACGAGAGCCGCCCAACAGCGCTAGAAGGTAGAAGGGCCGTGCAGTGCAAGCCGCGGGCGGCAGAGCGGCCGATGGACGGAATGAAGGAAGCCAACGGCAGCAACCGCCGCGGCACCAGCCGTGCAGGCAGGCAGGCCTCGTATCGAAGCGGTCCCCCGAGCGCCCGAGGCGACGGCTAGCTGGAGACGCGGATGCATCGCCGACGCGCCGGCGGCACAGAGCTGGCCGAGCCCCGAGACAAGTGTCGCAGACTCCAAGTTTGGCGTCGGACAAAGCAGCCGGCGTCGGAGGGGGGCACGTAAGAGGCGACGACGACGACGAGGTCGAGACTCGAGGCTGGGAGTCTGGGACGGTCTAACTGGAACATTCGGGGGCTCCGAAAGTCGGAGGCCGGTGACATGCAGCCCCGACGGCATTTGCAGACGCGGGTGCATGCGTCGGGTGTGGTTCGCGAATGCGCGAATGCGAGCACGTCGGTTTGGCAAATGCCTTTTGGTTCGTCATCCTGCAGGGGGCGCCCGCTGCCGACAACGCAAATCGGTCTATCTGGGACAGGACGGAGCACGGGTTGGACCTTGGAGTGGCAATTAGATGGAGTGTCGAGCATCTGGGATACCATTCAACCCTCTGCACTGTTGCCCGTCCACGTCTACGTCTACGTCTACGTACATGGTCCCATTTCAACACCGGGCCGGCATGCCCTCTTGTTTACGTCTCGTCAGTGCGTTTGCACGACCCTCAAAGGCAACGAGCTTGGGGGCACGAGAGGGTCAAGCCGTCTGTCTGCGTTTGAGCCCAAGGCCGGAACGAGGAAGAAGCGACTTTGGGGACAATCTTGACGACGCACCCACGTAGTTAATCTGTACCAGTTCCGTAGGTGTGTGACGAATGCCCGGATGTCGCCCGCCCGGCCCAGCAACGCAACGCAAGTGTGGTGGCTGTCCGTGGAGGGAACGCGTTTCCGTGCGTGTCCGCGTGAGGAGACACGAGACGAGAGACGGGAGATGCCGGATTCCACGCGGCGGCACCGCCACAAGAGACCTCCTCGCCAGGGTGCGCGACTCCAGGAGGGAAATGCACGTCACGGATCCGCCGTCTTCTCCGCCAACGCCTCGTCCCCGTCGGCAGACTTGCCCAGATGCCACAAGGCCGTCTCGACAGACGAGTAAACGGCGTCGGCGGTCCCGGCGCGCTGCTGCTGCTGCTGCTCCCCGGGAGAGGCGAATTCCCACCCTGACCGGTCAAATCGTTCCCTGACGGGCCCCGTCATGCCGACGAATCGAAACTCCAGCTCCCGCCCGATGTACCTCCGCAGTTCCATCTTCAGCTCGGTGACTGAAAAGACGCCAGTGGCGTCGATAAAGGACACGCGGCCGAAATCGAGCACGACACGCCGGAGAGGCGTCTCGTCCCCGCCGAACGCCGTGATGCCCCTTCTCTTGCGGATCCTGACGATTTGCTTCCTGCCCGCGGGGTTCCACGTCGGCCGGCTCCCGCCCGCGCCCGGGGGACCGGCGTCGGGGGCGGAAGCAGGGTCCGAGCGCACCTTGACCGCCTGGATAATGGCGGCCTTGACGCGCTCGGCGTTGGGGAAGACGATGTCGCCGGTGTACCGCACGAGGTACGCCCCCGCCGGCACGTCCACGCCGCACGGCTCCGCAGCCGCGGGCAGCAGGCACGGGGACGTGTGGCCGTCGTCGGTCTCGGTCCCCGGCTCGGTCCCCGTCTCGGTCTCGCGGCGCGAGAGGCCGACCCAGCGCGGGAACGCGAGGCGCAGCAAGGTGTACACGATGCTGAAGCCGACGGCGGTGGCGAGCCCGACCTCGGTCGACGTGAAGAGCGTGACCCAAAGCCCGAGCTGGGAGCCGACAAAGTCGACAAAGGACATCCTCCAGAACCGGTAGAACTGGCTGGGCCGCGCGACCAGACGGGCCACGGCCATGATCTGCCAAGAGCCCGGCGGGCAACGGTCAGCTGACGCTCAAACTTGCCATGGGGTTGCGGCGGGCCTCCCCTGCCGCCGCCAGGCCGGACAGGGGGGGATGCCGGGAGTCTGGGACACTGTCGGCCCGCGGCCCACGGGCCACGAGGGCTCGGGACCGGGGACCGGGGAACGGGGGCATAAAACACGTCCGACGTACAATGATGGCGGCCAGCGTCGCCTTTGGGATCCAGTACAGGGCGGGCGCGAGCTCAAAGAGCGTCAGGACGATGAGGCCGCCGGTGAAGAGGAAGTTGACGGGGCTGCGGACGTCGCAGTCGGAGTTGACGGCGGTGCGGCTCATGGCTCCCCCGGTGGTCTGGGCCCCGAACAGGCTGTTGACCATGTTGTTGACCCCGAGGAACACCAGCTCCTGGCTCTTGTCGACGGTGTAGCCTCCCCTCAGGGCGAAAGCCTTGCCGACGCCCAGGTGCTCGACCGACATGGCGACCAGCGGGGCGAACGCCCGCGCCGACACCGCTTTCAGCAGGGCCGGGTCGTGCGGACGGGGGTCCGGCAAGCCGTGTGTGTCCACCTCGGTGACGGCCCAGAGCAGCTTCTCCCCGCGGCCGCGGTTGCAGAGGTAGCTGATGAGGGTGTGCACGATGAGGAGGAGCACGGCCCTGCTCGTGCACGCGAACCTGACGTACTTGTTTCCGCCGTACCTCTTGCCGGCCCGCTCCATCGTCAGCAGGAAAGCGACGCCCGTCAGGCCCATGGCGAGGGTGGGCGGCTTCATGCCGCGGACGCGGGCGAAGAGGTCGTGGACCGCCCCGGCCACGTCGGGGGGGAGGTCCAGCCCGACCAGGGAGCCGACCTGGTCGAGCGCGATGACGATGGCGACGGCCGAGATCCATCCCGTGAGCACGGGGGCCGAGACAAAGTCCAAGAGGAAGCCGAGCTTCAGCAGGCCCATGGCCAGGGCGTACGCGCCGACCACGAAGGCCATGGCGGCGGACACGGCGGCCGGTCTGTAGCCCTGCCTGGAGAGGTCGTCCACGGCCTCCGCCGTCAGCAGGCCGAGGACCGACGTCGGCCCGGCAGACAACTCCCGCGAGGTGCCGAGGAAGAAGTACAGCAGGGGCGGGAGCCAACTGGCGTACAGCCCGTTCTCGATGGGCACCGTGGCGATTTTGGCGTACGCGAGGCCCTGGGGGATCAGCATCACGCCCACCGTGACGCCGGCGATCAAGTCCCCGAGGAGCCACTGCGGGTTGTAGTGCGGAAGCCACTGAACGACGGGGAGCTTCTCGGCAAGATACTCTGCCGTCGCGGAGGGCAGTCTCCTCGACACCCGGCCGGCCCAGCTCCTGGCCCGGCTCACGTTGGGGTCCGTCCGGAAGGACGTGGCCACCCCGTGCTTGATCTGGGACCAGCTCTTCATGACGGGAGCCGCCACACGGTATACACGCGACTTGGAAGGAGACGGCGGTTGGGGGTTCCCGGAGCCAAACAGACCCCCGTTCAGGAGCGATAAGGATTGGCGGTTGTACAGAGGCGACTGGCCGTCTACGTGGACCATGTGCTTGATATATACAAGTCGAGCGCGTCTCGGCCTCGTGCGCCCACCAGCGGGCTAAGACGACCCCGTCCCGTGTAGACTCTAGAGGGTGCCGGCGAGAGGGGAGGGAGGGGAGGAAGGACGGCGCAGCATGACTGTCGCCCGAGATGTCCAGTCTCCATTGAGATGACTTAGTGCCGGGCGCTTGGCCTAGCTTCGCTTTCGCCCTCGCCGGCGTCGCCCCGTCGTCTCTTGCACAGCCGGCGGCGTGCAGCCCAGCAGCGAGGACAAGATGGCAGATGCGACGCCGTGGCTATGCGGCACCCAGCGGAGGCCAAATGCGAATGGGTGTGATGACCAAAGAAAAGACAACAAAAGACCGGTCGATAGAGGCGATCGACGCAGCTGCCTCTTGGTAGTCTGGGACGAGGGCACACAACTCACACCTCCCAGCTCGCGTGACGTACAAAGCCCAGCACATGTAGCATCGCAGGGCCGTGGCGAGAAACTGTACGGCATGTGCGACACGTCTTGTCCACGGCGGCAACTTTCTTTCACCAGGGATCCGCAGCGGCGAGGCACGTAGGCTGGTAGCACTAGGTAGGCTTTCGTTTCTGTACAAAATCGGCCGGGTAGCGGTGCCGAGAGGCTCAGTTCCGCCGGGGCGAGTGACGGTGACATGTGTTTATTTCAATCGTCTTGCCATGGAGTTGCTTGGCGCTCGACGGGCGATTTGTCGAGCAAGACACGCCGACTATCTGGTCAAGCGGATTGGATAGACAGGAACTACTCCCCGTCACCGGCACGCACGCACGCACGCACCGCGAGCTTGAGTCCCAGCCGCGTGTGACCGTTGAACCAGCTACGTGTTTTCCGTAGTCGGGCTCATCGCGGCAGTGGCGTCCTGCTCTACTAGCTGCGATCCGGCACAGAAATGTCCAAGATTGCCTCTAGCCGAGCCCGGATCCCAAGTGTGGCTTGCCTTTCCGCGACAACGGCTGCCCGAGGCGTTGTTTAGCGGCCGACCAACAATACCGGTGGTCTAGAGATTTTTCTTGATTTCACTTCTTTTTTTGTTCTCTCGCCCCAACCGTTGGTATCGGCCCGAGGGCGACAAGTCTGTCACGTCACTCCGGCTGTGATGCTCCGAGCCGACATGTCAGGTGGGAATGCAAACACCACGGGCCGGACGCAGACACAGCGTCTTCTTTTACGGCGAAACCGCGCACGCGGGCGCGCGTAGCGGTAGGTACGGACGGCCTCGATGTCAAGATTGGCAAGTAGCACAAAGGTGCCGTCTCATCCGGGAAAAGGGGGGCGGCCCAGGAGGCATGGCGTCGTTTCTGGAGCCGTAGAGTCGGTCACAGCAATGCAACGATGTGACATGGAGTACGGCAGACGGGCGACGGCAGCCAGGCGGCTGTGTGCGATTGGACGTGCCGCGTGCCGTTGACCGGTCGAATGGTTGCAAGTTGGAACATGTCTGTGCTGCTGCGTGAGCGTGACGCGGCCAAACGGAAACGATCGCCCGGGCATGTTGCGGAATTGGGGCCGACGAGTTGACGAGACTCGAGCGTTCAGGTAAGTTGGAATTCTTATTCGTTTTTCCCGACTTTCGCTTTCCAGTGGCTTCGTGCGTGACGCAGCGATGACCGCGGTCGACTTGTCCTTCTCCTCGTGGATGTATGGATGGCCCAAGTCTGGCGGAAAAAGCCGCCTCACCATGGATGGATCCATGGAACGCAACGCCGGCAAAGACTCACGGCCCTCCTCACAGTCATTGGGACCAGACACGGTCGTCGTCGCGGGCCATCTACCCATCTACCCATCCATCCATCCATCCCATGCAACGTGTCTAGGCCGACTACGGCGGCGCGTCGTTGCGTCGTCTGTATCCAAGGTGCATCGGGGGCATGCTTTCCACACCCGGAAATAACCCACCTTTCTGCAAGGCCGACTTTGAAGGGTGCTTGCTACGTTGGGGGGGGGGATTTTCCCGCGATGGATGGATGGTGGGATGCAGGCGAGACTCGGGCGGTGCTTTGCTTTTGCCTTGCACAGACCGGACCGGCAATTCGTCTACGATTGCATTTGGGGCTGAGCACGGGGGGCGGCCCGTCAAATCGAGTCATTTTCTGCCGCGTCTTGGCCCGGCCCGGGAGATGCAGAAGGGTCGCCCAAAGCAGCCGGCTGCGTTGAGGCTCATCTGCGAGCAGGCCATGGTTTGGGGGGCGGCGCATAGCAGCTGCAGGAAACCGATTTACGTCCCGAGTCTACGCCACGCCGCGCCGTCGCGAGGACGCCCGCTCAAGCCTTGCAATGTAAACTGGGCGCAGCGGCGTCCGTCATGGACCGCGACGTCGCCGGCAATGTTCGGAACCGCCGCGCCGGCCGGGACTTGATCTGGGCGCCGCGGCGGGGCTGCTCGGCCGCGGGTGGACAAGTCGGGTCTGGGGGTGGCACCGACTTGCGTGCCAATGTCTCGGGAGGCGGGCCTCTTGATGGGCCCCCAGAAATAGAGGAACACGCGGTAGAGGCATCAGTCAATCCGGTGTCAATTTCTGAAAGCATGCGGAGGAGCTATACGGCATCGTTCCCCGTGCTGCTCTCCGTGTGTCGTGTCACGCGCGACTCACGGGCTTGACCATCGACGCGGTCTGAGACCGGCAACGCCGACTCGGCAAACCGATGCGTAGTGTTGATACAAAGCCAGTTGGAAACCAAACCTCGCCCTACAGCTCGTCTTGAGCGCCGTCGTCGACACGGCCGCCGTCGGCCCCCGCGGCCTGCCTGACCTCGTCCTTGCCGGCGTCCTCGACCGCGTCCCAGAAGCGCTTGCCGTTCTCCTCGTCGCCGGCAAACAAGTGGTCGACCACCATGCGCCGGGGCGTCTCGCCCATCCACTGGAACAGCGAAAAGTCCCTGAACTTGTCGGCGCGGAAGACCTCGAGCATCTCGACGGGCTCGTCGCCAATGTTCTCGACAAAGTGGCCCATGTTCTTGGGGACGATGCCCACGTCGCCGGGGACGTAGTCAAAGGTGCGGGCGTTGCCCTCGGCGGCAAAGACGGTGACGCGCGCGCGGCCGCGGATGTAGAAGGACCACTCGTCGGCCGTGGGATGCCAGTGCATCTCGCGCAGCGCGCCCGGCTCGATGATGACGTGCGCCGCCGCCACCGTCTGCGAGACGGGGAAGTTGGCCGAGTCGACGACGCGCACGAGGCCGCCCGACGTCTGCTTGGGCTCCTGCTCCAGCAGCCGGTGCGTGAACTGGTACTTGGACCTCTTGACGTGCTTGCCCGACGGGCGCTCCTCGTCGATGGTGCCCGGCTGCGAGCCGTGGAAGATGTACCTCTCGCTCGCGGGGAGGTGTGCGAAGACCTGGGGGTCGAGCTTGAAGTTTTTGGCCAGGACGGATTTGGGCGTGTGGGCTGTCGTGGTGGTTGTTAGCTTGCTCTCATGTCATGTCATGTCGTGTCGTGTGGTCCAACGGCAGCGCCATACATACCTAGCCAGTCGGTCAGGATAAAGGTCGACTCCTCGGAGAAGCGGCCGTCGTCAAAGATGAGCAGGAACTCGGTGCCGTTGTCGCCCAGGCCCTGCAGGGAATGGGGCACGCCGCTCGGAAAGTACCACAGGTCGCCCTTCTTGAGGTCGTCGACAAAGTTGCCGCCGTCGTAGTCCAGGGCCGTGACGCGAACCTCGCCCTCGAGCACGTACGCCCACTCGGCCTCCTTGTGCCAGTGAAGCTCGCGGATGACGCCCGTGTCGAGGCGCATGTTGACGCCGGCGAGCTCGATGCTGCTGGGAAGCTCGCGGACCGTCGTCTGTCTTGTCCACCCGCCCTCCTGGACGACGGCACGGCATCAGTACCTTCCACTTGAATCGACGGGGAGGGACGCACGCACCTCGATTCTCACGTGGGAGTCGGTATAACTCCACCGCATGTTGGGGATGTTCCCGTGGTCTGTACTCGGCGGCCGGATCATGTCAGGGCTCTGGCGCGACCTCTGGCGGTTGTAGGGCCCGAGGACGGTAGCGCCGTCGCCGTTGCGCCACGGTCGAGGGTCCAGGCGCCTGCCGACGGCGTCGACGGCATGATCGTGCGGATCGCTGTGGTCGGGCGTGTATGGGTTTTCTCTGCTGTATCTGCCCGTCAGGGAGAGGCCCTTGGCGAGACGCTGCTGGGGGCTGTCGAGGTGAGGGAGGGCGCGGCAGAGCTCGACGGCTCCTGCGAGCAGTAGATGCGCCGTGGAGAGCTTCATTGTTGGCGGCTCACGGCAGGAGGAGCAGGAGGAGGAGCGGTGCAAACGGAAAGGCAGTAAGGTGGTGGTGGTGGTGGTGGTTCGTTGATGATTGTACACGATCTTGAGTGGCGTGTCAAGGAGCAGTTGGTGATGGCTTCAATCTTACAAACCACGCAGACGCATGGCCACAATCGATCCAACGTGAGAAGAACAGGGGACGAGCTCGTCGCGTCACCGGACGAAACCGACCTTTTAAATTAGCGCCACCAGGGCCAGCGCGAGATGCAAAGATGCCGGGAATCTGCATTGATCATTGATTGACTTGGGGTGCTTTTCTTTCGGCGGGCGAGTGAGTTTGGTTGGCCACGGCGGGGGTGTGGCAGAGAAAGGCGAGCTTGAGCTGGGAGAGATTGACTTTCCGAATCAAGTCCGATGCTGGTCGCGGCCGGCCCAGCCGGTGGACCCGAGAACACCCATGCACTTGGCCGGTAAAAGCGGCTGTTGATGCTACCATGGCGGCCATGTGTACTTTACTTGAGAACCTCGGTACGTACGGAGTACTTGTTCACTGTTGGCACCCCCGGGCGGCCGGGCCGCAGCAAGTTTCCTAACGAACTGCCCAGCATCCAGAGCCTCCATGCTGTGCCACGAGACCAGAAGAGAAGAGACCACTCAGATCAGACGCCGCGCTCATCGCGCCCTCAAGTCCCAACAGGAGTCACAGTTCAGTCATTCCTCTAACCCCCCGTCCCCGCGATGAACGGCACCAGCATCGCCGCCGCCGCCGCCGGTGACGACGCCGAGCGACGGCCCCTTCTCGACCGCAAACCCACGCCGCCGTCTCTCGTGTCGAAATGGCGCGCGCGAATGACGGCCGAGGTATCACGCTCCTGGGCCGATTTGGTTCTCCTCCTGTGCTACGTCGTGACGGGGCTGCTGGACAGCGCGTCCACCCAGGTCTGGGGCGCCTTTGTTTCCATGCAGACCGGTACGTCTCGTTTACGTTTACATCGTGTAGATATGCGCCGAGCGGTGCGCGACAAGGGATGGATGGATGGGCTCCTAACCAAGACTTCGCAGGGAACACCGTCTACGTCGGGCTGGGGATCGCGACCGTCCTGAACCCCCCCATATCCGCGCGCCTGTACAAGTCGGGAGTCTCGCTGCTCTCCTTCTGCGCCGGGTCGTTCTTGTTCGCGCGCTTCCACCGCCGCTTCTCCCCGCGGCGGCGATGGGTGCTTTGCGCGTCGTTTGCGGCCCAGGCGCTGCTGATTGTGGCCGCGGCCGTGGTCGTGAGCGCCGTGCCACACGAGGACGAGCGCGCCGTCGACTGGACCGTCCTGGTGCCGCTGGCGCTGGTTGCCTTTCAGTCCTGCGCGCAGGCCGTGGCGAGCCGTGCCCTGCGCTACAATGCTCTGACCAGCGTGGTGTTGACGAGCATCTACTGCGACTTGTTCTCCGACCAGGACTTGTTCAAGCCTCGCAATGTCGAGAGGAACCGGCGGGCTGCCGCCCCGGCCCTGCTGTTGCTTGGTGCCGTGGCCGGCGGGCTGTTCTCGCATAGTTCGTTTGGCATTCAGGGTGCATTGTGGATTGCCGCCGCTATCAAAGCTGTCATGGTCGTCTTGTGGTTGTTTTGGCCGGCTGAAGATGAAGAGTAGTCGAGCGAGGGACTTCAAGATCCAGCGTCAACTTTGCGCTTGCCCTGGCTCGGGCACATGGAAAACTGGGTTTGCATTTCAAGCACGATGGTTTGTCGACGTGGGGAGGCAGTCTTGGTCTTGTTGGTGCCTGCGCCCATGTCCCTGCAGCACGCTTTAGCTACAACGAGGAACCAATCTCATCAAATTCTCTGCTTGCTACAAATCGTGCCACGCTTCTTGGATGAATTCACGGCACTGGACCTCGCAGCCTGTGCAGTCTTCTCTTGGCCGCGGGCTGGCAGCGCATCGAGGCTCACTAGAGCTCCCGAATCCGAGGACCAGAAGCAAGGGAAACAGCCTCATTCAACGTCGGGACTGGGAGTCGTTGGACTTGTTGGCCGAGACTTCTGCAGCAATGTCTTCTTCCACCATGCTTCTTCCTGTACAAGCCACAGCTCGGCGCTAGACGGCTTCGCAAACATGTGTCCCTCGTCTTCGACCTCGAGGATTTCCACATCACGGTGCAGCTCCTTGAGGGCTTCCGCCATGATTCTAGCCTGTTGAACAGGCACCACGGTATCCGCCTGGCCGTGTAGCAAGAGAAGCGGAGACTTCAAGTCGGCGACGTGGCACAGAGCGCTCCGCTCACGAAAGATTTTTCGCTTCTCGTCCTCGCTTACACCGGGATGCAGGACGAGTGCTGCCGTGTAGTCCGACTCGAGCTTGTGGGTTGTCTTGTCGAAACTTGAAAGCTCCGAGATGCCGGCAACGCAAACGCCGCCGGCAAACTTTGCCGGATACCTTGAAAGGGACTGCAGAGTGTTGTAGCCTCCTGCGCTTATTCCCGTAATGCCCACGGCATCGCGGTCGACGCGTCCAGAAGCAGCCATGTAGTCTGCAGCTTCGGCCGCGTCTGCCGCGTCCACAATGCCCCAGTTGCCGAACAGAGATTCACGGTACTGCCGACCATAACCCGTGGATCCGGTGTAATTGAGCGCCAGATAGGCATATCCACGGGACGTAAAGTACTGTGTTCGCAGGCTCAGCCCACTCCCTTTGCGTCCTGTTGGACCGCCGTGGGCGTGTATGATCAACGGCGGGAGCTCTCCGGAAGGAGCTGTGTAGTCAGGATTTTGGGGCATCCACAAGAATCCAAAGATGTCTCTGGATGGAGACGCAGTGGAACGCATATGGACCGTTTCTGGTCGGGCGTACGTCTCATCGGGGAGCTGTTCATCAGAGGCTCTCCGAATGACTTTGCTGTTTCGGGGATCTGCCACATCGATTTTGTACACGGATTTGTGCGAGACGGTTCCGCTCCCAATGGCCAGGACGGAATCATGGCCAAGCCTGGCAACTGCATCGCCCGATATATCGCACAGATGCTCTTCGTCCCCCAGCATCTTCCAGGACCCCGTTGTGATGTCGACGGCGATGAGACGACTTATGCCGTTGATGACTGCCGTGGCTACGAGCATGTCCGCCGTGAGTGGAACAAATGTTCGGCTGGTGTGTTGGTTCCAATGTTAGTTTCCAGACTCGGCGGCTCGTGAGCTGGGCAGCAATTGGTCTGGTACTACTGGCACAATGCTTACCTCCCCTCCATTAAGCCTGCTTGAGCAAACTCGGCGTCATCCAAGCCCTCGAGTGGAATCAACTCCTCGGACCGACCATCAGGCGGCACACGGTACAGCTTGCGATAAGGTCCCGTTTCTTTGGCGTAAAACAGAGACCCATCGGGCCCCCACCGAGGCTCAGCAACGCTTTCGTGGTTCTGGCCAGCAATGAGACGAGCATTCTTCACGGATCCTTGGGCCGTCCAGTCGCCAACGTAGAGATTTGCCGCCGCGAAAGGGAGGTCGGGGTGATCCCATTCCACCCAGCTTACCTGTGCGCCATCGAAGCTGAACTGGGGCAGGTAGTAAAAGTCAGCGCCACTGACTACTCTCTGAACAGTAGAGTTTTCGACATTGATGGCGACGATGTAGTTTTGAACCTCGTACGGGTCGTCGGATGCGTGATCCTCTTCAATCGCAAGCACCCAGGGCAACGGATGGCGCGCACAGAAGCTAGAGTATCGCAGGGTGTTGCTCCGGACGACGAGTTGAACCTGACCGCTGTCGGGTGAAAGCAAACGCACTGTGTCGTCTTCATGGGAGAATATGAGGCGGTCGTCGGGAAGAACGTCACACAAGGAGCCGCCGTATTCATACACTCGGTTCTGCACACTGTAATCTCGGGGCAAGACGTCTCTCAGGCCGTCATCTTTGGTTATCTCCACGATGGTCTGCCTGCCTTCTGGTGTGCTCTCGACAAAGAAAGACCGGCCAGATTTCCTCTGACGGCGAGCCGAGTAAGCTTTGGACCGTGTACGCGTGTGGCAGGGCGGCGGAAAGGGGAGCCTTACGTTTACCCGCGGACAAGTCAATGCCCGATTCTTGAAGATGGCGGCTTTGACGCCAATGGGCGACACCCATGATCCGTAGGGTGCGACTCGTTTCAGGGTCATGATGAGCAAGTTGGACCTTCAAGCAAGAGTCACGGCGGATGAGTGGAGAATGGCTGCGGCTTGGAGGGGATAACGCTTCGGTATGATGGGTTATATCAACTTCTGCCAGCGTCAATCCGCCACCTGATTCCTGACCAGACCCCGCACTTGTCGGGTGACATTCCCGCTCAACAATTCAAGAATTGAGCCTGGAGTTGCAAGATCCGAATTAGGAAGGCACCGAGCAATTGACATTGACATGCTACCAAGTTGGTGCAGATCCGAGTGCGGCTCCACTTTTCTGAGGAGCTCTGAGTGGCTCCACCACGGGACGGGGGCCAGGGTCCGGGCTAGTGGGCTACTTCCAGAAAAATGGGACCACCCCGGATCGCACCTAGACTCCCCCAGGTCATCCGCAGCGGAAGGAACTGGGAGCTAGCTCCTGCATGTACCAAGATAACAGATGACCTAAGTTACCAGGAGACTCATCTCATCATCATCTACGACCTCGTCCACCGCCCCTGGCCGTGACGCGGGTGCGTGCGTAGTCTCGTGAGAGCTTCCCAGATACAACTTCATCTTCGCCGCTGTCGCCCTCGCGGCAAGCATCTTTTCTACCAAATTCTTCAAAACTCCCAGAGCCCGTCATCGACCATGAGCAGCGCTCCTCGCGAGAAGGCTCTTCTCCTCGAGCCCGAGCCAACCGAATCAGGCGAGACCGAGACCGCCAACGAGATGGATGCTGCCCCTCCCCGGCCGGCGAGGCGCCCGTGGAGACGCTTCCTTGCAATCTTTGCCGCCGTCACCGTCTTGTATCTTCTCTTGAGGCCGCGCTTCCCGCGCTTGAGACGGCCTTATCTATGTCACGGCCAGCCAGGCCATTCACCGTTTGGTCGATTCCCTCAGGAAAACGACCCATTCCACTTCATCCCCTGTACCAAGGAATCGGTGTTGCCAGCTCTGGATGATCCTCATCCCGAACGCACCTGGGCAAAGACGTTTGACACTAACCCAAGACATTGGAGCTGGGGAAACGTCACAGAGGGCCACGAAGAAGACGTTGAAACCCCTCACCACCAGCCTTACAGACCACACAATCCTCATCATCCTCACAACCCTGACAAACCGGGCGAACCCGGCGGATCTGACGAGTCCGAAAGACTGGGTAGGCCTGGAAGGCATAGACACCCCAGGCCGCCTCATGAAAACCCGTACGCTGATCGCGGCATCTACCTCTGTGGGTTCATCGATGTCCCCCTGGACTACACCAACAAGTCAGACAAGCGTATTTCTCGTCTCGCCGTGACCAAATACCAGGTCTCGGGGCTTGCTCTTCGACACCCCAAGAGCCGTCACGACAAACCTCGCCGCGGCGCTGGCACCAAGAGCGAACGCACCATTGTCATTGAACCGGGTGGTCCCGGAGGCAGTGGCACTTCCATGGCATGGCGATCTTCGGAGGCCATCTCCCAGCGATTAAGCGGCGGCAAGTACGACGTCCTGGGATGGGACCCTCGCGGCGTCAACGCCTCTTTGCCGGCCATTTCCTGCTTTCCCTACGATGTGGACAGAGACCACTGGTCAGTCCGCATGTCCGAATATCGTGAGACATCGCCATCGCCTCGGGCCCAGCTTGAATTTTTCGACGCCATGAGCGATTCCGTTTTCAACGCCTGCAAACAGATTTACCAAGATATCCCCCGCTTCGTGTCAACGGCTTTTGTGGCGCGCGACCTAGAACAAATTCGTCTGGCCCTGGGCGAGGACGCGCTCACGGGATACTTGGTCAGCTACGGGACCGGCATTGGACAGACCTATGCCAACATGTTCCCCGACAGCGTGGGTCGCATGATCCTCGACGGAACAGAGTATGTGCGCGATGGCCGCCTTCTGGGCGGTTTTGGCTGGACTGCCTTGGACAACGGAACCCACGCCTTCCACGACGGGCTTCTGGGAGAATGTGTCAACGCCGGCCCGGACCACTGTGCGCTGGCCAAGCCTGTTGATGGACGTGCCGTCACTCTAGACCATCTCCAAAAGCGAATGGAGACATTGATCCGGTCCCTCATCAAGCGGCCGCTCCCCTCGTACACCGCGTCCTCGGGACCGTCCCTGATTACGTATTCAACCCTTGTCGGGGTACTCTACTCAGCCATGTACAACGCCAAAGCATGGCCAGCACTGGCACAAATGCTCTTCGAGCTGGAAGCGGGCAACACGACCCTCGCGGCCGTCATGCTGGAGCGCAGCACCTGGGAATACGATCCCACGAAGCCGCCTCCGCCCAGCCAGCAGCCCCCAGCCTCCGGCGAGCTCGGCTCCTTGGTCATCTGCGCCGACCAGTACGACGCGCCCGAGCCCGAGGGTGGGCTGGACTGGTATGAGTCCCTATGGGCCAACATGACCGCAAAGTCGTGGATTGCGGGAAACTCTCGGTTCCAAGACGTCTTTCCCTGTCGGCACTTCACCGACTACTGGTCCGAGCCGGCCGAAGTCTACCGCGGCGACCTAAACAAGACGCTGAGCAACCCCGTTCTGCTCATTGCCGAGACGTATGATCCCGCCACACCCTTGCGCAACGGGAGGCGTCTCCTGAACGAGATGGGCAGGAATGCCAGGCTGATTGCGCACCATGGCTATGGGCATTCCTCCAGGGACACGTCTGCCTGCACCGACGAGATTGCCAAGGCGTACATTCTGGAGGGCGCCTTGCCCGATGACCAGGAGACGGCGTGCTATGCGGACGAGAAGCCGTACTTGTACGGCGTGAAGGGGAGCGGCGCGACGGCCCGGAGAGATCCCCTCGATATCTGGGACGAGCATCTCAGAGAGCTGGCTATACTGAATCCGCGACTGTTGGTATGATTTCGTGAAGCGAAAGATGTAGCTGCAGTTGTGGCGGGTGGATTTCTTTTGGTCACAATGTCCGTGCTGTGACATGTTGTGTCGTGTGATGTGTAACCAGGATACGTAAATCAAAAAGACTTGACGACGCACCCAGTAAATATGAAGTGATTCCAGGGTAGAGTAAACCGCCACACGTCCGAGCACGAGCACACGACCCGCAACCAAGGCCAAGTCACGGAGCCGTGGATCACGACGAGCGGCTGGGAAAGCATGCACTGCACAAACGGCCGTTGGGCAAAAGAATGTAGAACAAAGGCCTTGATGTCAATGCTATCGAAGATGTTGACGGAGCGACCGAGTAGAAGAACAAATACAAGTAATGACGGCGCGAGTTGTGCGCCTGGCAACACGACGCACGCCAGAGTTGTTGTTGGCCAGGCTGAACAAGACGGTCCTATCCCGCAGGCCGAAGCTGAGCATTTCCACTTCCGGGCATGAGCAGCCCTCGAATCTTCTCGTGGGTATGGCACGTCTCTGTTTGAAGTCCAGTACAAGATGAAAGTGAGTGGCGTTGAGTGAGAGAACACTCCTGCAGCCGGCACACTAAATGACGGGGTCTCTTGAACCTGTTTCTGAAATCTTGAGGCAAAACTTGTGCCAACGACAAAGACTTTGGCTTGGAATCGGCTTCTGCTGCCGCGAGGGGGGAAAACCCTCTGCCACGACTCTTTTGCCACCCTCCGGCGTTTCACATGTCTCGTCAGACACGATGCTGGCTTCGGGCAAAGGCTCCGTCGGGGTGGTGAGCGGTGGAAGATGGACACATGAGGAGACCACAGAGTGATGGCTAAAGTTCATTCATATGCGTGAGAAGAATAACAGCAAGAGTCTCAAGTGCGGTCGTGGACACGCTTTTCTTTCTTCACCCACGCACCGGGCAGGCAGCTTCGGTGTCGACATTTTCGACCGTGTCCTACTATTGCCTGTGGTGGCACAGAAAAGATGCTATCGAAGGAATGGCTGTGATGGGAAACAGGGAATTCTCGTCTCCGAGATGGACTAAAAGTCGATCTATTTGAGCGGCTGACTGCAAGAGAACAGACCGGCGAGTCGAGCTGGCGGACACAGCGGAGACTTGCACGGTTTATCGGCTAGAAATAGTGAATCAATGCGCGGAATTATTTGTTCTCTCGGCCTGCGTGATGCTCCGCCTTGGCTCGCCCTCGCCCTGTTGCTTTTTCCCCTTTTCCTCATAAGAACAGGGTGCCGACGGCATTATAGCATGCATTATGCATCGCCTCCGGCAGAACGTGTAAGACGGATGCTCCACACCCCCCCGGGCGGCAGCCCCGGACCGGCCCCGTGTTGCCCAAATAGGAAATTTAGCCTCCAACTTCAAAACACCAGGCCTCCTGGGAGTCCCAGACTCCTCCTCCCCTTGACCTGTGGCACGTCACGGAGGCAGACGTCAAGCCCCACCCAGTCTTTTCTTCTCGCCACTCACCGTCTCCAGTAGAATTCCACCGCGCTCACGAGGGAAAAATGACATCATTACACACGAATGCCTGCGGAGGAACCTTGCGGGCCGGGGTCCGTTGCTAAGGCCGTTGCCCAAATATTAGCTTCCAACTTCAAAACACCAAGCCTCCTCAGAGTCCTAGACTTAGACTCCTCAACTCAAATTGTGGCACGTCGCGGAGGCAGACGTCAAGAGTCGCCTCGTCTTTTTCGCGCCACTCGCCGTTTCTAGTAAGTTCCACCAGATTCGCGAGGGAAAACGGTGACACACCAACGCTTCCACCACCCTCGCGGCCTCTGCTGCAGCCAGCCCTGTGTACAAGCCATGGTTGCACGGGAAGCATTTAGCGCTGCGCCTAGAGCGCTTCCCGCTACCCAGACAAAATCCGTCATCGCCGCACCACCGGATGACATCGACTCCGTGGGCCTTGAGACGTAGCATGTCACGATGTTCCCATTACTTGCCAGCCCTTGGGGTCTCACCAAAGTACGGACTTTGTTTTAACTGAGCTTTTGTCGACGGCCAGACCAATCAGCTTGGTTGGCAAGGTCTGCTTGGGGGCTTTACGAGGGCCTCAACTTGTTGGATATGCCTGCCAAGGTATGAAAATGCCATCGTACGCATCTCAGCAAGCACGGCTTCCTGTTGGGGAGTGGGACTACGGAGGGCTTCTTCCGCCCGCCGCCAAAAACACCCAACGACGGGCCGCCGAGCCGGTGGACAACTGTTTTTGCAGGTTTGCCAGAGCTCACCATGGTTTCGAATTTCCCGCTCGGCTTGGTATCACGGCTGAAACCCCAAGGAGCCGACACGGTCGATCAGGGTCAACGTAAAATGCCTGATTGCTTCGAATACACAAGACTGCGGCGAGGCGCTCGAGTATAAGAGACACGTTGACGGCCCCGTACTCGATTCCATTTCGCTCGCCGTCGTCACTTATAGCATCTGTTTAAACGTTTTTGCCAAAGGCATCTCGCTCTGCTTGCCCTTTTTTTTTTCTTCTCTTCGACTTTGACAGTTTTAGACTCGTCTCCTACCGGTTAGGTTTGACTATTACCTGGAAGAAAGCAGGCCTGACTCCCTATCCCTGTCCCCATCCCTATTCTTATCCCGCAACAAGCCCTCCGGAAAAAATGTGCTTGAAAGCCGCTCTCGTGGCGTCGGCGCTCGTAGCCGCGCGGCTCGTCTCGGGCCACAGCGCCATCATCAAGGCAGTCGGCGACGCCGGCGGCGCAGGCTCGGGCCTGGGCGTCGTCCCCGGCACGCCGCGCACGGGAACCGGGCGCAACCCGTTCCAGCAGGACTCGACTCGCTTCCGCGGCGCGTCGGCGGACACGTTTGGCGAGACGCTCGGGGGCGGGCCCAACGACCTCGAGGCCGGCACGCAGGCCATCATGGCCCAGAACGGCGACAAGCTGCCGCAGGTCACGCCCGGCGGCAGCCTGCAGATGACGGTGCACCAGGTCAACGCCGACGGTGCCGGGCCCTACACCTGCATGATCAACGCCGACGGCCAGGGCCAGAACTGGCAGGAGATCCCGGTCACGCAGAACATTGAGGGCAGCGCGCGCGGCCGCAACAACGCCGGCAGCAAGACCAACCAGAAGCTCGTCGCGCAGATTCCCGCCAACCAGCAGTGCAGTGGCAGTGCTGCGGGCCAGCAAGGCTTGTGCATGGTCCGGTGCCAGAACCCTGCCCGTGCTGGTCCCTTTGGTGGTGTTGTGCCCGTGCAATTGGCGTCTGGGAAGGACGGGAATGCTACTGCTACTAGTCCGGCTGGCAATGCTGGAAACGCCGGAAATGCTGGCAATGCCAATGCTGAAAATACTGGAAACGCCAATGCTGGCAATGCTGGCAATGCCAATGCTGAAAATACTGGAAACACCAATGCCGGCAATTCTGGCAATGCCGGCGCCGCCAACGCCGTTGGAAACACGCAAGCCAGAGGCAAAAAGGCCGCCTCTCGAGGCAGCAAGAACAAGGCCAATAAGGCCGCCGCCGCCGACGACGACAACGCCAACGACAAGCGCGGCGTCGACTACGGTGCCTTTGCCAAGCGCGTCGACAGCAAGTCTCGTGCCGTTGATTTCACCGCATAAGCTGGAAAAGCGCAAACCCAAAATCACAAGCACAAGCATGTACAAACCACAGTCACGGTAATCGTATAATCGAAACTGCAGTGCAGCAGCTGGAGAGGAAGACGGGGCGGGAACAGCGATCTGGCATCCGTTTCGGTCCATGAATACACGTCTCATTGTACATTTTTTTCTCCCGTCTCCTTTTCCTTATTGCCTTGATCTGCCGTCGTGACTGCTCTGCACACTACGCACAATCCTCCGCGTCGTGCCTTGACTCCTGGCCATGTCGACCGATGCCATGGGGTGACGCAGCCGCAGTCGAGGAGGAGGTCTGGTTGTCAAAAGTGGGTAGAGTCCGAATCTGGCAATTCCTGAGCCGCGGTTCCGGAGATTCGGCTGAACCCGGCCGGGACGGAGCCGTGCCGCGACGTGGGTCGATCCACGGGGTTTTCTTACTCTTTTGCCGCTCGCACCCTCCCTCAGATGTGTTATACTAGAGTGATGAATCGCATGCGTCCGCCACAGCAAGCTTTCTGCGCGTCCACGTTTCAGGCTCGTTCCTGTCTCTGAGAATCGAACCCCCACGTGATGTACGTGTTGAAATACTAGGTGTAGTTTCGACAGTTGTCAATTTCTTAACCCACAGCGCCTAGGTTGGGGGATATCCTCAGTATGAATACATCTTAGCCCTTGTATAGATAGTCCTCCACAGTGCCATCCGCTCGTAATTACTCGCTTAATCCAACAGCTAGATACAGCTGCGAGATTCCTAGAGATTCAGTGGGCTGGATTTACACAACCAAAGCCCAGAACAAGCTTCTTTGCTTTGCCGCGCGGTCATCCAGACGTCGCGTCTCGTCGCGGCAGGCAACTCGCGCGCAGAGACGAAGAGACGCCCCGACGCCCACGCGCCGGGGTCAAACCTCTGGCCCGCTTATGGAGTCCCATCGGTCAAGACACCATTCGACGCAGACGCAGCTCGGAAAGATGCATCTGATGTACTTCTCGTCGTCTGGATTGGGACACTTGATGATGTCGCCGGGGGCGCAGTGGCAGTCGGTTTCGCATTGGTACAGCATCGGCATGTCAAACCTGCAACGCCGACCGGCCATTAGCATCATCCAACGAGCCGCAGCCGTATCGGGCACACTCACGCCTCGGGGCAACAGATGCGATGCAGCGGCTCGGTGCTGACCAGGAGCAGGATGGCCAAGAGCAACCGACGCCGTGACATGACGCGGCTGTTGGAGAAAGTAAGCATCGTCAGCTTCATTTTCACACAGAGGGGTTCGGGAGCCAACTCAGTTGTGTGCCCGAGCGCATGAGGATCAAGTAAGTGATGGAAGATGAATCCAGGACCGAAACAGGACGCCAGGCCTCGAGTCTGCCTGGCCTCTTCTTAATTCACCCCCGGGAAGCGACTAGGCCGGCTGCATGGCAGATCGAATCAAGCTCGACGCGGCGCACTCGGGCCCGGCCATTTCGTTCCCCTTCTCGGCCAACCGAGCACCCGCGACGCTCGCATCAAGCCAGACTTGGCCTTTTCGCGATGCCCGGCCTTGCTAGTCCGCATCCCCCGAGAGCAAGGAGCCGGCGCAAGCGCGTACTTGTTCCGAAAAGGGCCAAGGTCACGTGCTAACTCGACTTGACTTTGTCTGCGCATTTCCTCGTCGAACCTCGCCGGACGCCACGAGCCAACAAACACCACCACCTACGCGGCGCCGTCAAGAACTTGTCATCATACACGACCACTGGGGAGCGAACGTCAAATGAGCCGCACAAGGCCCGGCGATGCTCGGGCGTGACCTGCGTCCGCGCCCGACGCCCCGTCACCACACTACGCGACCACCTGACCTGCCCGGCGTCGTGATGCTCGCCGCGCGCACTCGCCCTGGTCATGTTGCACAATCAGCCTTCACTTCGCCGGGGATCCTGCTCGCATTCAGCCTGCAAAGCACGTCTTCAGTCTGTTATTTCGTCTCTGCTCCCTGAAAAGTCCCACGACTTCGTTTCCATGTGCCAGCCGCGTCCCGCCGTATGACGTCACGCAGGCATCAAGAGACTGGTGTATTTGCACGAATATCGGGTCGTTAGTGCCATGAGATACAGAATATATACATCAAGTTTCACATATATACAGCCGCCTTGGCCTCCCTCCCATAGCTAGTCCACCCTTGGCCGCTTTCTCGAAAGGTCCTGCACAGGCCTTTGCATCTTGCTCAACCATTTACCTGGGCTCCTCTGCACTTCGCACGGCGGAGAACGAGCCTCTCGACTTGCAACGAGGTGAGTGGGTGACGTGGCACGCTGGTACGAAGGCGCCTTCATCGATTGTAAAACGAACGACTTTAACGCCTTCCCAGATGCAGCAGCCGCTTCTGGTCGAGGCGTGGGGGTATTAGAATCTAGGGTATCGTACGCGGAGAGTGGGTAAGGGATAGAGGGGGACACGTCAATATAGTTGAACTCGTCGTCGGGGTACTGCGCGGTGGGGATATCTTCTTCCTCTGCAAAGTCAACGGCATCACCAGGAGTATGCGACTGGCCTCGGTTTACACCAGTGGCAGCCGTGCCCTCAACAGAGCCACCGTCAAATGTGACGGCGGGGTCGCAGTCACCCGACAGAGACGTCTCGTTCGATTCGTTTTCGTAAAATCGTCGTCGCATGCAGTGGGGTTCCATGTGTCCGAATTCGGACCCAGAAAACGACATGGATCGCGATGGCGGATTCGTCAAGTAGTCGTTTGAATCAGTGTCCGATGGCGATGATACAGATGGCTCCGATTGCGCATCCTCGAAGTGTCGAGGCGACAGAGGTTCCTGAGAGTGCGCGTCGTCGTGAGGTTTCCCTTGGATCGAGTCGGGCTCGGCGCTCATTACAGCATCATTTTGAAAGAAAACGCCGCCAGCCATGAAGGGTAAGGGGGCATCGTCGACGCTGCTAGGCGCGGTACTGAGAGAATCGGTTTCCGAAAAGGAGGCAGACGAAGTAGAGTGTGCGTCGTGACGATCGAGGTAATCTTCGGGAAGGTAGCTGGCAAAGTAGCGAACAATAGAGTCGTATGACTTGGTTCGGAACAGTTGCAGGGCATGGTGCCACTGGTCGGTACCCATGAGCTTCGGGTTGGCGATTATTTCGACGGCCAGCGTCTCCAGAGACTCGGTGAGCTCACGGAGTCGCATTTGTCGCCGTTCGGCCATCATGTCGTGAAACTCGTGGGTAGTCTCCGCGTCTCGAGAAATCTCGAAGACATCGTGGTGGAAAGCCTCAGGGTCTTGGAGTGTAATAGAGAACGTGTTGTAGCGGTCGTGGAGGGTAGTAAAGAGGTCGTCTCTCTTCATGCCAAACTTCCAGGCCGGCCATGCCAGTGTCGGATCTTCCATCACGGACACGGACGATGTGAAGGGAAATGCCTACTGACTGTCGTCGTTGAAGGGAGTCGGCACGAGACGAGCCTCGTTGAAGCAGCAGAAAATCGAGGCCAAGTGTGCAAGAGGCACAAAAGGCAAATTTAGATCATGGGGACGGTACTCAAATCCATTGCGAACAAATGTTGACGAGACAAGTCGTGATCGTTAGAACTGGTGTATCGTGGAGAAAGGAAGAGTGGTGGGAGATTTTCAGTATGGGTCTCCATGGGCACCGTGACGAAAACACTGGAACAGCCCATCGGGGGAACCACGTACTAGCAACATCAGTCTCGGGCCCAGTCCACAGAAACGGAAGTGTGTGAAGTGCGCGCACTGCGGCCTGAGGCAAGTGGGCGTCACGCCAATTCATTGGACACCATGCCCGATGATGCACAATCGTGCCTCTTCGCTGGACCAATCATGAAGAGGCTGTTTCAGTGACAAGCCATTCGATCGCTAGTCGATGGGTACCAGGGGGCAACAGCGGGTCCAAGTGGAACCACATGGCGACCCTCCAGCATGTACGGATTGTTCACGGACAGTGAGCCGGCTATGAGAGCACACTGTCCTGCACCTGTGGCTGTGAGGCATCGTGGCTGAAAGAAGAAAACAGAACAAATCACCCACCCATGCGGTTCAGCAGCTGGGCGAAGCCGCAAGTCGTAGTCGTCCCGAGGGTGGCGGTGCGCTTGATGGAGGCGCAAACGTCAGCTGGACAATGCACAACAAAACTTCGTCCTGGTCATGCGCGATCATGCTTGCACAAAGGACCGCGGCCTTTGTCGTTGTTCTGTTCGCTGTCGGGTTTCCTCCTAGTCCTGCATGAGACAATTTGTGCCTCCTTTTTTTTTTTACAAAAAAAATCCTCCAGTCTCGTTCATCATTTTGTTGACCGTTTGGAGCCATCCATGTTGATGCAACAGTGTTGGATGGCCCGCCCGTCTCGTGAGCGCCAAGAGCCCAGGACCCAGATACTACAATGCTCGCCTCCGATCTTGATGGCTGGACATGGCTCCGAGTACCAAGCTGAGGCACATATATATCATATGCCTTCTGCTCCACACTGCCTCGCCCTGGGGTGTTGAGAGACCAGATTGAGGTGCGGGCTCTGGCCACACTGCTGGACAGTATCATCTCGTGAGGATGAGGGCCCGCCGTCTCGTGGGATCAATGACTCTGCCTCCTGAGGCTGATGTCATGCTCCTCCAGCCTATGAGAAGAGGCGGACCCGGGCTGGCGGCTCGTCAGCAGGCCTCCATGCCGTCAAAGCCATTCACCTGGGCACCTCACGTTCCCGTGTCGGTGATGTCGGCGTGGTCTTCTGCGCTGCTCGGGACAGCCCCGAGGCCATCCAGATGTCATTCAAAGGCTGGCCCGTTGCCTCATGGAAACTTGCTGTTCCTGCATTTATGCCAACGCGCATCCAGCCACGGTTGAAGAGTCTGTTTGTTTGACCTGGTTTCGTTTCCCTCTTGAGTCTCGACATTCATTGCAGTCGTCCCTCCATCTCGCGAGGCCTGGCTGATTGATTACCCCTGCGCCCGACCCTCAAATCCGCCAGCCAGCCTGCATGTGGCTGCCAATCAAGTCGCCTGCTGACGCCAGTACTCGGACGCCGGGCCAGTCATTGCCAAAGCCTCGTCTGCGCATCAAGCCTGCATCTGCTGCGGTTGGCTGCCGCTCCGGCCCCCCGTCACCCCCTGCCCTGACGTGCTTCTGCCTGGCCGGGCCCTACAAGGCCCCCCGTTCGCCCGCGCTGGAGCCGCTGGAAGCTTCCCGCCCCTCCCCCACCGGGGTCAGTGGTGCGGCTGCTGCTGCTGGTCCCGCTCGTCAGGTCGGCCCGTCCACGGCTGTCAAGCTCCAAAGTCGACTCGCCCGCAGCCCCATCGCTGCCTTCATAAGTCGTCATTTTTCCAACGCCCCATGGCCCTTCTCTTCCCGGCTTCGCCAACAACCTCTCCTCATGGCGGCCGAGCACAGGCCCGAGACCGCCTCGGAGGGGGTCTCGGAGGAGCGCACCGAGCCGTTTTCTCAATCCGAAATAGATGCCCGCTTCAACCGCTTCGGCGTCGAGGACGCGGGCGCCGGCCCTCATGACGAGACGGTTTCGTTAGACGACCTGCATGTCGAGGACCACCATCACAGGCAGGGCATCCGTATCCTCGTGCGGCCCCTCACAAAGTCGAGCGGTACACGACCCATGAATCCCGGAAGCGACAATTGCCGCTGGCTCGCGCTCCGTGCCGAAGTTGCCTCGTCCGACCAGCCCGAGCACAAGGTGCTTGCTGTGACTCAGACGTCCAAAGATATCAAGTTTTCCGTCCGCATTCCAGGAGACAACCAGGACGATGCCTCACGCCCACCTCTGTGGTGCGAGCTGTACTACGATCCCGCCAGCGACAAGGTCATTTTTCTGAACAAGTCCGATGTTCCCATCTCGCTGCACAAATTGTCGCAAACCACCACGGGGAGCCCGCCTCCGGATGAATCTTACATCATCAACCCCATCTTCATGAATGCGTTACGACCAGGAACGTGGCGCATCAAGGTTCGCGAAATCGCCGTCTTGGACTTTCGCATTCTGGAAAAGCGACCCGTCACGTTGTACCAGGCGCGGACTGCGCTGCCCCGCCAGCCATCGTCGCTCGCCGACTTGGGCCGCACCCCCAGCACGAAGAGGGCCTTGAGCCCCGACGAAGGCGACAGGAGAGCCAAGCGTCGCATCTCGGATGCTTCCAGCGAGGCCGACGACGGGGTCATCATGTTTCTCCGTCCTGCCGCCGACCCGCTCGTGTTTCCCCTGCCAAACGGGAGGGAAAGGAAGGAGCTCTCTGCCGCAACAGGGCACGCGCTCCTAGATGCCGACAAGGGCGACACCATTGCCGTGCCGAGCGTGTGTGAGGTGGACGAGTACTACCTGACGAAGCGAGACCCGATTGCCTCGACCGCCCTGTCCGCCGTCTACACGGCAGATTACTCCAACGCCCCGGACAAGATTGTGACGGTGAAGGTCCTCAAGACGAGGGTGGCAAACGCGGGCGACAAGCCCTTCGTGCACGAGCGCAACATCATCCGCCAGGCAGACATGTGGCTGCGCGAAAGCCAGAGCCAGGAGAGCCTGCAACACGAGTCCATTGTCCGATACTACGGCGGAGACGCGCGCTATCTCTCGCTGTACATGGAACACATCGACGCGCCAGATCTGACGGCCCCGAACCGGTGGAGGAACAAGCAGACGGACTTCTTCACGGGGACGCGGCACGACGCGATGCGCATCCTGCGCGACATTGCCGGCGCCCTCGGCTACATCCACGACAGGCAGCTGGTGCACAACGACGTCAAGCCAGGCAACATCCTGTACTCGCCCGAGCGGGGAGCCGTGCTCTGCGACTTTGGGCTCTCGACGCCGGCCGCCAACTCCCCGTCGAGCGGGGGCACGCCGTACTACGTGCCCCCCGAGTTCATCGGGACAAACATGCGCGGCCCCGCGTCGGACGTCTGGGCCCTGGGCATCACCATGCTGTACGCCCTGCGCGAGATCTCGTTCCCCGACAGCAGGGCGGGGCGTCAACATCCAAGGCCGCTGTACTGGCTCATCTCGGGCGTTAACAACCCCGGCGCGCCTCACAAGCACGGCAACGGCCGCCCTGCCGCCAGTCAGATGCGCGCCTGGCTGGAGGAGATATTCGAGGCGAGAGGGCGTCTCAACCCGGCGGACCGCCTGGAGCGCCTGGTCAAGGACATGCTGACGCCGAACCCTAACCACCGCATCACCATGGACAAGGTGTGGCAGGAGTTGTTGATTGATGATGCGCCAGCAAAGGCTGGGTGATGTGCGTGTCGGGAGTTGATGTATCTACTGGGTTGGAGTCGGCCGTTGTCTCTTTCTCTCTCTCTTTCTCTCTCTCTCTCTCTCTTTTTTCCCTCCCCGTCACAAACGTAATGATGTCGTCTTTTCTTCTTTTCTTTGTCTCGGCAGCACAGCCAAAGCTTCCTCTCAACCGTGTACATCGCGCCTCTGTCGTTTCCTTGCAAGCATACGAGTAATGATGGGTAATGGGTAAGTCCTAAGCAGTGGCCTGGCCTGGCCCGGAGCACACAAGACGCAGCTAACAGCTGTGTCAGGGCAGTGACGGACGGCGGACGGCGGTCTTGTATACCCGACATGTTTGGTTTCATGTTTTGCACACTGGCATACGTGATATCTTGGCAATGTTTGTCCATGTACATACATGTGTAGCGACTCGCGGCACCGGCTGGACAGCGTCGCCGGCGCGCATAGATGATAGAAGCAATGATTTTCCGCCCTCCACATGTCCCCGTGTCCCCGTGTCCCCCCCAGGGTGTCTTACAATGGGGAAAGAAGGCCCACGTCTCACATCTCACAGGCCGACCGCGAAGCCCGAAGCCAGGGCGACGACGCCGGCGACGACGCCGATCAAGTTGGCGGCGGCGGCAGCAGCAGCGCTGTTCTTGGCGCCGGACGTGCCGCTCGGCGCCGGGGCACCGGTGGTTTGGGCGCCCTGGCCGACGGTGTGCACCTCGACGCCCTTGGAGCTGGTACAGTTGGAAGACGACCTGGCATCCTTGGAGAAGCGAATGTCGGCGCAGTTGTAGAGCGCGGCGCCGCTGGCGGACGTGGTGACGACCTGCAGCGAGGCCATGGCGCCGTCCTGCACGTCAATGGGGACGGGGAGCTTGTCGACGCACACGGTCCCCTTGCCCGTGACGTTCCAGAACTGCGGGGTCAGCGAGACGTTGAAGTTGGTCGCGTTCTCGCCGAGCCCCAGGTTGACGAAGACGTAGGACCAGGCGTGGTGCAGGTCGAGCTCGAGGGGGCCTCCCTTGAGCGGCCAGTCGGTGACCTTGCCGGCCTTGTAGTCGACGCCGGCGCCTGGCGGCGGGAGGGGAGGGCGAGTCAGCAAGACGCGCGTCGCAGAGTGAGGGAGGGCCTCGTGTGCTTTTTTCCCCTTTTTGTCGCCCTCATCTGGGGGTGCAGAGGTTGGGCATGTCACCTACACGGATACTTCCACTGGGTGTACTTGGCTTCGCCCTCGGCGGAGAGCGTGTCGGCCCGCCAGGGGGGATACTTGAGGCCGAAGTGGGCGGTTGCGCCGTGGACGGCAGCCAGGCCGAGGACGAGCTTGCGCAGCATTGTGGGAGACGGGGGCTTTGTTTTTTCTTGTCAATCTTGTCTTGTCTTGTCTTGCGAGGGGGCCGGCGACGGACGTTGGGGTTGTCTGGCAGAAAAGGGACGAGCAGGGGACGAGGAGGCGACCCGGTCGAACTTATAATCGTTCGACGTCTGGGCTGGAGCCCAACCCGACGACGACGGCGGCGGCGGGGGAGGGTGGTTGCGCAAGTTTTTTTTTTTTTTCCTTTTCGCCCTTGCCCCCTCTTTCTTCTGATGTTGGTTCCCTGACGTTGGGTCGATGTTGGAATTTCTGCGCGGTGGATGCCAGCCAGCCGTCGCGTGGTCTGGGAGTGACGGCGTGGGCAGGGGTCCTGCACACGGCTCAATCAATTGCTGCGTTGGTTGCTCGGTGTATTTTTTATTTTTTATTTTCAAGTTTTCGTTGCGAAACGTGGCTTGCTGGCGGGCTGCGAACGACGGGGCGAATCAAGCTTACATGCGTCTGTCTTTTTTTATTTTATTTTATTTTGTTCTGTTTCTGGGGTGCAGCTGTCCTAGTCTGTCCGACGGCATCCCTGGATCCCATCCTGGGCGCGCACGTGGGTAGCACGTCTGGGCAAAGGCTTCGTTGAATGTCGAATCCACGCTGGGACTGTGGGACTGCGGGACTGCAATGCAGAGGGCACTACGGAGTATCAAGACTCGAGAGGGACGAGAGGGACACGGCCGGGCACTGCTTGCGGCCATTGATCTTACTCTTTTTCTCCTGTACTCCGTGCGGCCGTTGGAATTGATTGCAAGCTCGGGCTGGCGGGAGCGGCTGAGGAACCGGCAGATCTGAGCGCCGGCGGACCAGACAAAACTTGCTCAAATGCACGCAGAGCGCCGGGGGGCACGCAGGGGGGTGATTTGGTTCGAGTCCATTCATCGCGCCTGAAGCTGCGCGATGCTGAGCGCCGTGGCTGACGTTCCGTGTCCGGAGTAGGTGCGTGGCTTTCTCTGTCGTGTGTGCCTGCGCGGCATCCGTCGTGCATCTAGAGACGGAGACTTGGTGTCATTCAGGACGGGGCGGCACGGGACGCGACTGCGAGCCAAGAATGGCGTACCGAGTGCTATTGGCACATGTTGAGCCGACGACAGTTGACTGGTCTGGCATGGAGCCCATCGCGAGAGACATGTCGGGCACTTCGTCGAGGCGTGGCGGTACTTGCAAACCAAGACTCGGCTTCTGGCCATGCGGACCAGCATCGCACAGCATCACGGCACGCGTGGCCGAGCACGCCGTCAACACTCCTATAGCCTCGTGTCCGGCTTCGCTCTCTGCTCCGCCAACACCTCCTCCCTCATTCGAATCACAACGTCCGAGGGGCCCCCCTTCCCAAACTTGACCAGCGCGACTCTCTCCCAATCGCCGCCCCTATCGCCGCCCTCCAGCTCGGGCCCGGGCTTGTCCAGCGCCAGAACCACGCGGTGGTCCTCCTCTCTGAACAGCAAGTGGTACGGGCTCATCACCTTGTCCGCCCACGAAATCGTCGCCGTGGGGTGCCGTTTGCCCCGGTTCGTCTCCGCAGTCACCCTCCGCCGCAGGAACGAAACCAGCTTCTTCCGCTGCGCCGTGTAATGAAGCGGCCCCTCCTCCAGGGCAGACGTCGACCCCGTCAGGAACCGCCCGAGCAGGCTCATGAGGTATACCTGCGGCGGGAAGAGCGTAATGGAGCCCGCCGCGGCTCTGTCCAGCCACGACTGCACCGGCGCGAATTGTGCCGCCGTGTGCTCCACGCCGCCGTCGGGCGTGGGGAGGAGCATCTCCGATGGCACCGATTTCTTGGATATCGGGAGCATGTAGAGATACATCTGCGTGGTGAAGCGCTTGGGCACGCTAGTCGGTGTGATCCAGCGGGTAAAGGGAATCAGTCCCGCTGCAGTCCCTCGTCAGCACCGGAGCTGGCAGGGAGCTCGGGGAAGGGGAAGGGCGCAGGGAGAGAAAGACCTGTCTCGGCCACGGCGCCAATGGACTTGAGGAAATCGCCAAACTTGACCTTGTGTCCGTGGATGTTCTTCCTCGCCTCGTCCCTCTGCTTCGCCGACAAGTTTACGAGTGTGCCGTCCTTGGTCGCCAGCAGGATTCCTGTCTCCTCAAACGTTTCCCTGATGGCACCCATTCTGTACCCCGGGCCATCTTGGTGTCTCTCGGGGCTCCCGGGGCCGGGAATGCCACCGTCGTCTCCGTCGTGAAATGCATCTAGGTTCCCGCCTGGGAACACGTGCGCCGATGCAAATGATGTCGACGTCTTGACTCGATGCAGCAGCAGGATCTCATTCGTGGGGGAGAGTAGGAGGACAGACGAGCTGGGCCGGGGCTCTTGCCCATCCGGCTTGGGACTGGCGTCATGCGTTTGAGAGGCCATTGTGCCGACTGCGGAGAGCTTGAGAGCCCGTGATGATGATGAGATTGGTCGGATGGCGATGCCGCCTGCGCGGGCTATCGGGCGGCTTGGGAATGGATCATGCACCACTCGCCTCCACATGAGACGTAGTGAACAAGCCATGAATACCACGTCGAGTCGAGTCGAGTCGAGGCATCTGTTATGAGGACGGCCAAGGTGGCGGGCGGGAGGGGGTTGCTCAATGTTGAGCCGAGGTCCGTTTGGGATTCGTAGCCCAAAGTCTCGATTGATGGTGACTTCTTTTTTCTCCGCGCGCGACACCAATTGGAGCCCGGGCTGGCAGCACGGAGTGGGAACCGCATGACGAGACTGCAACCACGTGATTTAAATCATGAATGTTCACATCACTTGCCAGTCGGCGGCATCTAGTCCTTACTCCATACTCCAGCGCATATACAACAAAACCGGCCATCTGTTATCCAATACTTCGATATTTCGTTTCGTCATCCATGAGCAATGCTTGTCCCACCCGAAGAAATCAATATCTCTTTCTCTCTTTGCCTCTCGAGTTCACCTTCCACAAACAGCAGATACTCCTCAACTCACACCAGCTCTTCAAGTCAACAGGATTAACTTCTTCGTCGTATCCAACGCGACTGAGTTGTCCGCTGTTGAGCCAAGACGCCAAGTCTTCCAGGACGATTGGGTCATACAGCAGAATCTTTTCGTACCACGATGGATTGGCAGGGTCCGTAGTCCGTGGTGCAGTCGTGACGGCCTTGGTGATGTGCGCAAATAAGCAGGCCTGTGCATCTGTTGGCGTCATTGCAAGAGAGAGTTCCGAATCGTTGTCGACCAACATGGCCAGATCGACACGTTGCGGTGAAGAAAATGTTGAGCTCGGTGATGAATGTCGTGATGAATCCAAAGTATCTGCCAAGTCAGACTCTGAATCCGGTATTTCAATCACCTTGACGGCCTTCGCCTTTTTAGGAGTGGCGTTACTCCCGGCCGTTCGCTTCTTGGTTGGCTTAGTAGCAGTGCGTTTCGACACTACTTGCTTGTCTGGTGTTGGTCGTGAATCCTTCCCCGATCTTCCCCTGGGTCCTTTTGGTGTTTCGGGAGCCTGCACAGCTGGCAGAAGCTCCTGTGTCTGGCCATCATCTACTGAGCCCTTCCGCGGGCGGCCGCGCGGCCGTTTCGTCGGGGAATTGGCGGCAGCCGTGAAAAGCATTCGTGCCTCTTGGCCGCCATAGCCAGACTGCTCCCGGCACTGGTGGAGAAGAGCTATCATTGCCGAACGCCGTTTGACTGGTTTGAAGCCGTATCGAGATATCTCTTTTGACAGTTCCGTGTCGGTATAGTCTTCAAACGTCGGTCGTAAAGCACAGCTTGTGACTCTTGGCAACGGATGCTCTTTGCCTGCAATGTCCGGTGAGCTTGGAGCCTCGGATTGAACCGATCGCTTCCCCATCGGCGGTACCTTTGGCTCCATGGCGCTGAGGACATTTGAAACATCTGCCGTAGTATATGTCGCTTGTGATTCTGAGACATGGACATCTAAAATATCGACAACTAACTCGTTTCCGTTGTCGCTACTCTTTGCAGACCCGGGATTGCAAGTTGGAATCGGCATGTCGTCGCCTTTAAAATATCCAAAAGGGTCCACGATACCCGGTGTCTTTAACAGTTGCGGGCTGGTTCCCGTCAGATTGACCACTTCGACATCAAACAGATCACCGTCTGCATCTCTGGCTGCCGCATCCCAAAGTTTGGGCCGACCTTCAGGCGGCTCAATAGCGTCACTATTCAAGGGGGTTATGAAATCAGCGTAATCAAGTTGGTTCGAATTCTTCATTGTGAGCTGCAAGTCTCTCAAAAAAGTTGGCGACTGTTCCGTGGCTAACTGGCTCGACGTTCCAAACACAAAGTCCTGCTTGGCAACTTGCCTTAGTGCCGTTTCTGGAGAAAACAGTATCGGTTTGAGGGGCTCCTGCTGTTTCGTTGCTTTCGACTGTTTCTTACGAGACTTGGTCTTTTTCGACGTCTCAACCAACGGCCTGGGATTCGCAAAAGGCCTTGTATCTTGCACTCTATCTGCAGTCTCACCTTGGGTCGATTTCCGATAGGCAGCTGTAGCGAGACTGGTAATAGTTCTGGGCTTTTTCCGCACCGTCTTTGGTCTAGCGGCGGAGTTCGCAATGGTCGTGGTCGTAAGATCAACAGCCGATTCGGCTTTTGAAACTGCGGTCTTTGTCTTTTCCGCGCTTGATCCATCACTCTGGCATAATGCCGTTCCTCGAGTGGCAGCATTGCCGCACATGTACGCAGAAACCATGCTTCCAAACGACTTGGCAAAATCATCCTCGTTGTTCGCACCTAGATTTTCCCGTGCTGACGATGCGTCAGAATCAAGGATGATGGCTGCTTTTTCCGTAGGAGGTGTCCAATCCTTTCTCCGAGCCATTGCGGGCTCTAGTAGTAATGGCTCTTCGACGCTGCATTTCGTGGCTTCCATTTGTTCCAATGATGCTGGGCCTTGTGACGGAGTTGTCGCTCGGCTCCGACTCTTACACGCCGTCTGATTTGAGTCTTTGTATAAAATTGCTTTCTCTGCAAAGACACCGCGCTGACTGGCATCTTTCTCAGGCGTCTTGGGCTTGTATTTCCTCCAGGGTGGACATGAAGCTATCTCCTCAACCAAACTGGATGTTACCTGGCCGGATGAATTGACCCCTCCTATTGATGCATGGGAATTTCGTAGCAGTGGTTTGGCTTGTGGTGTATGTTCTAGAGTGCATAAAGGGGTATCAATTTCGTCCACTATCATCACCTTCTGACGTGTAATGGATGGGCTCAACTTATTGACCTCGGCGCATTGTGCAGACTTCCATAACTCTCGCGCGCTCTTCAAGGTCGATTTTGGGCCGCTGGGAGTAACCACGGGTTTATCATCGCTTCGCAGGGCTGGTCTCTTCAGCTTATCAGACAACATGTCCTGCAAGGTGGGCAAATCTGGCGATGAGGTCGGAATAGTATTTACGCGTCGCCTCGACCCCTGCAAAGGGGACGTCAAAAAAACATGGGGAGATGCCATAGCCCCAGAAACATGGATCTGAGAGCACAAGGCGCATCTCAGAGCCCTGGGGTGCAGCAGAATGTTGTTGGGCGGCTGATGCCGCAATCTTTATCCTGCGAAAGGGTGGATTCGAAGTACGGAATACTGAGCAACCGATCGCTGAATCGTGTCGGGCAGATCTCCACGAAAGCACCGCGTAGTCAGGTGATCCGTCACATGACGCACAGAAAACACTCCCCGCTCCACGAAATTATCGAGCCGGGTCAAATTTGACTGACTCTTCCAAGCGCTTTTTTTGGCGACCACATCGACGTCGGACAACTCTTCAATTCAATCCCAAGACAACCTCCGTCACCACACAACCGGCGAAAATGGAGAACGACCGTGGCGAGATCGTGGATCTGTACGTTGCATTTGGTCATGTGTTTTAATCGCCCTCGATACAATGCGAATCAGCTAACTTCGTCTCATAGCTTCGTCCCCCGCAAGTGCTCTGCTACCAACCGCATCATCAAGGCCAAGGACCACGGCTCTGTCCAAATCAGCGTCGCCAAGGTTGATGAGAACGGCCGCGCTATCAATGGCGAGAACCTCGTCTATGCCCTCTGCGGCTTCGTCCGCGCCATGGGCGAGTCCGACGACTGCATCAACCGTCTTGCTCAGGCTGACGGTCTGTTGAAGAACGTGTGGAGCCACCAGCGATAAATGCGCTTGAAACGACAAAGATAATAAAGCCTCAAAACACCACTGTTCTCATTTCGAGTCTAGCGGCGCGAGCCGCAGAGAGTCGGAACGAGGAGACAAGACGGAAAAAATCTTTTATGGCAACATGACGATTCTCATGGGCATTTTCAGGGCAATCAGGTCGCACTGAAGGAATTTCTGGGTTGTGGATCTTGGAGAGTTGGCTGCATTTAGCACATCCAATTCCAAAAAGGCGTTTGGACTCGATTTCGAGACAAGCTGAAATTCACATAGCACCGATCTCCCTTTGACGAATTTTCGATGTGCCGACGTGACGTACCAGTGAAGATGAAATTTCCAATGTCTCATTCACAAATCCCGGCTAGCAAAGTCTCCTTGGACTGGCGCCTCGTCGCCAAATTTCCCTGACCGAGGATTCTGGGGCTGCTTCGATAGCCTCCGTGCCGCAGATCAAACACTGGCCTTCAAAAAGCTGTGGTGGCAAAGTTTCGCGCCATGGTACAGATACGGGTCAGACATGTGCTAATAATCCAATGCTGTCGTTTAAGAACACCTGGCAAAAAATGCAAAATCTTGACTTGGGTACTAGTATACATGGAATACTCTAACTTCCCAATTCGCACCGTATTCTACATGCCATTCGCGATTCCATCTTTGTATGCGTCCAATGCTCTGTCTCTACATTTCTTGTGGTCGACAATTGGCTTCGGGTATCCCGACTTCTGTGCCTTGGTGCCTGCTCCTCGACCATATGGATCATGGATTTCTTTCTTGTCCAGATTTTGCAGTTCTGGAACCCATTTACGGATATACACCCCTTCCGGATCAAACTTCTCGCTCTGGAGAAGCGGATTAAAGATTCGGAAATATGGCTGAGGGTCAACGCCGACGCTAGCACTGAATCCCCAGCCGCCATTGTTGCTGGCAAAGTCGCCATCAATGAGGTGCTCCATGAAATACTGCTCGCCCTTGCGCCAGTCAATGAGCAAATCTTTAGATAAGAACGAGGCGACAATCATTCGACAGCGGTTATGCATGTAGCCATTGTGGTTGAGCTGTCGCATGGCAGCATCAACAATGGGAAAACCAGTGCGACCCTCACACCAAGCTTTGAAGTGCTCCTCGTCGTAGGACCAGGCAATGTTGGAGTACTCTGGCTTATATGGCTTATTCATACTACTGGTTGTTAGGAGTGCGATGTTGACGTACGGTTTGATGTTGGTATACTCACCATACGTAGGGCCAGTGGACAAGAACGTGTTTGTAAAAGTCACGCCAGGCGACCTCGCTTATCCAAACTCGAATGCCTTCATTGCCGCCGTCTAATCTCTTCGTCTTGTTTCTGTCCCTAGCTGTGCGGACGCACGTACGACTGCTGATAGTTCCGCTGGCGAGATGTACCGACAGAGAGGACGTTCCATCCTCTGCAGGAATGTTCCTGTTATTGCTGTAACCACCAATCTTTTCTTCGCAAAATTTGTCCAGTCTCTCTTTGGCAGCAGTCTCACCTGCAGGCCACAGAGAGTGGAACCTCTTCTTTTCCTCCTTTGAAAGTTGCTTGTTTGGCGGTGCCTGCGGAACGTCGCATTCAAACAGCTCCTTGAACTTCTTCCTCGCCGTTTCGGGGTTTTTATGTGGGGGATCAAAGAGTTCAAGCAGTTCCAAGTCAGCGTGGATATGAGCAATCCAAGATCGATACCACGGCGAATAGACGGCATACTGGTTTCCGGAGCCGCTTTGTAGTTGTCCCGGAGGCACGACACAGCTGTCGTGAACGACTTCAAACGATTTGCCATTCTCTGCAAGATCGTGAACCATGCTCGCTTCCCGGCGAAGCTCATCCACCTCATATTCCATATTTGCGAACAAGTGTCGACTTCCCCACTGCTCCATCAACTCCAATATTCGATCGGGGATTTGCTTTCTCTTCTGTACCGCTTCGACATAAAGGGGGATGTCTTGTCTCGACAGATCCCTTTTCAGTATTTCCAAGGTTCGTAGAATGAAGTCCACCCGCACCGGCGAGGTCAAGTGAGCTTCAAAGTCTTGTGGGCTGACAATGTACATGCAAATCAAGGGCACCGCAGCCTCCTTTGCCTTCTCGCTGGCCAGGGCAAGAGCTCTGTTGTCGTTACAGCGCAAATCCGCCTTGAACCAATGGACTACAGCATCCTTGACTTCCACCCTTTTGCGTTGCTCCGCCGTATCTTCCAGAGCAAAGATGAGGTCTTCTATAGGCCGTGAAATCTCATTGTTATTGTATGCGCGAGCTCGTGCATTGCTCATCTCTGGTGGATAGTATTTTCGACGCACTATGCCGTACTTTTCGGCCTCTTTAGCCAGCGGATGTGGTTCGTGGAGGCCATTGGCAGTCCTTGACCTTTTGGCAGTGTTGTCGTCGGTGTGGTCTGGGCTTGATGGCTTGCGTTTCGATGATTTTCGAGCCATGGTAGCAAAGGTTCGGCAACGGTGGGCTCGGAGAGGGAGATGAGCGATACTCGAGTCTGTTGGAGGGAGGTATGCAAGAATTGATCTCTGGCCAAACCCGAAGCTGTAGAGACGCGACGTTGGCCTCATACGGTCCGTTTTTAACAAATTAGGTCGAGGTGCAGAGGGACGCACCGCAGATGGAAGTGAAAGAAAGCACCGCTGCAGGATGAATTTTTTGCGATGAATCGTTTATTCGATGGGCGAAACCATTACCCGGGTGACCTCTCTCGCACACGCCCCTTTGATCACAGTCGATGATGGCATGGCGTGGGAGTCGGCCGATGTGGAGCGCATCGAAGCGTTTCTCAAGATCGGGTTTGTGGCTTGCATCTTTCCACCGCGCGATCGAAACTTGCGTACCGTGCAGGCCGGGGATGTCTTACCCATATCGCGCGGATCGGGTTAGTGAGATTATATGATATATCTGTAAATGAATCAAGAAAGCATTGTTTGACAAAGTGTAGCCACCTGCCCTGAAGCCGCTTCTCACCTTGGTGGGTGATGGTGAGTGAAGCTCACATCTTCTGCAGCAACTTACAATAAATAATTGCTCGGATGACTAACGACTGTAGAACACACTCCATGTCGCTCACACAAACTAACTTACTACCAGACTACTACCAGTAATTGCCATCATCCTTCGACCGTCGCTCCAGTGTTAGTGACAGCTGTTGGCCATGGTTGACAGCTGATTTGACAGCTGATTTGACAGCTGATTTGACAGCTGATTTGACAGCTGATTTGACAGCTGATGGCAGTTGCCCAATAACAATGTAGGAGGGTGATGTTGCGTGTACGTACCCTGTACTCTCATGGCCGCATCAATTGTCGTCGTTTTCTGATTGCAAACAACTTGCCGGCCCAGCATGAATATGGACGGCATCGCGCTCGCTTTCGCTTCGAGAACAACAAGGTGTGGCTTCATCTCAAGACTGCTGCCGTGACGCGTTCCACAAACCGTGGGCGTATATTAATCCCGAGAAGCATTTTGCCTCAGTAGTCATCACTCTGGGCCTCGCAAAAAGTGTTTGGCCCACCCACAACTTTTTCTCCGACAACAAAAATCTGACAGACACAATTTGCCTCCTTCACTTGAGAGCCGAGACACAATCCACCTATACAGGTCTCTTTCTGCACATGGTGGACTGGGACCGTGGTTTGTATCCAGGTGATACAGACACCATTGCCTCCCGTTGGACTGTCGGGGTTTGCCTGTGCTTTTGTGCTTGTCAGCGTTTGGTCCCGACCTTGCTCCTCGTCTGTAACGGGCCTTCCGAGTTTTCGCCAAACACGCCCTTACATCCATTCGTTTTGTGTAATACAACGGCGGGTTTCCCATGTAAGTCTCACCTAGATTTCCGGCTTGTATTCGCCGAGGCTGGGCCTTGTGGATATCCTAGTCTTACCTCGCTATAGATCTCAACTCAGTGGCCCTCTCAAAGCCTCTGCATGCGTCACGGATTGGTAGTCTGCTGCCAAACTCAACCATCTGAACAAAGACGAACCATTCATTTGGCCCGGCCACCGGCCATGGCATCGGGGAAGGCGGGGACGTGGCGGTTTCTGCCACTGCCGGTATCATCCAGTATTCCTGTGCTTTTGGTATACTTTGAGACAGGCGCGTCTTCTTATGTGATCCGTGTTAGTGACATGGCAAATATATGGATGGAAAGCTTGGATAGGAAAGCCATTTGCATGCGAGGTTGGAGCGAGAACACGAGCATCGACCCCAGCGACACCGCTGAGAACATGACTACATTCCTATCCTGTCTGAGCAAGGCACTAGATTCAACCCGGCCTGGACATGACGAAACGAGCCTTACATTGGCTCCAGGAGACTCCTCTAGCGCCGCAGACGATGGTATTACGTTGGAGATAACTTGTCCGCTCCCGGCATTCCAACCATTGAGGTGGCCGATACATCTTAAGAAACAGCCGCCTTCTGCAGTCGCAACTGATTTGGTCTTGCCGTTGATACAAGCCCAATTTGATAGGAAAACTGAGATGCAATCATTGATGCAGAAGATTGCAGATAAGGACGCCGTGATAACCAAGTTGTCGGACAAGCTGGAGACAATGGGAACTGGGCTGGAACATGTGTTTACTGCGCTGTCTGGCCGAAAAAGGATCACACGGTCAGCTGCTGAGGATCGTGTGAAAGGACTGGCGCCGTTCAATGAGCGGCGGTGGACGACGGAGCTTGGCTCAGATGATGTCGGCCCAAGCTCTGTGAATGACCTTGTACAACACGTGTTTGGTGATACTGGGTTAGAGTTTCGGTCTGCACTGGAGGTGGACAAGTCTCCTGAACTAGACAAATGGTGGCATGATTTCCCACCGACAAGCCGGAGCTTTCAACGAAGGGAACCCAAAGGTTCGGCTTCGAGGAGGGACATGGTCACACCTCCTCCTCCACCACAACCATGTCATTGCGATGACGACGATGAATTCCAGGTTCAGTCTACTCCTCCACACTTGCGGTCAGCGAAAAAGAATGCTGCTGCTAGTGATGTGCCACCAACAGATGACGCCTCCACGGATGGGGAAGACGATTCCGCTCTAGATGGCGATCCACCATCTACTCTGTCTGACCGTACACGACAACCTGAAACTTCCAAGCCTGGAAGCGCCTGGTTAGGAACCATCGGAGGCACGAAGCAGCCGGCACCACCTCGGCCCCCGTCACCGCCGCCAAGAAGCAACACAGCAAAGCCGGCAGCGGATGATGAAGAGACGGCATCCGAGGCGTCAGATGATGATACCACGGCTTCAGCATTCGTCTCGTTGCCCATTCCATCACCCGAAAGACGTTCCGGAAAGACTGTGGGCCTTGGCATAATTGGCGGACGACGGTCAAACTCACAATCTCCGCACAGGGCGAAGGCGCCAGAAGCAAGTCCACCTCCCGTAGCCAGGGACACAGGTTCCCGGAACCTTGGCACGATTGGTGGCAAGGCATCCAAGATGGCAAAGCAGGAAGATGGGGTTCCGGAACGTGGTCGCCCAGCAACTCGCAGAACAAACTCCCCAAATGATGAGCAACCACGAGAAACGTCACGGGAAAGAGCAGATCGTAAAAGAGAAGAACTAAAACGCGAACTGGAGAGAAAGGCTGCGGCAGGTCCAGCCAAGAAAAAGAGACGGTTCTAGAGAGGGAGCTTAACTTCTATCGCTTAATGATAGTTCATATTGTGAGTAACTTGGGCCCCAATGACTATAAGCAGCATGGTATGATGACCGGTGGTTTGGCAATCTGGATGGCAATCACCATATGTCCACAATTAAATTGGATACTCGTGCAGTTGATTTATGCTTTTGCATTCGCTGTGCTGATTTGTTCTGCGTGTGTGTTGGACATGCGTCCAGTCCCGACAACATGATGCATTCGAGCTTGCCAACAGCGAATTCGGCCATCCTGGGCCAGAGACACAACGATGATATATGACGTTTGATATCATGCTAATGTCTTTTGTAGCACAACCACAACCCACCCTCACTGATATCCGCAAGGAGGGCTACGAAGAAGTATTGAGGGTCTCCCTGTTTGGGGATATTTCGAGGCCAGTCAAGGACCCTCGTGGTTATCGGAAACCTAAAGTACACTGTGTTGCCCCAAAAAATTCATAAATCATACTCCATTAAACGATGTCGTCAGTCATCAATGGGAGACTTGGCTGACATGACAAGATGGAGATGGAGGAGGCTCGTAAGTGCCACGTCTTGAAAGGAGGAATCGGTTGATGTTACGACATTGGCTCTTGTTGCCTACGGCCTATCGCACTGCAAACCGTCGTCCATCATCAGTCCCCCGTCAGCAAAACACAGCACGCATGGCTGGCCATCAGGCAGCCAGCGCGAGCCCACGTGCCCGAACGACGGGAACTAGACGTTCCGCATGGATCAGTTTGAAACTTTGACGGTTCAATCGCCAGTAGAAGAACAAGCCTTCGCGGCAGCGGGCGCCGCAAGCCGAGTGGCATCCAGACTACTGGGATGCGGCGCCCGCAGTCTGTACATCCTTGCCAGACCCAGATCTTGCGGCGCGATCCCGGAAACACACATGTTGCGCCATGCCACAAATAGAGATGGCTGCTTATCCTGCGTTCGAGAAGGATCAATCAATTTGCTGGTGTGGGAATGCAAGAATCCTGCAGCAAGGGTGTCGAGGGAATAGAAGACATATAACTGTCCCAGCCGTGCGCTCATGTTTCTGCTCCCCTTTCCTTCCAATCCGCCTCATCTGGGAAGGCTTCCTCGGTGTTTCAACAACCACTCTGGCGACGACTGCACAACTGCGACGAAAGTTGTGTGGCGAACGGGGCTGAGGAGAAAACAAAGCCAGAATGCCAGGTATTAGAGATGCCCTGGTCTTGACGGAGGATCTGCACCGGCGTCTCCGAGTTCATGCAGAAACGAGAAACGTTCTAGAGCCGGCAACGATGCGGGATGGAAGGGCTGACCGTATGCAGTCAACACGAGGCTGAATCCCCTCGACGAACTACCGAGAGTTGCATTGGCGAATTGGATTCGCCAAGTAGACGAACCGAACCAAGCAGATGAGGACCGACCAGGGCCGTCATTGCTAGCCCTGACACTAGTTAGCTTGGCATCCTGTCGGAACCTCTATTATTGGCACATGGGAGGAGTTCATTCAACAAGACATGCGGAGTACGCATCCCTTTGCTCACCCTGGGTCGACCTTCTCCCTCGAGACAGGGGGAGGGGTGGGAAACAGCTCGCATTGCTGCGTACCATGGACGAGCCTCCGATCTACCTGGACCGATATTGACTTGAGCAGGCCGAGTTTGACCGTGGAATCCTCGATCCAGAAACGGGAGCAAGGTCTAGCCTTGCACGAGCAAAATAGAACCTGCCGCCGGACTAGTCTCGCGCGCTTGCCGTCACTACTATCCGTTGCTGCTCGAGCTCGTCAAGCCACGACCGTGGGCCGTCTACGGTGTCTATCAATAGAGTGGACAACGAACGAACTCGTCGGCTTGGACTCTCTCGTGTTGACGCGTGAGGCAGAGGCAAGAACGGACTGGAGATTCAACAATGTGATAATATCAGGGGCGCATGGCAGCCCCCTACGAAACAAGCTCGAAAGCTTGCCGCTGTGGCCGATGCGTCTCTTGCTAGAAATCACCAAATTCGACCAGACGTATCAACGACTCGGTGCCTGCTCAGAAGGTTCCAGTTGATTGCGCGGGTGACTGTTGCATGATGCGCAATTCCGCTCCGGGGGTTACACACCAACCGTGACCAATATAGTCAATTCAACGGGCATCATGGACGCTCGTATAAATGGCTCAAAGCCATGACAAATTGTGGCAGCCCTTGTTGTTCTCAAGGACAATTCGTTCTCCCTGAGATGCGGCGACGGAAACATCCACAACGGCCATTATAGGTTGGCTGCTGGGAGCCAGCATCGACCAACGCCCTGCTGCGACTCGACCATTTTATTACCCTTTGCCAAGCCAAGCTTTGTACAGCGTGCCCCGTGGCTGCACCCATACCATTCCCAGGCTCGAGGACGATGCGAATTACACGGGACTTGCTTCTCGTCTGTTCCAGTTGACTTGACTACTTGCCGGGCAGCTCAGTCCTGCGAGACCAACACACGTTCCAGCCTCATCTTGGCCTTGGTTGGGGGAGGGAGGCCTTGGGGGCATGGCAGGAAACGACACGACATGAGGCAAGCATGAATATATTTGTACGCGGGGCACAGAATCACGGCGAGCACAGACGACGACGTCTGGCCTGGTACTTGGTGTGCACGGAGTGCTCGGTACGCAGCTCGGGGTCCAGGTTTTCTATAGTGAACAACGGTTCGGACAAGTCGCGACATGCGCAATCTAAGACATGCCAAGGCCGTCTTCTCATGCGGTCCTGGTCCAGAGCACGGAGCACGGAGAGCAGATAGCGTGACGTGCGCGACTCAGTCAAAGGGGGCGCACGGAACCAACACCATGTCATGCGATGCCATGCGATGCCATGCGATGCCATGCGCTGCCATGCGATACGATGCCAGGCCATGCCGATGCAGTGGTCTCAATAAAGACCACCAGTCCAGGCTCCCTTAGGCCGCCCGAAGCAGCACACACGGAGTAGGGAGGGCCGGACATTGCACGCCGGCGCCAAGCCGGTTGCCGCGAGGCCGCAAGCTCACAGACTCCATCACGGCGGGTGCCAGAAACAAGAGCGAGACGGTGACCAGATGACAACAACGGCAGCAACAACAATCGTGATCATCACGGCGGATGAAGAAACACGGCACAAGGTGGCCAGGGACAAGGGGGAACAGAGGAGGAGGAGGAGGAGGAGGAGCAGGAGGAGGAGGCGGCGGAGGAGGAAGGGAACGCCGAACCACCAACCCTGTCAGAAGAATAGAATATCTGCGCAACACAGACGGAGTACTCCGTACGCCGCGTCAGTGGCCGCCACGACAAGAGGACAGACAGCCCCGTCACACAGGACACAGGGAGAGGAGAGCACGCAACGCGGGCCCAAGATGAGGTCGCACAGGGCCACAGGCGGCCTCTGATCAACCCCTCCCAGAGACAGAGACGGCGGCCAAGTCTGGCGCAGAGGGAGATCTGTCATCCGAGGTCGTCCGAAGCTCGTGGCACCAGAAGAAACGCGGCAAGGACCCATGATCCCCGGCGCATTCCCACTGCCATTTCCACTGCGCCAGTGCCGGCGCACTCCCCAAGGACGGAGCACGCGGCCACCAAGGCCCCAGCCCCAGGCCCCAGGGTCCAGAGTCCAGAGTCCAGGGCAGGCAGGGCTGTCCTGTCCTGATGGCCCCCCGGACCCGACCGTTGCTGCGGAATTCCCCATGTCTAGAGTAAAAACGGGCAGGAACAATGTTTTGGCCCCCCGGCGGGCGTGGCGTGAAACAGAGTTGCCCGTCGGGAACCAATGCCCAGCGAGTAGTGAGCACTGAGGGGGACGATGATACAAGAGGACAGTGTTTGCATTTGTCCGCGGCGCTCAGTATACGACGCACGACGATACGGCGTATGTATGTGTGTATATATACACACACATATATATACATGTATATGTATGTATATATATATACACGTCCACGTCCGTGTCTTCCGACATCTGACATCTATATATATAGTCCTACGCCGCCCAGTCCCAGTCGGCCCTTTCCCTCTCCCAGCGCAGCGCAGCGGCCCTCCAGTCGACAGACTGCCAGCCACGGCAATCAGGAGCCGCCGAGCGTCGACGTCGACGGGCCCGCGTGTCAAGAATGAAGCATGAGCACATGGCACATGGCACACGGCAGAGATGGGAGACTCCCTTGCAGCAAAGGCAAAGCAGCGCGCCGCCCAATGTCTCGTGCCAGCCTTACACATACGTACATGGCACGGAGTGCGTGCTCGTAGTTCCTTCAGTGCAAACAGGAGCACGGGTGAAAATGCACGCCCAGCTTTCCAAATACCAGGTGGCCCGTCCGCGATGCCCGGCCCGGCCTGGTTGACATGTCCGACGCTTCGGATCCGACTGCGCGTGCACGGTTTGGGAGGGGGCGAGGGCGAGGGCATCGCCGTTGACGCTGTCTCACTGCGTTGCGGCGTTGCGGCGTTGGGCGGGCCAGCCTGCGTCTCTTTTGCGTCCCCCCCCCGTCGCCCTTGAGTCTCTTGTCCTGTCTGCTCTTCTCTTCGCCGTGGGGGCTCTGGGCAGGGGCTCTTGTCGTCCGGGGGGCGTCGCTCTGCTGCGGCTGTGCGTTTTTATTCTCCGGCGCACCGGGCGGTGGCCGGCACGGCACGTTGGCAGCGAGGATGGATGATGGATGGATGGATGGAAGGAAGGATGGAGGGATGGGCGCGGCGCCATCGCCGTCGCCATCGCCGTCGCCCACGCCAACGGCCTCGAGCGGTGCCCAGCGGCCATGTCACGATATTTGTAATTTAGGCTCGGGAACGGCAGCAGAAACGTGTATTGCGTGCTATCACCCCAGGTATGTTTGTTTCATGTGCGCATTGCTAACCACCGCGCGTGTCAAGTTGCCGTTGCCGTTGCCGGCGTCATCTTCAGCCAAGAAAGAAACTCGCACGCGATGATGTATTCTGCCCCAGACGGTGGGAAAACAAAGACCAGAGACGAAGTCGAACCCCCGCCCCCGGCTGTGAGAGAAGGGGGAGGGAGGGAAGCACAGCAGAAGAACAAAGCAGGAAGAAACTGTAATCACATTACACCCAGACGTTGATGCAACCGCGTCCGTTCCCCTCGTCTGCAACTTCATCCACGGGGAATGAGACGAAAGCAAAAAGGAGCACAAGGAGAAGTAGGAGTACAATGGCGAGTGAAGAATCGACAGTCGACAACTGCCAAGTCTGGCCGGGGTTGCACAACAGCGTTGCTCGGTGGTCCCCGGACCAAGCAATGACGTGAACAGTTGCTCCTCCTCAACGTCTTTTTTTTTTGTCTCTTGTGTGTGTGTGTGTGTGTGCGTGTGTGTCCAAAATCTTCAAAGAGGCCAGGAGCGGAAACAAAATGCCAATGCCACGATGGCGCCCATCCCCCTCAGTTCCAAACCCGCCGGACTCTGTTCCGTGTCCCTCGTCGTACTCGTCGTGCACGTAGTTTCGGCGTCAGCGTCACTCATACTCCTCCATGTGGCTTCGTCCCCCCCCATGCATGCTCGGCACGTCAACCACCAGGTCCGCAACTCGTCCGTCGTGCCGGGCTCTCAGGCGATGGAGACCCAGATCACTGGGACTTCTCTCGGTCCCATCACACCCACCCACGGCCGCCTCGCCGTGGCACAGGGCCTCCACCCAGGCTCGTGAGGTGGCACAGAGAGGAGAGGAGGGGAGGGGAGGGGAGGGGAGGATTGCGTGTGCTTGGCTGGCTGCTGGCTGCTGGCTCTGCTGGCCTCTGCCAAGACATGCCAAACCCGCGGTTGCGGCGCTGCTCGCAGACCAGTTGCCGTTTCACGCACAACAGCGGTGCCACACGCAAGTAGGGATTCGTTCGATTCGATTCGACTTCAGCCATGCAAATGTCCAATGTCCTTTGTCCCAAACAGTCAACAACACACGACGACGACGACGGGGCCCCCGCCGCCCCAAACCAACCACCCCTGCTGTGCCCGGCCCCGGTTCGCGCAAAAACAAAAATAATAACAATGAAAAAATGACAAATGGTCCTCCGACGTGCAGACCTTCCCGCTCATGCAGCCGATCGGCCGGGAGACGTTGGGTGGTCAGAGCCTTCGCAAGGTCGCCGACTGTCTCGCCTGGCACCCACGTCCCCCCCTACTGGCCGGTTTGATTCCACCAAACGTATTGGCTCCCCTGCAACGGCTGGTAGGGACGACATGTCGGCAGCGCAGACACACAGGCCTCGGCCTCTTCGTACTTGGCGCTCGCATGCCGTTGCATCTGGCTGGGGTCAAATGCCATGGCGTCCGTCGCCGGTGCTCTGCGACACTGGGCGGGAGCCTCATCGCTGGACGCCGGGTCTGCCGCGCCCAGCTGCTGTAGCTCAGAGGCGACATCGCCTCCGCACGCCGCCATCATCATGCCTTCCCTGTAGGCGTCGAGTGACGGGTACTGGGGCATGGCGGTATACTGGCCGGGCAGAGCAGGCCTCATGCCGTACATGTCGGCCACCGAGGAGGCATAGGTAGGCGAGCCAGGCCGGAAGTCGAGCAGTTGCCGAGACTGCTGAGGGAACTGCATCACCTGTCCGTACGAGCTCGAGCTCGTTCTTCCCACTCGGGCAGCTCTCGTGGCGCATCCGCCTTTGCGGCCGGACAGTGCTCGCTTGACCGAGTGCTCAACCGCCCATCCCTCTGCTCCGGTTCGCCCTGCGGAGCCGCCGGCTCGTTTCGCGTACGTCTTTTGTCGGTATCTCGTAGTGCTCTGCACACCGTCACGGATGGCCCAGTCCTCCAACACCCATTCGTTTACCCGTTTGGACTCCTCGGTTGTGCCCGACACGTTCCGTGGAGCTTTGGAGATTACCTTGTCACGTTTTCTAAACGCCTGTCCAGTAAAGCAAATAAGTCAGCCCCGGAGAGTTCTTTTTCTGCTGCAAGGATAATTGTGCCAATTTTCCATGCGAGGCCAAGAGGGAGTTGCCTTACCGCGTTCATACTCAGGTTGTGCCGGATGCTGTTTTGCCAACCGCCAGTCTCCGTCACTGCCTTGGTCGTGTGTTCTCGGAACCATTGGTAAATTTCCTGCAGCGTCATGGAGTAGTCTGGGCGAGTCATGATCGCTTTGTAGATCAATTTTGCATACGGCTCATCAGCCTTCTCCGTGTCCCCAGATTCGGTGGAGTCTGACGGTGGAGATGCTGAGCAAGGAACCGACCGAGGCTCCTGGCGACTTGCAGTTGCTGTGTCCTTGGGTGTGTCCATTGAGGCCGGCGAGTCGACCGCCGAGTCGGGCTGAGATTTCGGGCTGCTCCCGAATGTGTTCATCGATGGCGTGATGTCAACTCCCCACAGATGGCCGCAAGGGTCTCCATTGTCACAGTTGAGCGCGAGGAGAAATCCGTCCGTGCTATCCAACCCAAAATCGGTTGACGGACTCGGCGTACAAATGTTGGGGGGATCCTGGGCGTTGCCAGACATCCCTTGAGCTTGATACTGCTCCGACGGTTGCTGATTGACAGCAGGCACAGAAGCACACCACACATCGTTGGGAGGTGCTGTTGAATAACTGCATCCTGCTGCCAGCCCGTTACACGCCGCGGCAAAGTCCTGGACGTAGTAGTTGGTGTCGACATCAGTCGGGGCCAGAGGTGGCGACGGCCAGGCCATTCGACCCTTGGAAACTGAAATGCCAGAAGCCATGGCGTTGCTTGTGTAATTGGAGGATGGAGCTGTTGGTTTCTGTACAGTCATAGTCATGTTGCTCATCCGGTTGAGATGAGGAGTCTCGGAAGGAGATGTGACTTGTGAAAAGGCACAGGAATTCTTATACATGAGTTGCGTCGCAGCAAACTCTGCCATGGTGACTGGCTTTTGCTGCTCAACCCTCACAACCTCCAAAGACCTCGTGTAGCTCACGGGATATCTTTTGTCAGAGAATGGTGGACCCATTCGTCATTGGAAGCCAACCCAGGCCGAAAGCTCACACGGTTGTACTCCCCGTCCGGTCTTCCCGTCCAAAAGCAAAGGGTGCTCTGCCCACCTTGCCCACACAAATCAAGTGATGATATTCTGCGTGTAAGTGTGTATGTATATATGTGGATTAGAGATGCAGGTCGGAGAGCTTGACAGGTATCGATGGTCGACGTCACATGCAGCTGTAACACACTGCGCACATTGACTCAGTTGTAAAAGAGGACTGTATCTGTCGGAGATGGGCAACAACAAGGGTGCAGTGATATGACGGGAAAGAGATGCTTTGCCAGCTGCAACAACGCCGTACATGAATTCTCTGAGGCCGGAACGTGGATATCCAAGAATGAAGAGGAAAAAAGGATATAGAAAGGGCGTCCAGGCTCACCAAGGGGACTGAGGAAGTCGTTATAATAGGAATCAACAGCCTGTACCGCTAGCCTTAAGCCATGGCTCTCCCGGTCAACTTCAACAACTTGCTGCCTGGGCGTTGCTCTATCCATCCAGACCTGCTGGCGGGCACCAGGCCGGCCGTTCTGGGGAGGGCGTGCACCGTGGCAAAGGGGCTTGCTTGAAGTCTGAGTAGCCTGATACAAGCATTCAGCAGTGTAGTACACATGAAAAAAAAAAAAAAAAAAACCAGCCCACCCATGTTTCTGTGTCGTAGGTATTCAGTATGCACGCACGCACGTGTGTACCTCCATTTGTGCACACATATGGGATGCGTTGAGCATGGACAAGGTAAATCTGGTATTCGGCCATGGCACCGTAAACGGGCCGGGCGATGGCCCTTCCTGACTTGCCCAGAAAAAAAAACAAAATTGGCACAAACCCTCAACGCCCAACATTCGGCATGTATTTCGAGCAAGCCGTCCTTTCGAATGGGTCCGCGAGGCCCAGAGGTCAGAGGTCAGAGGTCAGAGGCCAGAGGCCACAGGTCAGAGGTGCGGCGTGCGGTTCGCCCTGGCGCCCACAGACAGACAGACCTTTCATAGTCAGGGGCGTGTGATGCCTGGGCCTGGTGTGCTGCGTTGCGTGTTGTGTCCGGGGGTGGGCAATCAGACAAGGATTTCGACCGCCGGGCTGTGAGACAACATAGCTGTAAATGAGCCTGGGCGATTTCACCAGACGAAGGCTTGTGCCACCACGAGGGCATTGGAGGATGCTGGAGGACAGCAAATGATTGGAAACGACTGACCTTGGGGAGTCGTCCCTGACGGCACTGAGGCCTGCCTTCGCCACCAAATTGCACAGCTTGTCGTCTTGCCATGGCGCCAAAGGTCGTCTTTGCAGACCATCTTGGGTCAGCATCCAATATTAGTACGTAGTAGCCGCAACCCGGAGAGCTGGAATCCAATAGCAACGTGATCCAGGTTTCCAGAGGTGCAGGATGCAGGAAAGAGACGATTTTCTAGAACCCAGCTCCCTGTCCGTGAACCCCTTACCTGCTCGAACAGGCTGAGCCGTGATCCTTGCAAGGCAGCGCGTGTTTGCGTAAAAACTCCCGAGGAGTAGATCAGGGATGCATGTGAGATTCGGCTGCAGGTACTTAGTTTGGTCATGTATTACACTTCCAGCTCCTGCAGTGCATCATCTTTGTTACCGGAGAGCATTGATTCTAGGCGACACGGCACCGATCCAGACAGTGTCCGATATATATGGTCTTGGTATTTCCCCGTGTCGGAGAGATGAGAAGCCATCGGAGCCGCATGTGGACGAGCGTCCGCAGTGCTGAGTAAAGGAGAAGAAGGGACTCTACGTCTCATAGCTTCTGGCTGGACGGATAATGCAGAGCCCAGCTTGAACACCGACGCGCCGGTAAAGAAGAAACGACTTCGGCCCATTACCATGTGGTTTGAAAGGCGACCGCGCAGCTATCTGACGGATGCATAGTGGGTACAGAGAATGCAGGTGATGGAAAATCAGGGATGAACATGAGGCACGGCTGCACGCCAGCGGCGTAATACAAGGGATCGACGGGAAGAGAACAGCCGATGAGCAAAACCCGGCGATGTATTTGCACAAATTGCGCTGCCCGGAGCCTGCATGTACGGGGTGGTCGTCCGAAGTACGAGCCGCGCGACAACACCATGTAAGAGCCCCCCTGCGGAGACATCACTGCTGCTCAGAGTCATTCTCTCCCGGTCACTCCGTTGCTCAACCAAAACCTGTTGAAGGAGCTGCGCGTCTGGCCAACGACTGTACGGCGGGGGAAACCATGCAAGCCTGCAGGCAACTACCCCTTCTACTTGCGATAGAATATCTACGGGGCTTTGGTTAGACGTCTTTCTCGCTAAAGAGGTCCATCAGGGCTTCGAGCGCTTACCTTCTTGAATTGAAAGTGCAGTTGCAAGATACCCTTGACGGCGGTTAGTCATGAGAAATGCTGGACCGAGAATCGAACAACCGTGTCCAGCCATACCTTTTCAAACGAACTCTTGAATCCACGATCCCTCTTTGCACTATAATCCCATTCTCTGTCCACAATTCGAAAGGCGATGTCCTCGTAAGGCGGTCCCGCTATGAATAGAATCAGACATGTATCGGTCTCACCAGCCGCTGCGAAAGACTCTCCTCTCCTCCTCCCATGCTCGCGGATAATCTTGAAAGTCGGTGCTTTCGTTTTATCAACAAGATCGGGATAGAATATATTAAACTTGTATCCTTGAACGACTTTCGGGGGGGGATTGTCGTGGTCGTAATGGGTTTGGTTGTACTTGTTCCATTCGTATCCCATCTGAACTCTGTTAAAATACCTTGGCTTGCGGGCTTTGTATATGCCTGCCCATTGAGGCTTTGAACGAGCAGGCACTTGTTCTTCCGCATTGAAAATCTCTTCATTCTCAGAGACACCCTTTGCGGCTTCTCGGTTGTAAAGGGCGTTGGTAACGTTGGAAGCATCTTCACTCGCCCCAGGCTGAGGAGAACGCGGCAAGTCGGAATGGACAACTGGACTCGGAATCGATGTTGGGTCCTGTTGCCGCCGCGCTACCGGTCCTCGTGCTTTCAACCTTTCGGCCCGCTTATCTTTGATTTCATCATAGATTCGCGCCAAAGTGGCCTTGGATTTCCAGACCAAAAGATGATGCAACAACTGTTCCCAGTAGTCGGTGTCAATGTTTTCGTCGGACCGTAACTTGGCCTTGATTTGCTTCTCCAGAGCCTCCAACTCGTCATACGATTTTGGGCCGAGAATGCGATCGATATCGTCCACGACGCTCTTTACTACACGCCCATCTCGGCTATTCGTATCAATTTTCGACTTGAAGTCGGCGCAGATTGTACGCAAAGCTTCCCAGTATTGTCGGTTTCGTCTGTCCGTCTCAAGAATGTGATATGACGAAATATCCGATTCGAGTTCTTGAAGTTGAGTCAAGGTCAGCCCCTGTACTGTCGCTTCAGGCGAATCGAGCTCAATATCTATATCTCCTTCATCGTCATCGAAAACATCTCGTTCCTCGTCAATATAACGCAGATTGAAGGCCAGGCGGTCGATTGGTTTTGCTCGCCCCTCGCGCACCCGAATGTCCGCCTTCTTCTTGGACTGCTTCAGCACGAATTTATCCTCGTCCGCTACAAACTTTCTCGATTGTTCTTCTGCTGTGAGATACTGGGTTGCATGTTGAGCCGTCTTGGAGGGTCCTGGTTTCGTGGATTTCGAGATTCGGTTGTTCGCGTCGACGCGGGCAGATGTGACATTGCGGCGAATGGGAGACCTTCGGCCGTCAATCATTGCCTGGCGGCCAGGATCCATCTTGGCACTTTGCAAAAATTTTGGTGTCCGTGATTGTCTGTGTTCCGTGGAAAATGTTGGCGATGGATGCCTGCAGCGAAATAGCACAGGTTGCCAGGTCAAAGTTCTGTTCCCGACTCAATAAATGTAGTCTTAAATAGCCTTGAAAAGAAAAGTGGGTCGGAATGACGATTTGTCTCAACCCAAGATCCATGTTCAAATCTTCCTCTCAAGTCCATCAAATTTTTTGTCTTTGAAGGCTGCAGCCGTTTCAACTTGAAAAGGTTGTCTGAATTCAAAATAGCCTGGGGTTCTAAAATTCATCAAGGACGTAGGTTTTTGTCATCCATGCAAAATACCAAAATCGCATCCAATGCCCCCGAGATATCGTACATGCATTGTAACAAATCCCCCGAAAAGAATCTCCCCAACACCAAACACCGTCGATCATCCTTTGCTTCACCAACCGTCGGGTGTCTGGGTACTCCCTATCTCCAAGCCCCTGAGTCTCTGACTCCAACGTTGCCAATTAAAGTCATCCCCCAGCATATCAGCGTCCTCCGCCACATCAAACTGTGTATTCATCACAGTAAACGGAGCACTCCACAAAGATGACGGCAGGTTATCGTCCCTGGGTGGCTGCGCCTGCAAGGTGAGTGCCTGCTGTTGAAAAGCGTCCTGGCCCAGGATATTCTGAGGAGAAATATGGGGGGCCCGTGCCGGTCCCGATGCGCCCAAATTATCGCCATTGTCGGCGAGGTTGTCTAGCCGCCAGAGTTCAGCCATGCTCGGGTTTGGCTCGGCCATGAGTTCATCCATGTATTCCATGGCCGCGTTAGAGACGTTAAGCTGTACGGGGATATTGCCCGGTAAGTTCAGGGTATCGCTGCCAGGGGCGACTGTCGTGGCCGGGGTTTCCTGGGAGGAAGCAGCTTGGCGGACGATGGAATATGATGGCATAGGGCTGGATCCGCCGGGGCGAACGAGAGACCACCACTTCTCCCGCATCTGTTCCATGACGTTTTCGGCGCCAGGGACGGGACCAAAACGTGCGTGTGCAGGGTTCATGCGCTCTGCAAAATCCAGCCGACGGGCTTCGTCCTGGTTGGCTCTCAAGCGAGCAAGTTCCGATTCACGGTGTTTGCGGGCCTTGGCGAATAGTTTTCGCAGAGGGAGAAAGACCGCTGCATGATCTGCCCGTTTGGCTAGTTCAAGAGGATCGATGTCGTAGCCGGTAGTGGCGTCCCAACCACGCTCGACCAGGGCCGTCCACGGGCGTCGACATGTTTCAATCAATATGTAGGCGATGGCGTGCCAGTTTGTGTACGTCTTAAACAGCCACCGGTACTGCTTGCATCTAGGATCCGTGTTAAGCTTGTGGTTATACTCAATCACCTCGATAGCAGCGACGTAGATGCGCTGGCGGATCTCGTCTGAGAGTTCGAACTCGGAGCCGGGGAAGAGAACGGGATAGTAGATAACAAGGCACATTTTGGCCACGATGACGCGAGCAATCATGGCTGCTACCCAATACAGCGGATCTGTCTCGTCCAGAACGTGCTGAAGGAACTTGTGTTCAACACGCTGATACACCTCGATGAGCATGCGCTCTCGCTCAGCAATGGTGGTTTGGTCGACTCCAGGACAGGAAGATGACATGGCCGAGGCGGCGGCAACAAGACGTCTGGAGAGCCCACAAATCTCACATCTAACGATGGACACGGCGGAGTCAGATCTTCCCTCTCGAGGGAGGGGAAACTCGGTGCTTCCGGGGCTGATATCTGAATCGTTAATATTGCTTGGCTTCAAGGTGTCGTAGGAGCCCTCGTTAATAGTCATGTCGGTTCCGAGTTCCTCGGCAGAACGGAGGTCCAAGACTAGAATCGCCCACCACAGACGTCTGCGAATCTCCGTCTCAAACGGAGACAGCTTCAAGTGAGTTCCATCTCTGTGCAGGCCCATGCCCTGGGCGATTCGAATTACCAGTGCAGTCAAAGACCAAGAGAAACGACTGTCGTCGTGGCGTCGTACGACAATGAGGAAGAGGGCGAAGGATTGAAGGACGGCAAGGTCTGACGTATCAAGAAAGTTGGCTTTAGCCAGGGATTGCTCCACGGCAAAGCGATATTGAGCGATCATGTCATCTTTGTTTGCACCCAAGTTGGCTTGTACCTGAGAGCGACGGTTAGCAATCAGGACGAGATTCATAAGCAAGTGGAGAATGCAGGGATTCCTACTTCATCTGGCTCCAGTGAGGTGATGGCTGCAAAGTAAATAGCAAATACCAGCGCCTCATTGCCGGGAGTGAGCCTGCCATGGTTTCTCCTTGCATCTTGAAGGATTAATTCGACGGAAGGGACATGCATGAGTTTAATGAGAGGTTCGACGTTCTCCTTGTACACCGACCACAAAAAGGCGGAGTGAGACGGCAGCGGATGACATTGTTGTAGGTTCACATCCGCCGATCGATAACCCAAAATGAAACCTTGGTGATCTGTGATGTTACCAAAGCCTGTAGATGGTGAGTCTGTCGGTGTCCCCTCAAAGTCTGAATCTTCAGCGTCTTCATCTGGGAGGCGTTGAGTTTCCTCGCGAATGGCATCCAGCTGAAAATGGAAAGCATCAAAAGCTAGCTCCAATCATGGATAGCAGGGGCTGGATTTGGGCAACATACCTCATCATTAAGTTTTGACCAGAATCCGCTGCTCACGTAGCGAGAGGTGCCTCGTTGGTCATCCGAGACCAGACGACCGAAAGTTGGCTGCTTCTCCTTTGGACCGCCTTCACCACCGTGACCAGCCGGTGAGTCGGTTCCTCTCGGGCAATCCTCCTGGCCAGCGAGATGATCCAAGCCGCTCGATATGTGACGCTGCGGCAGGCCTTCCATACCAGGCTGCATGTCGGGAGAAGTGGCAGTCGAGGTGCCGCGGCCAGCAGGCTCATCATTGTGACCACCGCTCAGCTCTTCCACCATACCCTCCAGCTTCCTCAATCTCTTGATCAAATCCGCCTCCCGGTGACTTGACGCCTTGGGCGGTGCGTTAGGATCCTTTGGTCGAGGCTGGCGAGGCGCACGACCAGGCGCGGGGAAGACGCATGGAATTTGTGCACGGCGACAGTTGGAGCAGGGCATCTGCTTGTCGCAACGAACCTTGCGCCGACGGCAAGTGACGCATGATCTGGGGTTCAAGGCGGGATGTCCAGAGCTTCCCGGCGCCGGAATCGGGCTGGTGTAGGCATCGGGGCCTGTAGTGTGATAGACGGTGACGTTTCCGGACTGGTGATGTGAGGAAGACGACGAGGCTTGTGCGGCGTCTTGCAAAGGTGAAGCCGGCGACGGCATCTTGACGTTGTCGGCGCCGTCTTGAGGCTGGCCCATGTTGTGGAAGCCGAAGGAGTTTGTCATGACGAGGGCTGTCGCTGAATCTGGCGATTTGCCGCGAGCATATAGTTATATAGACGGGGCCGAGCCGTCTTTGAGTGCGACATGGGCAATCCCTTGGGCGACCGATAGGGCGTCAAAAGACAAAAAGCCTGAGACGGCGCGTCTGTGAAGATAGATACCAGCGTTGGCTGACGACGACGACACACGAAGGCGAAGGATGCTCAGGTCACAGAGCTGAGTATGAGAGCGCGAGTGGGGGAGCGGCGGGTAAATCTGACGGCCGCCGTCGACCAGACAGACGCCTGGAAGTTTCTCGGGAACCTACTAACTGTTCGCTGTTGCCAGCAACTGCTACATGTACATGTAGTGGGTGTTCAGTGGAATTGGGATTTAACGTTATCATTGGCACGAGACCACGTCGACTAGTGAGTGCTGCAATTGTCTGGTTGCCTCCCTCCAGCCCAAGCTCAAGCCAAGCCCCCCAATTGATCCCGCCCAACAAAACTCGTTTCGCGCCATCCGGCTTACTAATTCCCGCCATTGGGTGCTGCCACAATCAATTGATGATTGATGTCGGTTGACGGACGCGGAAGCAAGGCCAGTGCGGTCCATTGGCGTCGGGCTGCCGCCAAAACAATTGCCGCCTCGCCTGCTAGGGCAGCCATAGCACGTCCCTGTTGGAGCTGTATACTTCCCGGGAAAGGTTGAAAGGTTTTAATCCCTCATAGGACGTGCCTCATTTGCGCGTCTTCTCGTGTGGAACATGGCAGGCTTCATGTCCAAGTATCTGCCAAGCTGTTTCACATTTGACATGATTTGGAAACCTGTCTTTGCGCAGCGCTCTCCGACTCAACCATAAGCGTCCAAGTGAGCAATGTAGTGAGTAACTCACTCTGTAGTAGTAAGGCATTCAAGCCTACCGAGAACCGTAAAATTATGCGCAAGAAAAAAAAACAATAAAAGCAGTCAGGAAAGGAAGACACATAAAATGGGACAAGAAAGGGCAAAAAAATGCCAATCGAAGAATGGAACGATAGGAAAAGCCCGATGCGGGGGTCGAACCCACAACCTTGAGATTTCGTGTACTCATAAGAGTCTCACGCTCTACCGATTGAGCTAACCGGGCCAACTCACGTTGGTGGTGCCTTGTTGGAGGCTCGCTCCTTATTTCACTTTATACTCCCTTGTCAAACCGCTCCGTCTGAAATGACCTTTTCGTACGGAGTACTTCTCTGTACCTTGCGTGGATTTCCGACTTGTCTATCAAATTCGACATTTTCTTGGTATAATTAGTGTTACAAACATGAATTTTTCTTTTCCGCTTTACTCCGTACCCATCTTTGCATTATACCGTCCGCGCAGTCAACACCAAGCGGACAGCATCCGTCTTGGTCGGGCATGCTTCCGGCGCATCACCTGCGAAAAAAAATTGAAGAGCCAACAATCGTAGTAGGGGACTTTAAGGGTAACAAGTTCGGTACGTCTCGTTCATTCGCACACAGACCAAGGGATTTTTACCTATAATGGAGACGTTCGATTTTGGTCTTGGCTATGACCCTGCAAACGGCCTTGATCTTGCTGTACCATCCCCTTCTTTCCGCCATCAATCATAGCATTTGCAGCTGCGCAGAATAAGCTGCCTCTCTTTTGCAATGAGCATAGGATTGGTCAACTTGACTGGCACTGGCCGAGTCTGCGGTGCTGCATCCCACAAACTTTTGGTGATTGGCAGACATTGAAACGCGCGGTTGGAGGGGCTGTTTACGAACTGGCAAATTTCCGCATGATTAGCGTCGCAATAAACAAGAGTTCCTAGGACTGGCATCACTTCTTCACGGTCTTCGGTGAAGCAATATTGGGTGAGTCTCACAATGACGTCAGCCTTAATCACCGACGCCCCCAAACCATGGTTGGTCCCAGAATCAGCAATAATTTTCCCCGGCTTCAAACGTAGCTGCTGCTGCAAGGCCACGTGGACGCATCGGCCGTCGGCTGCTCGTGTGGCCCGCAGGGCAGCCATAGAGACCGTGGTGCTCTAGGGAGACTGGTCGGGGGTTGTCCGAGAGTAAGCTTGAGCATCTGTCGTCATGTCATTAATCAAACCGGACCGTGCCAATGCGAAGGATGGGGAGCGCACTCTGACCGCACTTAAATTCAATCAATGACCTCGATGGCCCCAGAGTCCAGACACGTCATGTGAGCTTTCCCCCAAGACATCTCGTCGGCTCACCATGCCCGGCTCAAGACAAAGGCTTGTCAACTTCCTAGCGGGAGCAACGAACCTGTCTGGATTTATTAACGAGACACAGAGATACCTTGGATCGGTTCCTCAAGGAGGACGAATTGGCCGACCGCATGCTGAGAGTCGCCGGGTCAACGCCCGCCAATCCAACGGCAAAAGTCCCAGAAGCGACTCCATCATATGAGGCAGCTTTGAAAAACGACAAAGGGGCGACCGACGGTGATTGGGAAATTCTGGAAGCACAAGGCCATGCAGGCGGGCAGCCCGCAGAAGGGTCGAAGATGGCTGACGACCAGAAAAGACGAACGACATCGGTTCAACAGTCGAAGAAAACTTGAGAGCAAGAATCGCAATGTTTGCATGCTTCCCTTTGTCGCGTATAGTTGACAGATTGTACCTGTACGAGAAGCGAGATGTTGCCAACAAAGTCTCTTGATTGATTGATCTCCGTGACTTACACGAAACGTGCTTACTACTTACTCCGTAGGTACTTAAGTACACAGGTACTAATCAAAGGGGCCCCGTCAAGGCCGGGTGGGGCCGAGCATGTCTACAGACACAGGACCGCACTGATAAGTCCCTATCATCACGTGGCACATCACTCGCTTCCCCTAGGGTTTCTCACCCCACAGATTGCTTGCATTTTTTTTTTCGCCCGAAAAGACTCCAGTTCACGACGGCAATCCGAGACCCAGTAGGTTTCCTCACGAACCAACGGCACAACCAAACCGACGCAATGGCCAAGATTTCGTAAGTAACTATTGCAAGACACATGCCGTGATTCTCGAGTGTTCCGGATCGGCGACGTGCAAGCGAAGAAACAATCTTGGAACCAGCCCGGGGACGACTCTGAAGGCCGCGGACAACAGTTCCCCCCCCAGCATCCATGAGGGTGACAAAGGGAGAAATCTACAGTAAAGATGGCTCTCTTTGTGACACTCTTCTATACGCGTTCGATTTCCAGCGCCAAAAACTGAACGCGATCCGCACCACTCGACGTCGGTCCACTCGAGATGAGCCGACACACACGACACACGACAGCTCCATCCCGAATAACCTGACTGACTGGCTCTGTGCAGACGTGGTGCCCCTGGTGGCAAGCTCAAGATGACCCTGGGTCTCCCAGTGTACGTTGGATTCCCCCTCCATCAACAGACGCCGCGCGCGACCTTGCCCCGCGCACAAGGGAGCCCGCAAACAACGAGGGTCGGAAAGGCTGACACGTCCTCCGCAGCGGCGCCGTCATGAACTGCGCCGACAACTCGGGCGCCCGAAACCTCTACATCATCTCGGTCAAGGGCATCGGCGCCCGCCTGAACCGACTCCCCGCCGGCGGCGTCGGCGACATGGTCATGGCCACCGTCAAGAAGGGAAAGCCCGAGCTTCGAAAGAAGGTCCACCCCGCCGTCATCGTCCGACAGTCCAAGCCCTGGAAGCGATTCGACGGTGTCTTCCTGTACTTTGAGGACAATGCTGGTGTTGTACGTGTCCACCTGTTGTCCCTCGGTGCACGAGACGTGTCCGACCTTTGGTCCCCCCCCCCGTTTCCTCTTCGGCGGCAGTATTCGATGAACACGGGCCAGAGAGGTGGCGGGACAAACTGGAGCACATCTCGCGCACGACACCATCGAGAAACCCCGTCTCAACACAACTAACGAGGCACAGATCGTCAACCCCAAGGGCGAGATGAAGGGCTCCGCCATCACCGGCCCCGTCGGCAAGGAAGCCGCTGAGCTGTGGCCCGTAAGCACTCTCCCACGCCAAAAACTCCGCTCTACTCCAGCAGCCAGCCAAGGCAGACTAACCCCGTCTAGCGTATCGCCTCCAACTCGGGTGTCGTCATGTAAAGTGTTCAAACGAGGGAAAACGGCAAACTGAGAAGGAAAAGGACCAAAAAAAAAAAGAAATCCCCGGCACCGGTCATGACCCCACCTATGCGATTTATAGAAGCAACCATGACCGCCCTCTTGGAGCCCTTTTTTTTTCCCCACGCGCGAAGAAGAAAGCAGAAAGAGGAACAACGACGGAGCACCAGGGAAAGCATGAAAGTCGCTGGATTGGGGCAGGCTCTACTTTTTTTTTGGGTTTGGTTGCGGGCGTGCAAGGATGATTCATACCAGGTATTGCATCATGAACAAGCAAAAAGAAGAAAGGAAAAATAAGCAACTGCTGGTTGCGCCCTTGTCGTCGTGCTGTGACCTTGTGTACAACGTGTGTCAACGTGCCGTCACGCATTATTGCGCGGCGAACCAGGAACAATTACTAAAGTACAGCAAGACTTGTGTGTGACCAAGTCGGCATCATATTGTCGCGCGGGCCTGGTGCATATTTGGCTTGCAGTCGATTTCGGATGCTTGCGCTTCTTTGGCGTTTATGTGTGCTTGTGCGTTTCGACATCTACCCTACCCTGTACCGTGATGTGCGCTCGACTTTCTGACTCTTCCGATGAACAACTCTGTAGGCAGGTGCCCCTTGTCCAAAGGTCGAGTTGGATGCTCAGGGATGAACAGTCGCTCGCCGCCTCAGGGTGTTATAAATCGACGTCGCAGTCCGTCGCGGGCACGGCGTCGTCCAGCCCAGCCCTACGGAATAGAATACATGCTGACCGAATCCCGGCCTCCCCGCACACAATGTAGCACACGCACGGCGCACAAGGAAGGCATCACGGCGACCAAACGCCGTGAGACACGACGCACAAACAGAAGCCTATTATGAAACAACGCTGGATTTACAAGTAAATTCCTCTCAGGTGTATCTGTGCTTAAAATAACATTGACCGAAGTTTACCCGCCCCGCCCCTTTGTGCGGGGGACAGCAAGGGGCACGCGCCAAACGCCGTATTCGGAAGCCGACCGGGGTCTTACTCGACACGTAAACGGATGTGTGTGTAAGACGTCGGTCTAGTCTAGCCTTCCAATGCCAATTTCCTTTTGGTCTCAACAAGGATAAATGCAGAAAAGGAGCATGAGATGCGCGCAGACGGAGGATACGCAAACAAAGATCTGAAATCCGGGACTCCTCCAAGGAATTTTGCTAATTCATTGCGGCGTTTCCCCCGGCCCCCGTTGGCGTGGGGCAGAGGCTCAGAGCGCGGTTGATTCGCGCCGTCTCGAACGATGATGGTACATCTTGTGTGGGAAATATCAGTCCAACTCTCATGATGAAGTTGGCCGAAACGACTGACTTGGAAATTGGTGAGGGTCAGCAGCCGAGACCCGGTGTCGAATGGGGGCGAAAACGATCCAACCACCGTATGGCGATTGAGGTAGGGTAGAGTCGAGGTGCAGCCGGTCCATCACTGATTCGAGGGGAACGGGTAGTTGATTCCCGGCATCGTTGGCGCGTAGCCTGCGTGTGGCTGCCCCGGAGAAGGCTGATCCTTTTTGCTGGGCTTGACCTTTGGTTTGGGTGCGATGACGCCGAGTTTCTGTTCAGCAGCCACTTGAGCTGCCTTCTTGGCAGCAAGGGTCGCCTTTCGCTTCTCCACGGCACCGGCCATGTTTCCATTTGCCCAACGACCTGGATGAATCGTCAGTATCGGGCGGGCTGTGGTAATAATGAGGATTACGGGGGCTTACTCTTCATGGACGCCGACATCTTCTCAGACTTGGTCATGTTCTTGTAGTCCTTTGGCTTGTCGTCGCCAGGCTGTGAGTGTGAGGACGGGGTGCCGTTGCGGGCGTCGCCAGAAGGTCGCACAACCTTGATCTTTGCAACCTTGCGGACGCCAGTGCTTGGTAGGGCATCTTGCACAGGATGCTCAGGAGCAAGGGACGACTCATTGCCCCCAACAGGCTGCGGCACACTCCGCTTCCCTCGCTTGCGTGGTGGTGCCTGGCTTGCTTCGCCTGCTTCATCAGCATCGTCACGGAACCGTTTCTGACGCTTGGGTCGGAAGGAATACGACGACTCGGCTGTATGAGATGACGACTCCGACGATGCGGTTGACGGCCTCGAATCGCCGTTGTCGGTGATGGCCGAGGACGGCTCGCTGAAATTCTTGGATCGGGGGATTTTCAGCGTCAGCATATGGCGCTTCCGTTGTTTCGGCTCAGGCTGAGAGTCGTCGTCCATGAACTCGGCATACGTTTCGTCGTATCGTATTGGTTGTCTGCCTCGGCGCCGACCTGACCTGCCAGTCTCTTCTTGCGCCAGGTTGTCCGAGCTACGTGGCGTGGAAAGTTCCTCAGCAGCGCTGGCCACCACATTGCTGGCACGCGGACCGCGTCGTCTTCTAGTCTTTGGAGCTTCGTTCTCCGCGTCCGAGTGTCCGTCTCCATTGAAGCTTGATGTCAAGGCAGCCTGGGGCCCTTCGTCTGCGTTGCCCACGTTTCGGCGCCTCCTGCCTCGCGTAGGAACGGGCGTTGAGCTCCGGCTAACATCCTGAGTCGCTGGGTCAAAGAGCTGAACGGGTTTGCGTTGTCTCTTGCCGGTAACCTCGTCAGCTTCCGATGCCTTGACTGTTTGCCTTGGCTGGTTACGCAGCGAGCGCCCTCTGGTCATGATGCCAATTTGCTGCGTCTCTGGATTCTGGCGGCCAATCTTGGACGGGTGGGGATCGTATTCGAAGCCATAAGTGGCAGCCATGATGCGGTCCTGTCCTTGAAGATAGCGAGTCTCGCTCATTACTTCCCGTTCCTTTGCCTTGTAGCCCTTGACAACAAAGTCTGGCTCTTCGTGGTTGATGCCATGCTGAGCTGGGTTTCGCGTCCTAGATTCGTATTTGGCGTCGGCTAGACGTCGGCGTTGTGAATTTTCGTGGTCGTCTACAAGCTTTCCAAGATCGAGCCATTCGTTTTGCCACTGCACAAGCGATATATTGAGGGCCTCGAGCAACTCGTACAGCTCGGCAGTGCTCATTTCTTCGTAGTTTTCGATGGCTGATATGTACTCTTCAGGGTCCCGAGTCTTGCGAAATCTGTAGTATCGTTTCCGCTCAGGAACCTCTTGCGAATCAGACTCGTCGCCGTCGTCTGCATCATCGCCAGCTGGGGCGGGAGAGTTGGCAGCGGTAGGATCCGTTGAGTCTGGAACCGGAGAGCCACGTGTCGGTGTGTTTACGGCGGGTGTCGGGGCTTCCATCCCCGAGGGGTCTGGCGCGTCATCGTTGTCCTCTACCATGGGCTCCATGTCATTGCCATCTTTATCGCCGTCCTTGTCCTCGGGAGGGGTCTCATCTCCGCCGGCTTCATCGTCTGAACGAGCCTTCTTTTCAGGATATGAGACATATTCACCGTCCACGTATGGTGTCAAGTAAGCCCAACGGCCAACAGGAGCTGGTTGGGGCTTGCTTGGTCCCAGTTGCGATGGTTTCTTGGGTTTGAAGACGTCTCTTTTCTCGGGACTTGGAGTATCTGCGTCTTCAACAATCTGGTCCTTGACTTCAGCCGCAACCGATTCTGGTGATACCTTGCGTTCCTGTTGCGGAGCTTCTTGATCCTTGAGGTCCTCTATTTGGGGTTCCACAACCTCCTCCACCGATATAGATGGCACTACCGAAGGCGGTTCAGCAGGCGGGCTGCGATTGGCGGCTGCCTCTTCAATTACATCCATAGCGGTTGACTCTTCTGAGATTACTTCATCATCAGCAGCCACTGATGGAGTCCTCTTGTGAGGAGAGATACCCGTAGGCTCTGCGGCGCCCTGTGATTTCAGCGATGATGGCTCAGTTTCTGCTGGCTCCCCGACAAATTGTTCGACCCTGGCCTCGTCGGGAGGTTTGGAGCAGACGAGATTGCCGTTTTCCGACGTGCGCTCCTTCATCTCATTGGAGACAGGAACATCAGAAGAAGGCGCCCCATGGTCTTCGGATTGTTTCTCTATTAACGATTCCGATTCTGTCACTTTGTCCGCCTTGGCAACGGGTGGTTCATCTTGTGCGGCAACTGGAGGCGTTGCTGCATTGGGGATGCCAGCAGCGTTATTAGTGTTGGAGAGGTCAGACTTTTCTTCGGCTGTGCCGGGAGAGACGCTGGCAGACTCATTGACCTTTGGGGCGTCTGTGCTTTCAGATTGAGCCTCGACGGGTTCAGTCGTGATTGCAGCAGGTTGCGCAGACGAAGGGGGAGGGCTTGGTCGAAGGTTGGGATCAATGTCCACGTCCTGGCTTCCAACATTTGGACGCCCATCATCGTTGGCACCCTTGTCGTTCGAATACAAGCTGCCAAGATTAGATACGGCGGGCGCCGAGTTCCAGGAGCCGTCCAAAGACTGGGCGGCGGATGAAGCACTTGAGTGACTGCCACGGCGGACTTCTGACTCGTCCACCTCGGACAAAGAGACACCAACTTCAATGGTATCCTTGACGTCCTCGTCATCACCGTGATCGGCCCTTCCGAGGGCTGAGCTGCGAGAAGGATTTCTTCGCACGTTGCTGGATGCGTCAGCGCCGAGCGAGGCGCCGCGTCTCTTGGCACCGGAGGGATGACACTCTTCAGACTCGTGACTGTGATCTGATCTCCGCTTCTTGGTGCGGGCTGAGGACGTGGAGCTGGGCAGGACGACCTCGTCGTCTACGTGCTCAAACGTGTAATCCACACGAGCCCGCTTGCGAAGCGTGTGGCCACCCTTCCGAGGACTGTCCTCATCAAAGTCATCGTCGTGGACGCCAGGGCCATCCGTGGTTCTGAATCGGCGCTTGACGGCCTGGCCCCGATTGCCCGAGGCTGGGGTTGTGAAAGTGAAGGTATTGTGGTGAAGACTTTTGCTCCCGCGCCTGCTCTGAGCCGCGGGCTGAGGGCTGTTTGCCGCCGAGGCATGCGGCATGACAGGACTCGCCGAAGGATGATCAGACGCACTCTCGGGAGGGGTGGACTGGGGAGAGGCAGAGCCGCCGAGGGTTTTGCGACGTGTGGTTGCTGCCGCTCGACGAGCGCGGTCCATGTCGAGCCGGAGCAGGCAGCGTGTTGCGGAGAGCAGGCGGGCGTGTAAGAAGACAAGTCAAGTCAGAAGAAGGGGCAATGTGGTGTGTAAGAGGCCAAGCATCCGACAGACGGCGACACGGCGGACCGGGAAACGGGAAGGGAAGCCAGAAAATGCCCCGGCGGCGATGAGCAGTGCGACGACGAGGGCCGAAGTGACTCGAGGTGGTGAGGCCGTGGGATGAATCGAGAGAAGGGGAGAGAGGCAAGGCTTTGTATGAGCCGGGCCACAACCATGAATGAGCCAATGTCGGCGCAGGAGAGAATTTTGAAAGGCAGACAGACAATCACAGATGCGCAGCAGGCTCAAGGAACAAAAACAAGAGTGCAGAACAAAGCGCAGGCGGCCGGGCGGAGCGCTCAAGGCCACGGCGATGATGCAGCCCGACAATATCAGAGACTTTTTTCAATGCGTCGTCGTCTCCCGTGTCGTTGTAGAGCCAGCCAGTCTCCTGGCCGTCGTTTTTCACAAGGTGTCGTGGTCCGAATAAGCCAAGACCCAGTTTCCTGACAAGGCCAACTGTGGGTCCCGACCGGTACGTACCCTTTCCGCACCAAGACGTCAAAGTGCTCAACCTCTCAAGTGCCTGCTTGGCGACTTGGAGACGAGGCACTCTCCATGTTGACCGGTGTACTTACTCGTGGAACTTTTTCTCTGCTTTGGTCTGCAAAGCTCACGTCTTGGCCCGTCTCGCCTCCTCCGCAAGTAGTCGTAGTCGTAGTCGTAGCCACCCACTCGGCACTCAGTCTGGTACCCAGTTCACCCTGCCGTTGACCGCAACCTGCGCCACAGGCTCTCCGTTTTAGGCGTCTTGGGGGGCCGGCGGTGCCTGGTCAGTGGACGGAGCCCGCTGTACAGCCCTTCCGCGGCTGGCACGGGGCAGCTGGTCGTACCACCTGGGGGACCGACTGACGGACTGACAGACTGCAGCTTGGGAGCACCAGCACCGGTTTGGGCCTGCAATTTGGTCTTGTTGGGTACCTAGGTAGTTATGTCACACGATAGCAGTAGCACCAAGCTAGATATCACTTAGATAATAGTTAAAAGCCTTGAATTAATCTACAAAAGAGAGAATTATATGCGCTCTTTAAATAAGTGCGCCTAGCTCTACGCTTTAGGTGCGCATTAACTTAATTCTATGCGCATATATATCTATTAGCTCTAGGTAGATATGCTAGAGCGTGTTAAGCATACTATTGCTATGCAATATACCTTCTAATTAAAGCTGCGTTTAAAGCTATTGCAAGCTTTAGACTCTATAAGCGTGCGCTTAATAGAGCGTTTAATTAAAGCTCTTATATGCCTACTAATGCCTCTAATTTGCTCTAATTCTATTGTTTTGTGTAGTATAGCTATACTATCTTTTAGGTAAATTAAAAGTAAGCGCTATATACTTATTAGCTAGCTGCTCTTTATATTTATATGCGCTTTCTAAGAGCATTATAAGCTCTCTTTTTTCTTTCTTCTGCAACTGTCTTTATATAATTATAAACTTATATTTTAATTATTACTATTATTATTATTATTATGCCTACTAAGTTAGGCAAGTCTATTTACGCTAACTGCTAGCAGCTAGTACTAGTAGATTAAGGCATGTCTATATCTACTATATTTAAGGAGCAGCTTAATAGTGCTGCTTCTACTCTTAATACTAAGGAGGCGCTAGTAATGCCTTCTTCCTCTGCATATTATTGTCTCTTGCAGCATACTAGGCCTGCAAGAGTGCAGAGAGTAAGTTGTGCTTAGAAGTATTACTCTATAAGTTCTACGCGCTAACTATTAGACTAGATCTCTAGAGCTAGATGTACTGCATAATGTCAGCGGCAGATACTGCGTACTATAAAAAACACCTATAAAAATAAGGGAAACAACTGCAGCACACAAATTGTCTACAAGGAACGTTTGCATGCATTTTGTATGCAAGGATTTAATATGCTTTATGCCTACATT